AGATAACACAATCTATAAACAATATTTTTTGATCTTTTGGTAAACTTACACTGGGCAGTTTCTAAAGGTGAATATCTGATACAGACACCCTCTCTATTGACATCTACTGATGTTATTGGTACTTTAGGCACGGTACATTGTAATGTATCAACTAACTGTAAATATACAAAAATAATTAATATAGAAATAGAACCTAAAATACGAGTATATATTGTTATACAGAGTTTTATGTAGTACAATCTCAGAAACAGATCTATTTATTATACTGAGTTTTATTGAGGATATAAACATTTTGATGTAAGAAAAGAAAGAATTTTATAGTCATCAAATATCTTTGTACACATCATCATTTTTATGCTCTCATATGGAAGTAGATATCTGACTAGGTTCAAAGCCCCAACCTCAAAGCTATCCAGTCTACTGTGCAGAGTAACCATGCCTACTTCAGAAATAATCAGCTGAAGTTCTATGTGATATGAAATAAATATATATGATTGAGGATTGAATCTGTGAAAATCTTCTTACCCAATTATTTAAAGCATTGTAATACTGTACATTATCATCAAGATTAGACTCTGTATCCTCTGTATTGTTAGAAGCATAAGGTGCTATCACAGCTCCTACAAAATACAAATTATTATCATCTCAGCATTTTATATTCCATATATAATTATAAACTTCTTCTTAAAATGTTATGACGATGAGATAGATTCTTCATCTACTCAGGACAGTTTAAAATGTGTTGAAAAGAAAAAGTTGTAAAATTATTCTAACCTGGAGCAGTAGTATCTTCACCATATTTAAATACAACTGTAGGTGTTACTATTTCAAATACCAACTATAATATAAGAGTAGAATTAATACATTTAGAATTAGATGGACAATTTATTTTATGAAATTGAGATTAACTATTTTTCTCCTTTTTTGGATATAGTGATCATTGAAGACAATATAGCAGTACAGCAACACCAGCCTACAATATCTAGATATCCAACTGTAGATGTTCCACACATTGCGCAACTTTTCAATAGGAAATTGCCTTTGTGTGTTTGCCCATCAAGGGGTCACGATTAAAGGAAAAATCAAATCATTGTTCAACGTGAAAGGTGAAATGAAATGTACCTACCAATGCATTAATAGCTCTAGATATCAAATCACCTAATGATGTTATATCTCTTTGTGTTTCTTTCTTTTCTCTACTCTAAAATAAAATAATGAAAAATGTTTCAACTGAAGACTGCATTATAAGGGGGAGACCACTCTCATGAGTTATGATCAAAGACATGATGCTAACTGGAATTTCCTGAGCATGCCGTCAGATCAAATGTGGTAAAATCTAACATAAATTTTGAATGCAATATTGGTGGTGAGTCTCTGTTCTTTAAACACAAAGCACAAAAATGAGTCCATCTGCAAAATGTAAATCATTTAACTGAATGCACTAGTTTGTATGACCAAAATTTTATACTTACTATTTGTTTAATGGTTGGTATTTTATCTAAATGTTCAAATAATTTCTTCGCCTATAAAATACAATTCATATGATAATCTTAGTGTTGCCTAAAATATATTTTTGTATGACATTCCTGAAAAAGCTTCTTGATAAAACATGAAATTTCTATTTCTCATCTTTTAAATTCCCTGAATACAAATGACTTTCCATGTCTGATTCTCAAAACTGAAGTTAAGGATTTAACTCACCAAACGTGTAGATGTTTTAATTCTACTGACAATACCATCATGACCTAAACTTTGTAAACAGATCCAGATAGATAAACAGCTTAACTTTAATCTAGGATTAAAATGATTTAATCCAGCACAATGGGCTAAAGTTGGATCTGGTGTTTTAAATAATGTCTATAGATATGTTAAGGGAATCAAGTCATCAAATAATATACTTAAAGAGATAAATTGTGTAACATTTGAAATATGTTATGTTATCTGTAGATATTAATGATATAAATGATTTGTAGCTCATCACTTCCTGTAAGAATGTAAATACTGGCTTGAAAGTTATACTTCCATTTTGTGTTTTTGTTGTTTAGTGGCAAAGGATACAGAATAAGGTAATGCTGGTATACCTAACCATCTACCTAAATCTATAGTCATACTATCTCCAGATTTAGCTGATTTTATAGACGAAGGTACAGAAAACATCATTAATGTGGCTAAATTATTGCTGAAAGTACAAAGAAATTTAACATTAGAAATGAATTAAGGAAAGACAGATTGTTTCCATAACTGTAATGACATATAATTTCATGGGTAAAGAAGTAACAAATTTTGTTTAAGCCATAAATAGATTCAAGAGAGGCATTATAAGCTTTGTATGTGTATCAGTGATTTTCTTTTTAAATACAAACATTGGCCTTGGCAATAAAAATTCAACAAATTCATTGCTTATAATACAAGACAAATGTTATAAAATACATACCCTTCTACATGTAACCATATAGAATTCTTCTTACAGATATCTTGTAATCTCTGTAAATTATCAACATGGCCAACTTGTGGAGTTCCTGAAATAAAGAAATTGACATGATAGAGATAAAGTTTATTAGTATCAGTAGTCAGGGTTAGAGTTCTGTATGCTGTACAGTACAAGACTGAAGAATAAATAAATGGGTTTGTATTTTCAAGTACAAAGTAGGAAATATATGCCAATGTATATGACTATTCATTTAAAGTTTGAAGTAAAACTATTACCTGCATAGCCTATTAATAGAGTGGGTTTTTTAGCAGCTGAAATATCATCTTGTATCAGCTTTTCTAACATAGAAACATCCTGTAATTATGGACCAATTAAAAGCATTGTATATAAGTCAAGTTTGTATTATTTTATGTACAATAGAAAAAAATGAACATATCGAGGAGTTGGTCTTATTTTTATTTTAAGGAAGGTCTATCATTGAAATAAACTCTAATTCAATAAATGTATTCAGTTAATCTCTTATCAAGTACTCACTCTTCTTTGAAAACATGTATCATATTTCCAATATTTGATCCCATGAGGAAAGTAATCCAGCTCAATGAACATAACATTATTAAACTAAGACAATATAGTATGTTGGCACAAATTTCAGAAAATAAGCCTACTTACCATTTTACTGGTGCCTCCAAACATAGTATTACATGGTACTGTACATATACAAGATAGAGGTAAACCAAGCTGAAAGTACAGAAGTTTCTTAATTTGATTGAATTTTGCAATATTTTATATTTTCTAATAAAACTGATTAATGATCACCAATTCATTCGCATTTCAAGCATGTTAAATTCCATATCATTTTAGCTAACCAACTGTAAATGTTTTCAAATAATTCTGGACTACCTGCTGTTGGCAGATGCATTGCCAGATTGAACTTACCTGTAAACAGAGATAATGTCCTAGGCCTGGTTTAGCAGCAGAACTTAAATATATAACAGGAGGTCTGGAGTATAGGGCATCATAACCTTCTGTAGCGTATTTAGGGAATTTCTGATACAAAGCCAATCGACAAACTTTCACTAAACCTTCTTTCTCATCTTCATGATATACTGCTGATGAATCTGGAAACCTGAAAAAAGTCAAGAAAATGAAGCAGCTGCATTAAACAATGTCTATTATCATCTATCATAGTTCAGTTTAGATGCTGCCAAACTTAGTCCAAACAATTGCACACATATTTAATGTCAGCCCTCTACCTGTCATGAATAACCTGTTGGAAATTTACCATGTACTGTTTCGACTACTAAGCTACACTTCCAGTCTCACTCATTATCAAGTCTATCAATATCTTCTCACAATATTGTGCCATGTGCAGTAAAGATAGTTTGCTCTTACCTAAATAATCTAGACAACCACAGTTCACAATCTGATGTGATTTTGGATGAAAATTTCTTTAAATGTTCTTCATCTAATGTAGAAACATAGGCTACTATACTGTGTGCTAATACTGAAGCTTGGCCATGGTTTGTTAACTTCATTATTCTTGCTTGTTGTCTGAAAGGCAAAAAAGTCAAATTAGACATGAGAAAGACCGTTGTGAGAGACTGGAAAAAATGATACATGACACGTTCCTGTTATTATGAAATACTTGACTATCACTATCTCAAAAAAATGATAGCTTGGATGGAATTTGTGATAATAAGAAGGTATGCTAACAGAAGCTTCAAATAACTTGACTTCACATTCCAAGATACAAAAAATCTCTTTGAATGACTTTGGCATAATCTGACAGGACCTTTAAATAAAAATTGGTTGATAACCTCTACAATTACTTTACTGTCAAGAATATATTAGTAATGTTTTAAATAATTTTACCGTTCATGTTGTTTATCTTCTGTTTCTTCACCAATATCATCATAAACTATCAATTCTTCTATAGTCTGCATTATATTTTCTATTTTCTGTCCACTGTTTAAATAAACAACAAGTTTATTAAATGATTGGCCATGCCATTAAAAAAGTTTGATGAACTTTTTCTGAAACTGCCCAATATTTCTTTGAACCAATCTATTAATAAATTTGATTAGGAAAATTTGAATGTTTTTAGAAAATGTACTTGGCACAAACATTTTACTCAAATATAAATTGGATTTATATGTTAAGATAATTTGACAAGCTTTGGCAAATAAATATGGAAGAAAAGACAAAAATTTACTCAAATGAAAATTGGATTTATATATGTTCAAATAGAAGATTATGTCATCAATAAGAAACCTAAATAAAAGTTCAATAGTTGATAACTGGAATCAAATCTTTGAAGGAGTATTTTGGTATCAATATTCAAATACTGTAATTATCATTCCTGTAAGAGGAAAACTGCCAACTAACCTTCCTTTTAAGGCTTCAGGTATATGTGCTGTTAAACTCTGTCTTATTCTGTTCTTTCTTTCTTCTTCCATTTGTCTTCAAAATAAACAAGTCAAATATTCTTACTGATACTAGTCAAATTCATATATTCTTACATGAAGTAGTAAAGTTAGTATGTAGGATACTTATAGAATAACAGCTGCAAGACAAATTTTTCTTCAGTTTTTCAGGGGATATTTCACATTTGCACAAAAATCATACAACTCTTCCATTCCGTTAAATCTTAGCAATGTAAGACACAGTAAAGAATTATATAAGGCCACAGTAAAGCAAAATGTGAATGAATCGTCAATTTTCAGTAAGAAATGCCACCATCTTTTAAAGGGAGATAACATATTATTTTGTTATTGTGGTCTGATGGTATAATGGTTACGAATTCTCTTGCGCTTGCTACATTATTTCCCAGTAATTCTTTCTGGAATTGTAGGAACAACAGCCATTGGACGAAGAATTGGAATGTAACAAATAGAAGTCAAAGGTGTCCCTGATACACATAAAAAAAGGCTAGAAAACCTCTTTAAGTATCTTTTGGGACAGAAGATAAATAACCGCACTGAATTAAGATATGCTGGGCTGGGTAGTCATTTTTAAACAAAAGTAAAAGGACTGAAATTGCTACACTTACGCATTTATTCTATCCAATATCTCTGTGCTTTTCTGTACATTTTTCTCCATTTCTGCTAACATAGGACTGACCAAATACTAGAATGGAAGAAACATAACTTTGCAAGTCATAAAGGTACCAAATAGGTCTAAATCAACTTTATGACTTTATCTTACTGTATATCTTTATAGTCAAATCAGGTTTTGAATTACAGTAAGACATCAACAAAGGAAGGTAATTAAAAATTTGTCTCAAAAATAAATTTGGCAACATTAATTATTCAAATTTTTCAGCTTTAAAGTTAACAAATATATTGATTTCTGATGCCTTTTTCTTACTTCATTTATAGAAGAGAGAGTCGTTCGTAACTCTTTCATAGCTATAAAACATAATTTAATCTAGTTAAAATCTTTGAATTTGGGGAAAAAACTCATTTCATAATTAACAAAAAGAGTTTATATACCAAATATATTTAAAATATTTTAACCTCCTTTACTGTGATTATTAGAGCAAGCCATTCTTACAATTTAAAATAAATTGCACTCAAGCATTGCATATCAATTGATGAACCCTTAAGGAAACTGTCTGTAGCTATGATACATAGATTACTGTAACCTGTTTTATTTTAACCAGTAAGGCATCTTTGTACAAATGCAATTATATTGACTTAATTTGATCACCAATATAAACAGTTCTGAGTATTTAATTCACCAAGTGTCCATGTCAATCTCCTTATCTATTTTTTCATATCAACATGGTAGAATGTTAATAAAAGCCTGGATAATTACCCCAAAATAAGTAGGCCTAGTCCTATACATAGCACTGTAGGCCTATAGTTTATGCAAAATAAGTCATACTAATGAATCTAGTGACAGCTGTAGTCAGTATGTATGTTAGTTAGTTAGTATGTTAGTATTTAATAAGAAAGAAAGAAACAACTATATTTTTTCCTGATTATTTGACCCATTTACAGTGAAGATGACTTATTCAAGGAAACTGGACTATCAATCGCCAATAGAGAATTGAACCCACAGCCGCCATTTGCTCAAAGTAATCATGCAAATGCGTCATGTTAAGAACCAACTAGAACCTCACTAAAAAATAGTCGCTATACGAAGATGAAATTTTTCTCTGTAAAGCAATTATTTAGACAACTAATTCTCTCACAAACTAAGTTTTATGTTTGATCACAACAGATTGAATATTCCACCATTGATAGCTGATAGCTTTGCTATTTATTTTACTACAAATAAATCAATAATCCTCATCTAATGGCATATATATATTCAATAAAATCATACAGGTTGATAATATATATATGAGAAATTTCAGTTTGGCCTGATAAGAAATTTTAAGCTCCTATTCATTTCTACAGTTACATTATCAACTTGGAATCATTTCTCAATCATTCTACTTTACATAAGTGGTTACAGCTTGAATTTGATAGTTGTGAACATACTTTGTATCAAGCATTTTTATTTGTTCATTTTATCGTTCAAATTTAATGATGCGAAAATCGATATTAATATTTTTTCAGCGAAGAAATATATGTTTGTATGCATATTATATTTATTTACTTGGCCTAATATGTGGTCTCAAGAGAATATGGATTTGCACTTTGAGGCAAGGTACTGGTATTGCATAATGTTTTCAATCACAGGATGTCAAGACTGCTGTATTTTTTAACCTTTAATGATCAAGTATTACTCTACACAACTGACAGATCAAATGCTTGTAGGTCTACTTGTCAAAATAGTTAAGCTTATAGGCCTAAGTTACAAATTGGAGAGACTAACTTCAGAATTTAACTTGTTGTGCACAGACTGAGTTTAGAGACCTACGCTACTGATTTTAGGGAAGGTAAGTCACATATAAATAATAAAGAAAACAAGGACAGGTGTATCCAGGTGTAATTAATGTCCCTGTTGAGCAAGATTGCAAGGTTATTAGTATTTAGTAAACTGTTAGAAATAAGTCCATAATAATCAAAAGATATAATCATATCATCATTGCCCCTACATCAATGTTCTGACTATTTGTGATGATATAATTTCTCACCTGAAATTACTGAATATTTCAACACCTAACTTTTTTCAAAAAAAATGTTAAATTGACAAATCAATACCTGATTAAATTTCTCTTCCACTCCTCCAAGACTGGGTGTGGCATCCATTTTCTTCGCTCCTTCAGAACTCACTTTTTCTTTTGACTCGTTATCAACCATTTTGCTATCTGCCACTGACTCTGTTTTGCCTGACCCTAGTTTGTTTTCGTTAGCAGATGACGCGGTAGCCATTTTCAGGTATTTACACGCTGGCAATAATGTCACTGACGAGTCTTTAATGTCGTAATTGTCGACAGTTTTTAGCAATCTTTTTATTTGTCGATTTACTGAAGTTTTGAAGGTGTCAATATTGATTTTCCATTTTGTTTCATGCTTAAACCTGCATTCATTTATGTTAAAGTTAAAATTATGAAAATATTACCGTCCACGAATACCATATTACGACAACCATATACGAGTCATAATGAGCAACAGATTGTAAATAAAAAGTTGCGTAAAGTTAAGAAGTTGGGATTATTTGTAAGATACCCCTTGTTATGGTTTTATTATCCCTTAAAGCAATTGACTTAGAGATTTATTACAATGTAAATACTGATAAACGTAAATTGTAATCTACATCCACACTTTTTGGAGATATTAGACCTTTAGGCGGATAGAACTAAAATTTTTCGGACTTGGTGTCTGTGATTTCCAAAGCTCTAATTCCACTGCTTGATAGAATTGATTTTAAAATGAAAGATTCTTTATAATACCCCAAATTAACAACATGATTGCATGATTTTGGCACCTTATAAGACTTAATGGGACAGTCTGGTAGGTTGGGAAAGTGATTAAGTTATGTATATTCTGGAGGTTAACTTTGAGCCTTTACAAAGCGCCTTACCTGTAATATTATTAAGGGCCAATTTACAGATAATGATGTCCCTTAAAATGCTATTGATTTTAGAAGTTTCCAACCAGAATTTAAGATCTGGTGATACAACTTTTTTTCATATTTTACAGGTTATAATTATTTGAAACAATTCATTATAAAATCTCATGACCAACAATAGTTCAAGATGAAGACAGATACAGATGTGTTGTTTTCTCGTAAGAGAACTGGAGCGGCAGATCCTTCAGTCAATATTAACAAAGCTGTACTAATCTGTAACTTATTCCACTTCTTCTTTGCTGCAAGTAAAGCATGTCTTCTGCCCTTTCTAACAGTGTTTTTAAGAAGACTTGGAATGACAGCCACAGAAACTGGTATAATTATTGCCTTTAAAACTATAACAGGATTTGTGTGGGCACCACTGTGGGCAAGATGTGCCATTTCGTACAATAAAAGACGCTTTGTGTTGATGTTTTCTGTGCTTATGTTTGCTGCCTCTTATTTATCTTTGACAGTTGTTTACCAACACACATCAAATTATGATATGTGTAACAATAGTCTTGACTCATCAAACAGATTAGTTCTTCCCTCTTATTTAAAACCATTGTTCGGTTCAGATAGTTCCAAATCCAATGATAAAATTCCTGCAAATCCTCAATATACTTCAGCAATTCCAGAAAATACTTCAACAAATCCAAAACTTGCTTCAGAATTTCCAGAATCTACTTCAACAATTTCAATGTCAACAAATGTGCCTTCCACAACTACAAACCTTCCAACCACAGAGCTTCCAACAACTCTTAGCATGAAAACCACAATCGGAACAGTCATTCCACCAATCAATGAGCCTTCTACTCCAAGCCAGGATCAGCTTTTACAAGTTGCTCAAGAGGTCATAAACGAGATGCAATTAACATATGATGATTTGTTGAACTTGAACACGACAAGTGGGGAACTTTATGACTTAATACGCCTCAAAGCTCCTGAATTGAATGTCTCACCAGAGGAAATTGATGTTATCTGGGATATGCTCAAGGAAGAATCTCAAGCTCAGGTTAAGCAAGAATCTCAAACTCAAGCTAATCATCGTGTAAAGAGAAGCATCAAATCTTCATGGGATGATGCCATGAAACGCAGTGAGAGTCTATGGACTAATATGGATAGTGAAAAGATTCAACTGTTCCTTTTAGTATTATTAGTGATTATTATCGGGGAATTATTGAGTTGTGCTATTGAAAAGGTTGCTGATGATTCATGGTTTGATTTTCTGGATCGAATTGATGATTTGGAGAAATATGGAAAACAACGCTTAGGTGGGAACTTTGCCTTTGTTTTTTTTCCTATAGGCATATCTTTATTAGTGCATTATACAGACTGCATGCTTCCACTGTATATTAACCATTTCCTTCTACACTTCTATATGTTTGGTGGATTCTTAGCTATCACATTTGTTGTAGCCTTCTTCTATCCTATACCACCTCCTCAGAAACAAGAATTCAATTCAAAGGTTGTGCAAGGATTGAAGATTATATGTTGTGATTGTCAAGCATTCTTATACATCTTAACTCTATTAATAATGGGTTTGGTGTATTCATCTTATCATAACTTTCTATTCTGGGTGATTGAAGACCTTGGAGGAGGAGAACTCAATATGGGTATGTGTGTCAGTATTGGTGCCTTTGCAGAAATTCCCATGTTGATGATCAGTCAGAAGATGGTCAAGAAAATGGGAAATGCTGGTGTTGTGTCCTTAGCTCTATTTTTTCTGTCTATGCGTGTGTTGTATTACTCCTTCCTGCCCACACCTTGGGCTGTTATGCCTGCTGAACTTTTACATGCCTTTACACATACTGCTATGTGGTTTGCTGTGCTTAGTTATGATGACTTTAATGTGGGTGCTATGATAGATCGGAGCATTAGATCCATATTATCTTCTATATATTTTGGTGTTGGGTTCACCCTTGGATGCCTTATTTCTGGACTAATTTATGACATATTTGGGTATGCTATTCTGTATCAAGCAGCAAGTGTATTGGTTGGTATATGGTTTATTATATTCTCTATTATTTCCAAATGTATACCAAAGAAGGAAAGGATACGGTATGTAAAATTGTTACATGCTGGTGATACAGATGAATCTGATTCTGTCGAGGATGATTGGTTAGAAATGGCTTTGAAGGATAACTGAAATCCCATTATTATTGATTATAATACTAATATAGCAATCACAGTAAATATATGTTAGTCTTTGGCTATTTATCCTATAGTAGCATGACAATATTTTCATTGGAACAAATATTATATTTACATTAAAGGATGGCTCAGGTCAAATGACACAACTAATTTGCAAAGACAGTTAGCAATTGGATAATCAAATAGCTGCATGGTTTCCCGAGCACTGCACTGTTGGTGGCGTTCTTCTTTCAATTTCAAAAATTAATACTCCTAGTTGACCTTACTATTTCTTTTCATCTGCAAGATGCAATGCTTTGAATCATGTTGACTTGAGTCCACCTTAAAGGGATTTGGAAGAGATTTTCAAAATATTTTACCATTCCAGTCAGTGATTCCTGTAACAAATTGCAAAAATATACTTTATCACATAAGGTCCTTTGCGATTTGTGACGTCATCAAACACTCAGCTTTGGTGGAATTGCAAGAACCACAGACGTCTGATAGAAAATAGATGCTACCAGTGCCCCTTATAGACATAAAGAAATAAGAAAACCTCTTTACAATCCCTCTAAGTCTACCATAAGTGATCTAAATGCCATGGTTGTGAGCTATCTGTAGATAAAGAAAGTCTGTTAGTTTGCTCAAGTTCTTTTGTGAAATCCAGATATTTTGAATATTGATTTCAATTGTTATAATCTGAACTGATCATTATCAGAGATGTAAAATTTTCCCTTAAAAGGAGTTTGTCTCGTAACTTATATATTAGCTCACATGTATTTGAAATCTTCATAGAACTAATTATAGAAATATTAAAACAGAACTTGAAACATGTTGTTACTCTGAGTTTTATACTGTGCAATCGTCAGGCATATTTCCAAAGTAAAATCTTAACTTTGGATTTCTTCTAATTAAAACAATCAGAGAATGAGTAAGAGTAAGACAATATAGATATCAGATTATTTTCATAATCTATATCATGAAACTGATGGAATTTGACAATGAGATGGTCAGCCATTTGTATCAAACACATTCATGTTTTGCTGTATGAAACATCCTTTATAGAAGATTGTGATGTGTTTTGTATTGTCCTAACCTAAGGAACAGAATACTAATTACTACTAAATACAATAAGGGGTATATGAATTTCCATATTGATTTCTAATAATAATGTTTGACTAGGATATTACATTTAGTTACCTTAATAGTTCCTGTTTTCTTTTTTATGTGTGTTTTGTTAGTATTTATACAATTGAATTATGATATTATAAAGCAATTATTATTTATTTGCATTTAATATAATGAAAACCTCAGTTGAATGTTGTTTTTTTTTTTGTGGCAGATAAGGCTTAGTTCAAGTCCACCCATAGTGTTACTGTGACCCTGAATGTATACGATATTTTTTGGGGTATATGATCTGGTAGTATGTTTGGATTTAGCATTCCCCTTGGTAGAAGCTGCTCACCTTGCCTTTGTTGTTACAATATATTGTTAAGTATTATAAATGTGCAATTTTTTTTCTTTATGACAGGCATAATTATGAATGAATGATGAAAGGTTTGTTTTCTGTTTCATGTTGTTTTATATGGTATGGTTGAAATAAAGGGATTAACACTTATTAATTATTAGCTTAAACAGCTGGTAGAGCTTGATTTTAGATTCCAAAACCACTCTTTTAAATGAAAGTTTAATGTGCTTATCTACTATCAAAAATCAAATATAATGGCCTCAGAAGGAAATAATGAAATTTTACAAGGATAAAAACTTCAGCTCTCAAGGATCCTGTCTACCATCTGGATTTTAGATAGGATTTTAGCATTGATCTATCCTGAAAAATGTTCATATCCACTTACAGCTTGATTAGCTGAAGTAAGGACTTTAAAAATGACAGTTGAAATTTCGATTTAAAATCATTTACATCAATTTTAGAAACTTTTTAAGATAGTGAGAATGGTCTGAAAAATCTTATGTTTTATAGATTAACACAGACTTTCATTGTGTTCAGTGATCCTGATTATGATGGAGTTCTATTAATTTTTAAAGCCAATAATTAAATGTCTTTACTCCTTTAAAATTCTTGTTAAAAGATCTTGTATTGTTTTTTTCTTGTTATATTGTTTCATGACATTCCTCCTAATTATTGTTTTAAATTGATATTATTAATTAATGATCTATTTATAGTATTATATCTATCTATAAGCATTGGTGGATGTAAACTAATAGAAAAATATGGAATAAAAACTTTGAATAAACAATTTAAAAAAATCTTTTTTATATATCCTGTATAATGCTTTTCAATTGTATACACTGGTATCAAGCCCTTCTTAAACAATTTCTTTTTGTGTTTGTTCTAAGGATGTTTTACTTATAATCTAATTACTTCTAAGGCTCTACAAAATCTATCAATCAACCAATCAATTGCTGTGTTCAATACAAATTTTGTCATGTGCTTGTGAAATATCACCATTTGTATTTCAACTAACATTTAACAGTTTGTATGATTGGTTACCATAAATTGTGAAGCTAGGACTGAACTGAACATTGTTTTAACATCAGGTTAGCAATTGCTGCTGTAGCAACACACAAAAAACAGCAAGAGAGAAACACTCACTTTTTATTCAGGTTTAAGACTTGTAGTATTGTATGGTCAATTATCACAGAATGCTTGCAAAGGAGAAAGTCACATTGGCCTCAAGATTTTGCTACACAACACTTCCTGTCTTTAAGTTATGATGTAGAATATTCTTATCATTTCCAACAAATTTGTGTAAGAACAATGACAATATTATAGTGAATAATATAGCTGCTGCAAGACTGCCTACGATCCCAACAAGAACATTAATATCAGTGGTTGAGGGTTCATAAGGATCTTGAGTAACAACTTCGATTGGTTGGTAACCACTATGTGTAAAATCTGGTACATAGCCAAATCCTATCGTCACAAAGTTTGAGTTTTCACCCATATTCCCTTGCTCATCTACAGCACGGACAGAGAACACAAATGATGTGTTCAATCCTGGTGTCAAAGGTATCTTCAGTATGAAAGTTTCTGGAATTCCTGCTTCTTGTGGTGCCATTAGATTGCCATGCATAACATCTTCTTGCGATAGTATTCTAGAACTCTTTTCTTTCTTCAACATATCTTCAGCATTATTTGCCATAAGAATATCGTATTTAAATGCTGAAAATAGACTCAAATCTGTAAGATTGATGTTAAGAACGTTTGATATTAACGACGAAAACTTCTCTTGTAAAAGCCCTGATTGCCCATTGTTGTCTAAACTTTCAGGGGAGATAAGTCTTCCATGTGTTTTGGCGCGTAAAAATTGTTCAGAAATCTGCAAGGTAAAGTTTAAAATATTAGTCTATTCGACCCAATTTATCGACCCAATAAATCCAGCGCCGACCCAATATATTGTGATAAATGTGAATCTTTTACATTTTACCTGTGTCACTATCCAGATCGTCACCAGGCGCTGTCCATTGTAATACCACAGTTTTATCTTGGTGTGATGTCTTCATCACTGCTAAATCAGTGATTCTAACAGGAGATATAAGATCAATATCTAGTTCTTCTCGTGTTAATGGTGCTAATGTGATGTTTCGTGTCTTGTGAAGGAAGTTACCAGCAATGGTACTACGACTGACACGGGTTTGAAATTCTTCTAGATGTGTTTCTCTTTTCTCTCTTACTGTAAAATATAATAAAGTTGACATATAATCAGATGAGGACACTACAGTATCCAATATTGATAAGCCGTTGTTCATGTTGCTAGACCTCCGAACATGTTGTCTATCACACCCACTTTTGGTTGTCCGGATGATGAATTTTATGTCCCAAAGATCTTGGAAGCTCTATAGATAAAACTTTGTGATTGTCTGTTACTGGCACTATAATAGAATATGTTTGCATATTTTCTATAGAAGCAAGTAGAAATACTATGTGTTATACTTCACATTCCACTAAGTTTGATTGTCTGTCCATCATTGTCCAAATGTTGGAAATTTGACCACCGTTTATAAACTAGTGAAAGTTTTCGAAAGTCTTTTGAGCTCTTTTCATCGATGTGTTCCATAGTAATTTTTTTACGATATGGTGTACTGGTAAATACTACAATATCTCATTACTTACTGATCACTCCAGATTCAACATCTATAACAGGATAATCCAATTTCGTAAGAACTGTCTTCTTTAGATGTACCCTCCCATTCCGATCTTTGACTTCTATTTTAACACTATATCTACCATATCCACTGAACTGTGTAAAATATCTACTATAAACTCCATCATCTTTTGTGATATCAGCACCTTGAAACAAAATCGACAATCTGAAGTACAAACATATAGTACTACTGTGTTCTGTTAGGATACATGTAGTATATAGAAACAGCAATGTTTTGAAAGGATGCCCTACAGCGACCACCTGCTTCATGGGAAAATCTATCTTTTTCGTACCCATTTACAAGTGGGAAATCCTCTGCTTTCGTAACGCTGTATGTTACAGAGCGCTAGCACAACATAGTAGACCTTTTACTGGGAAATGACTTAAGTTCCTAACAGGACAATTATGTATTGGATTTCCATCAAAATGTTGTCCTAGTATTGCATAGAAATCAGCTTACCTGCACCGTTGTCATTCAGAGTAAGTCGAGTTGGAGCAGCAAATGGTCTATCTATAATGGCCGTTACTTCCATTCCTAAAACTGGATGAGAACCTTTACCAACTTCCGCCCAGATCATCACTTTTCCAAATGTTGTCATTGATACAGAAGATAACCCACCATCAATAAAGATGGGATGTCGTTGATCATCTAGTGGTTTACTTGTGATTGAGATAGTAACCTTCTGTGGATATTTATCTTTGACTTTGACACTGTACTTCCACTCCCCTATCTGTAAGGCATAAGTTTTTCCACTGACAATTGAATTGAATTAGTTTTCAATTTTACAAATTGTCGAGCATTGTACATAGGATAGCTACTAAAACTGGTTCGCATGGCTGTTCTGACTTCTGGATTATCTTGGTCAACTTACCTCAGCTATTTCGGGTATTTCAATCCGTACTGTATTAAAAGAATGATCAATTTTATATTCCGGATACCTGCTATTATAAACTCGACCAGTTGGTGAGGTGATTGATATTAAAGGTTCCTCAGTGGTATACAATACAGTGAAAATGGTGTTTCTACCAATATCTGCATCTACAAAGGCGCTACCTAATAGTTCTTTACCCTTCCATATTACTGCTGAGTCACTTTTCATCTGAAATGATTATTAAGAATTTGAAATACGATAGCGTGTATATTATGCACTCCTCTCAACTGCGGTATGGTTACTACATACTGATAGATAGATAGATATTTATGGTATTGTTCGCCCTTTTTGGGCAGCATACATCATGATACAAGATAATAAATACTGAGATGATAAAGGGACTCAAATAGGTTGGTTAGTCTGTGTTTATGAATCGAAAACACTCAAAGCTTCTGTTATCACCATTTCTTATCCGAAGTTTATATCCTTCTGGTTTTCTGGACTAGTTTCTTCGAGAAATAATTCAGATCTTACTCTTGCGTTAAGAACTCCTTTGACAAACAAAAATGAGAACTTACCAAAATAGAAGATTCGTGTCTATTCAGTGATGGATCTCTCCTCAATTTAAATAATGCATCACTGAAAGTTGTTGATTTGTCTTGATCATTGTCGAAATAAAACCGTCCACCTACAAGACGTAATAAAACATTAAAATGATATTGTTTGAAATATGAATTGCCAAATGATAGTAATCTCTACGATGGTGGAATATCAACTAAAATATACTTACCAGAAGAATGAGCAGTATCTGAAAGATTTTCGTCAGTCTCTTGATTGAATGCAAAGATGTTTACTATCGCACCAGATGATTGGATCTGATCCGCAACATCATTAATTTTTGGATGAGACGTTTCTTTACCATCGGATAGAATGATTACTTCTGCTCCTGTAGCGTTTTGCCCATTTTTTGTTAGAAGCTGAAAAATAAAAGTATCAGTGCATTTTAGGGCCCCTGTCCTGTATAATTCTTCAGAACTCGAAACTTTATTAAGTATTTTAAAAACCATATACCTCAATCGCCTTTTTCAAACCATTACCAAAACTTGTGGCACCGCCAGATTTTTGTGGTAAACTTCTCTTGATCCGCTCTCTGTCTTCAGTAGATGATATAGTTGTCATGGGATGTATGATTTTAGCTTTATGATTGAAGGACACGATTCCAACTTCTGTATCTTCACTAATACCATTATGGATATAGTCTGCTGTAGCTTGGCGCAATCTGTTGGATGCGTCATCATTCTAAAAGATTTTGAAATGGATTTTTAGGACAAGGGGGGTAATGCAGTCGATCCATCTTGAAAGACGTAATAGAAAGGAAAATGTTGAAAAACCATCAACTAGATGTTTATCTTTTTCCAAATTCAGTGGGCGTCAGAGACAAATTTCGATTTTGAAATACATTTCGGAAAATCTCCAACTGGTAATTCAAGTGGTGTTATGAAGATGCATTATAGTGGACCTAATTTGAAGATTATTATAGACGTAATCAGAAATTAAGCAAATAAGAAGACCTACCATCATACTCCCAGAAGTATCTAATGCAAGAACAACTCTCCTGGTTTTAGCCGCTTTTACCACTTTGAATGTAGGAGTTGTATCAGGTATATCTCTAGGTGGATTGTTGTTATTTTTAAAATCTGGACTGTCTTGTATAACTGACCACGTGCTTCTCTGGCCACACAATCTATTCTGTTTATTTGGTGCTTCGTAATTGTGGATTCTCTTGGAATCCAAGTCATCGTCGTTACAAAAATATTTGATCTGAAATGTATATATTATGTACACCGACATCACATATCATGACAGATATCTTTTTGATTAACTGAATTGTCTTGTTTTTTTTTATTGCTTGGCAATCTTTTTTTGTGATCAGAAAGGTTTCAAGGTGTCAAGAACACACTGTATAACACACATATATAATTTGTTTTTACGACTTGTGATATGTCGTAGTCGTAGTTAACTCGAAAATTGTAAATTTAATTAATACTTACACTTGGCACATAAACTCTGTGCATGATGGAAGCTGATACTCTGGTGTTCCTTCGATTGTATGGTAAATACCGACACTCGTCAGGGAATCGTCCGGTAGCTGGATCTACATTTCTACAAAATACCAGTTGACCATTCTCTAATCGGTAGTTGATACCTCTTATATTACTATTACATGCCACACCCACTACTTTGCCAGTCTTAGGAGAATCGTAAAACTGTTGTTCACCATCTTTAGCATATTCATCATAAACACCCCATCTAAAATGTGCCCACTCATGAACTAAGAGTCTACCTGCAATAGTGGAGAGTTGTAAAATTGATGGTACCGGTATAGAAAATTTTGCATGACAGTGAACAAATCACAGATAAGCAGATGGAATGCTAACAAGTACATACCGTCTTTTTGTTTGGAAATCTAGTCCATCGTTAAGTAGTCATATGGCGAAACTGTGTCTAAGAGTGATTTACAAAAATGTTTATAACTTTACACCTCCAACATCTTGGACGTTCACAGAAATAAAGCAATCAATTGCCCCTATAAAATTGGATCATCATTACATATGTTTTAGAATTAAGATGAGAACAAGATCCAAAATTTTCATTTATGAAATCTACAATATAATGTAACATACCCCTAGGTCCAATAGTATCGATATCGTAAACCTTAGATCTATTTGTGTCAAAAAGTTCCGGAGCAAAATGAATTCTGATTCCTGGAGATCCACAACCACTATAACTTCTTGTTTGTCGAGTGTGTCCACTAGTTAAATATGTACTAGTAGTGAATTCTATGTCAGCATTATCGTACACTTCTGAAGCTGTGTCTGATGTCAGAGACCAAGATGCTGGTACAAGTATGGTGACGTCCTTGAAATAGGCTCTTTTTTCAGTTGCTTCATATAAATAACTGGAACCTTCTTTAAACATATCCTGGAAATTGTATGCATCCATTTTAGCTTCAGATATTTTATGGTGGATAATTAATAGTCTCTTAGCTACAAGTGTCATAAATAATTTTTACAGTTCAAGCAAAGATCGTGCCATTTTTCGATTGGAATGGGAAAGTGAGCTCCCTAAGGTATATGCATTTTTTTATCACGTGTTATACCTAATAGCATTATGTGACATGCTCAGCAATAATCGATGAAACTTCAGTACAAAAAGACTTCAATCAGAAATCTCGTCTAAAGAACGGCAAAATCGGTAGTAAAGGTAGTACGGAGAAGTACCATCAGGTGTTTCGAAAAGAGTAAGCATGGTCTGCTACTAGGATGCTAAAAATCACGAGATACAACCAGATCGATTCATGCCTGACGAAACAATTCAGCCTAAATGCCAGATGCAGGATTATTGGGTTTATTGTATTTATCAAGGAGCTCTCCATAATAACCATAAAATTTCCTACATTACATCTGAAGTTTGTGTCGACGCCTAGCTAGGAAGACATCATTAATAGAACGAGCCCTAGCGTAGTATAATAGAGTGTACTGTTTAAAGCTCCAAATTTTGTACTTACTTTGATGTCATCGATGAGATTTTTGTCCTCTGGCACACTTGGATGTATACTGACTAAGATATTCATATATCCATTATTTTGGAGCACGATGTTTGTTGGTCGAGTTATGCCATTAATGCAAGTTACGTGAAACAGAATCCATGTGAGATAAGTGAACATTTTCATTTTTTCCCTTTTCTTGTCGAACATGAGATCATATTTGAAGGTGGTTATTTTGATAAATATCTTCCAAATATAAATTCAATCTTTTAATAAATACGTTATCTAAGCTAGTATTTGGTTGCTAATGTCATTTAATTGGTTAACAAGGATAGGGTCAAATAATTTGACAATTTATCTCTCATTTATAGATAAAAACACAAACAGTAAGATTTAATCATTTTATTATTCATTCTCCTTACCCACATAACAAAAAATTACCTTTGATTTATTATTTTAGTCCATAGTTAAATATTTGGCATGGCTGGATTTAAAACTATTTACAACAAATTGTACAAGATGTCCATTAGATAGCTGATTTGTGTTGTCATCTAGATTGATAAAGATATAATGTATTGAGATCAATAACAATCAAAGAACTTCCTTGTACGGACTTTCTTTTGTTCTTTTAATAGATAAACTGTAAATAACACACCTTTAATATAAAATCTCCTTTCATATATATATATATATATATATATATCAGAAAAGCAATATTGGAAATTTAACAAATATCATAGAACATCAAAACCATTGCTGAAGTCAACAAAGTTGCATTAACCTCGATATACTTTAATCATGTAATGTTCAAGTCTATTCCTTTGTTTTCTAATAATCTCGAACGACCGAAGAATGCAATCAAAGCAGCTATTGGTAAATGCTCACATCTATAGTGTAGCAAGCTTGTTTTAAGTCGCCTTTTCAGACAAAAATTTGAATTTATATCAAATAACAAAATTTCCAAAAAAAAAATACTCCAAAACTGTTTAAAAGGTATTTTACCATCGAAGAGTTGGAATACAGTTATATTGATTCAGGATGATTATTGGGTTTCTTCAGTCAAACGACATTCTTTTCTTTAACAACATTATTTACATTTTCAGATCGACGTAATTTGATAAATTTACAACCGAATGTAATAGACGCAATTACACATACTAAGGCCAATATTCCTCCAATAATAATCAAAGACACAGACGTGTCGGGTTTGGATGACGCATCTCCAGACACCCGAGTTACCCTAACCTTATCTGGTCGATGGTCTGTATGCACATAGTCCGGTACAAGACCAAATCCTGTAGTAACAAAGTTGGATTTCTCAGCCGTATTGCCTACAGCATCGGTCGCTTTCACCGAGAAAACAAGTAGCTTGCTGCTTGCAACGTACGGAAACTCGATGACGAAGGTCTCAGTTGTACCAGATTCCTTTGGAGACAGCAGATTACCCTCCAAAAGTTCTTCTTGTAAGATGTACCTCATGCTTTGGTGACCATGCATCATATCTTCAATGGTGCTGGATACCAAGATGTCATAGCTGGTGGCTTGAAATGAACAACCAAAATAGAAGCGTTTATGTGCAATTCATGTCAAAAAGAAAACGAGACGAGTATTGCGAGATACATCCTTGTACTGGAAGGACTTTCTTATTTATTTAAGACATGCGATCTTCAAAGAAAATTCAGAGATGTATTTCATATCATGATGCTAATTATTGACAATGTTTCATCCTAGATGATGACTTTATTCATCCACTTTAGTGTAGAGATAATGAGTAAATTATTTGATCCCCCATGCAAGGGCTTGCCCCTATTTGTAATCTCAACCCAAACTGTTGTTGCCCACATTGAGTTAGTCTGCCCCCTATTTGTACCACACCGCCTCTGTATTTGGCCTTAGTAAAGTGAATAATAGATTACCTGATTTGAAATCTAAATCGTCACCAGGAGCTGTCCATTGTAATACCACAGTTTTATCATTGTGTGGTGTCTCCATTACTGTTAAATCTGTGATCCTAACAGGAGGTATAAGATCAACTATAAAATCATCTGAATCTGTAGATGGTGCTGATTGTGTATTCTGATTTGTTGATTTGTACAGGAAGGATCCAGCCACTGTAGCTCTTCTTATAGGAGTATTTATCCGAACAGCAACTTCATCTTTGAAATGAGAAAATGATGTAGACCACTTTTCATTATGAAATACTTACTCATTTACGATTGATATACCTCCTCATGTGAAATGTTCATTATCTGCTACCAATGTTTGGCCAGTATGTTTTTTGGATTTCGGGTTTCGTTTTGCATTGCTTATAGGGTAGCTGGTAAAGGAATATCAATGAGTATGTATGAGTATTATGTGCATATTGCGTTAGGGATCTAGTAACCTGTTGAACTAAAGGAGAAATCTGGTGATTTTTTATTTAATGTAGCCTCAGTAAGGAAAGTTATCACATTATTCCTTCCAGAATATATTGTGATATTTCGTGGTGATTAATTAGACATATGTTCTTCGTTTTTAAATGAGTCGTAAATCACCTGTATTTAGATCTCCACTGTTTTCAAGTGTACTGTCTGGTATATTGGTGACTTCTATTTTAACACTATATCTACCATCTCCACTAAACTGTGTAAAATATCTACTATAAACTCCATCATCTTTTGTGATATCGGCACCTTATAGAGAAAAAAGAACTGATTTCAAGGTTTATTGTTAGTTATATCGACCATCTTGTACAAAAATGTCAGCCCTTATCTATTTAATCCTTCCCATCCTCTTATAAATATTAATGTCTTTTTCAACTGGTGTTTGATCACTTATTAAATTCATGCTTTTTTTGAGACTACCTGGCCATTGAAAGTGTCGAGATTTATAGATCTACTTCTCACATTTCTCTAAAACTTCTCTTCTTTTAAGAATCTGAAACAGTGCAATAATAAAATGCATGTTAGTTGGATTACCTGCCCCATTGTCCAATAACTCCAACACGACCGAGCCACCGTTTTGTCTTTCTACAATTGCTGTTACATCCATTCCCAAGACAGGATGAGAACCTTTATTGACTTCTGTCCAGATCATTACTTTTCCAGATGGTGTCACTGATACGGAAGATAGTCCAGCATCAATAAAGATGGGATGTCGTTGATCATCTAGTGGTTTACTTGTGATTGAGACTGTTACTTTCTGTGGTCGACTATCCGTGTTTATGACGCTGTATTTCCACATTCCAGTCTGAAATTACGATAGATATGTTTTTAAAGGATCCGTCTACAACAGTCAGTGTTTGCTTTTGTGCCACATTCATATATTCGGGTGATTTTCAGTTAAATAGTCATACTTATCCTGAATCAGTCAAGCTAGAATCATTGGAAGCCAACAGATGTCATCTGAAACAACAACAACAGTTAACGCTACCAGATGTCACCTAGAGCAGTCGGTTGAAGCCAACACATTCCACTTGAAGCAGCTTATCTGACTTGAAGCTACCAATTGTCACATGAAGCAGCTAAACGTCATACGAAACCACCATATAGATCTGAAGCAAGGTTTGACATATGGGATGGCATTGACCTAGTGATTGATAGTGACTGATAGTGAAGATAATTGAATGCAAAACCAACCTTTGCTGTTCCTGGTACATCCATTCTAATAATTTTCAACGACTGGTCATGGTTGTATCCGCCACTGTTTTTGTTGCAAACAATTTTTTGCGGTGATGTTGTAGTTATCAATGGTTCAGTCTCACTATACATGATGTTAAAACTAAGATTTAAACCAACATCTTCATCTATAAACACTTCGCCATTAACTTCCTGCCATTGTTTGACTACTGATGATCGACTAACTAGCTTGAAAAAAAATCTTGGGGCTAAGAAGAACTGAATACCCATAAAAGTGCGTAATTATGTTATATCCTGAACTCATGAGCATTGATGCAACAGTGTAAGCTGTAAATTAAGAAAACGTCAAAAGGCTTTCTAACAACAATTAGTATACAATCGCGTACCGGTATGGTATAAAGATTGTAATAAGGACAAGGAAAATGACACGGATTCGTCATGGAGTGTTGTTTTAAAAACGTTTGATTCTGGACGCCTTTGGAAAGATATCAAGTGTGTTTTATACAAAAGAACATTACCAATATGGAGCTTGGTTTATCTTGTGGGGTGTGACGATTGATGATATCCGAAACAGCATCATGTGTTGAAGTAGAGTTGATGTCATCGATACCATGATAATACCGTCCACCTTGAACACATACACAGATTGTGTATTACGGGCGTCTTAATATACATGTGTACACATCAGAAGGGTGGCTAAGCACATTTGGCAGAATATTTCTCTGTCTTAACAATGCCCTAACTCACAAAATGATGTTTTTTTTGTTTTTTTTTTGTTTTAAGGAGATGTAAAATAACCTTTCCTTAACTTTATATGTTTATTGGAGACGCGTAAAGCATATTCTGCTTTCACAACTGACGGATGTGGATTCTTTAAGTCCGCAAAATGTTGACAAAATTAAGAATTCACTATCGCAATTATACCATTTGACGTAAATAGGTTTAGTGATGATGACATCACAGCCTTGTAAAGGTAAAACTGACAAGAAGTCTTCCAAACTTTACCTGATTTAAAAGCAGCAAACTCAACAGCATCTTCAGAATCACTGCTATTAATGTGTATGACATGGAGCTTGATGCCATGGGGTTGAAGCATATTTAATATATCTGTTGTATTCTCTGATGATCTTTTCGGACTGCTACCACTCTTAAACAATATTATCTCTTTACTGACTGAATATTCAGTTGGTGTCAACAGTATCTGTAAAATATATTGACTTTACTTTTTTTTGTTGTATTGACATCTTATGCTGTTACGCCTGTTGGTTTGGAGAAAGGGTGTAAAATTGCCGATATTCGGGCGTAGGATTTTATATCCGATACGTCATGTTAGTCTTTATCACAATTCAGGCAAAATTTTGGACAATCGATCACTGTCGATATGGACGTTAATATGGTCCCTAAGAGGATTCTTTTCTCGTGTTGAGACCAATGAGACCATCATTGATGTACCACGAGAAATAATCATTGGACTACTTACTGAACTGCACGGTACAATGATATCAGTAAGGTTTCCGGATCCAAATGATTTACTTGGTAAACTTCGCTTCAACCTGTTTCTATCAGCCTGTGATTGTATAACTTGTAAAGAATGGCGGATTTTAACCGTGTCGTTATCAACTGATGTTATACCAATCTGTGTATTTGGTAGTTCATTTTCAATGTAAGTTGCTGCTGCTTGTCTTAAGTGATGACTTATGCCTTCTTCCTATAGAAGAGAGATACAATGTACGGTACAACAGCAGGTCTGTGAGATGAGGTACCATTATGCTGCAATTGGTCTATTGATGAAAATGACTTGGCGAAAATCACCTTAATCTATTTGCATTTAATACCATCAGACGGATTATCAAAAGATCGCCCGAGTTTGAACAATTTTCTAAAACATTAATGCATGTTAATCTAGTCAGCTATATTCACCAAGAAATCCGTCACGACGTTCTTCCATCATTGTCATCATATGAATTGGAAGTGATGAATTATAATTATGATTATGGACAATCGGTCTTGCTGTGAAAAGCTAGATACGAATCAAATCTAGTCTACATACGAATTATGATAAAAGCAGGTTAAGAAAAGCGATCGCAGTGATCAGGAACAAGATTAATATTTAGCATGAAGACTCTCAAATAAAGCCAAAAAGACAGTACACTATTCATTATATGAACAACTTACGGCATCATTACCAGCAATGTCAAATGCTAGAACAACTCTTCTGGTTTTAGCCGCTTTTACCACTTTGAATGTAGGAGTTGTATCAGCTATAACTCTAGGTGGATTGTTGTTATTTTTAAAATCTGGACTGTCCTGTATAACTGACCACGTGCTTCTCTGGCCACACAATCTATTCTGTTTATTTGGTGCTTCATAATTGTGAATTTTCGACGCATCAGAATCATTATCATTGCAGAAAAACTTGACCTAAGAAAAAAAGAATACAAACTGAATCTCTTTAGGGGGAGGGGGGGATGATAGATGCGCCCTCAGAAAACTGCTTTGCTCCCCCAATTTTACCATACTTTATTTCTTAGTTTTAAAAGTACCCCTCAACGCTCCAGACGGTTGCATCTATGGCGCTTCTACAGAGCTACCGTTTTTTTAATCTTAACCTCGACAGTTGACCCCCTGCTCCTTATTAAGTCACTTTGTCCCCTATTTGTACCTCCAGTCTCAGGAGGATTCCTAGAAGGATTGAGGAGTGTGCAAGACTTGCGTTAAACATAGGATAATATTACAGTTCTATGATTAAAACACTCCTGCATTGCAATTTAATTTATCATTAATTCAAATATGTAACTTACCCCTGTGCGTGGTACGCTCATAATTGACGCACTCGCCCTATGTTGACTTGGGTAAGTATAAAAATGGCATTTATCTGGGAAATGTTTGTCTGCTTTAGTTAAATCATTTGATCTACAATAAAATGGTTGAGCATCATCTTTATTTACATAATAAAAATTCATTCCTCTTTGGTTTATATTACAACGTACACCTTCTATATTGCCTGTTGTTGGTGAAATGTAAAACTCTTTTTCACCGGGTAGAGCATACTCTTCAAATACACCCCATCGAAATCTGGCCCACTGATGTACGAGGAACAAGCCTGGAATACACAAATAATTTGTAATTTATTAAGGCGTTTTTAATTTTATACTGAACAATGTAGTTTATGTAATAGTGATAATAGTAAAAGTGGATAAGTCTAGCCATGATAGCATTATAGGTAATCAGTTTGCTAAATCAACAGACCATTGGTGTTTTAAACACATAAACAAATATGTACACTGCAGTGCTAAATGCGTACAAGCACAGCCTGAATTCAGCATAATTTAGCTTAGTTTATCACCATACTACTGTTTATAAACAGATATCATAGGTTTTTAATCATACATGACCAATATATTTTTAAGGTAGTTGATAAAGATAAACATTTACCTCTTGGCCCTAATGTATCTATTCTATTGATCAAATATTTAGTGAGATTAAAAACATCAGGAGTCAGATTAATTCTGATTCCAGGACTTCCACATCCACTATAGCTTCTTTTCTCTGGTGGACGACCAAGCTCAGAAGACGTAAATACTACATCGGCATTATTATACATTTCTGACCCTGCTGGAGAGGAAGTGCCACTGGACCATGTTGCAGGAATCAGAACAGTAACATCCTGGAAGTATACCCTTTTATAGGTTGCTTCGTAGATGTTTGCTGAGGCTTCTGTGAATACTTTCTGGAAAAGATCATATGGATGTAAATCGTTTTAACATTTTTCACTGTTTATGCACATTTGATAAAATGTTTAAAAACATGTAGCAAGAGGCCGTTTCGAAACGAGCTATTGGTCGCACCAATATGACTATAAAGCGAAAGCCTATGTGTTTATATTATTAGATATGTGTAGGCGAGTTGGTGCTGTGGTATTAAAAAGATTAACTTGTCACACACTGTATGGTATTACCAGTCTTCACCACAAAGACAGCAGAAAAGTAGCCTTGTACGGAAAATTATTAACAGGTTAAATACCATATCATTAACAACACGCGGGTTAATAGAGAACTTACCTTTATGCTATCAATGAGGGTCGGATCCTCCGGAACACTTGGATGTATTGCAACAAGAATATTTTTATATCCATTATTTTCTAGCACAATATTGGTAGGCCGTGTTATTCCTGATACTCTAATTGTCAAAATTAACAGACCTAATACAGCCCTCATGGCGGCCATCTTGAGTAAAGATTTCTGTGTGATGTTGTTTTAAAAAATAGGACCATGTGTGGTAATGGTTGCCATTACACAGGAGAATTTCCACTGATAACATGCCCTGCCTGTTTGTTATCTTGTTATAAACAATTCGGTTTCCGTGTGAACTCAGTAAACCGGGTCAGATCATTCTGACTATCATTTTATCATATGAAACAGCAGGATACCAGAAAAAACTCTCGTATCATTGGCATTTAGGGAATTATATTGTCAATAACTTAAATCGTTTAGTCTGTTGTCCACAAACGTTGTCAACTTATCACTTGGAAACAAGATAGCATCATCTTTAGAGCTCATCTACTCTCGTCTATGGTCTTTCAAGTTTCATTGTGTATTTCGGATGTTTCAATTCCGATTACATTATGAGTCATGAACAGTGGGGTTTCTATGGGGGAAATGTCCAGTTTAAAACTTCAAACTATTGAGTTCTTAAATGCCTGGTGTTATTGCCTCCTCCACCCCCCTCCCCCTTTGACAAATATGTGGCCCCCACTCGGCCTCTCCACCTTATACTTTATAGAAACTATGTGTTTCTATCCTCCCGTGGTATTACATTTCAACGAAAAGCGCTTAGGAATTGGAGAATATTCAGCGACATTATGACATAATGACATCAAATTATCAATTATGAAGGTCTGCTTAATTAAAATGAGTCAGGCCTGGATAATGTCGTTCCGTGTGTTATAAATGAACATGAAGTAACTTCTCAATAAATTTTATTTATGAACATGAACGTTAATACTATAAGGTGATGAGCCAAGTGTAAAACTTTTCCTCTGATCCTGTATTTCATGACCTTGGTATATGACCTTGACTTGATAATCACCATGGAAACCATGCACAGTAAAATAATTATCTCCAGATTTTGACAAACTTCTTGTTTCGTGGGTCATCCATTGATTCTCAAGAAGGTCAATAACCTTCCTTCCTGCTGCGTTTACCTACAATCAAAGATAGAATACTGCAGATAGGTATCACGCCGTTAGTGTATGTAATCAGGAGTTAATGGCACGAGACCCATAAATATTGATTATTGAGAATATCTACACTGTTATGTTATTACTAGTGTTTTGCTTAAATTATTTCCTTAAATACTTTGCTAAAGTAGGACGTAAAACTCCATTCATTTTATTTCAATTAAATTCTTTGCTTGTGAGAACTACAACCTCCATCCCCTTTGCCCAGGTGACTGTTCGTATGACCTTTCTCCAATGGCACATTCTGAGTGCTAAGTTATATCGACTTACAGAAAAATCGGCATTAACCATGGCACCTTTATCACCCCTCCAGTGTCTCTTACTCCAGAAACCCCAGAAAACAATGCCCTTCACAGCAGGATGACCATACAGACTTCTCAGTGCTGTTTCATAAAACTGTGCTCGTTTATTTTCATCGGCTGCCATAACATCCAGCTCTGTAATCCAGATTGGTAATCCTGTTTGAGCTAGGACATCTAAACGAGCCTACAAGAAAATGTTTGGGGGAAATTTTGATTATAAGGTTGGTTGTTCGGTGGGTTATACATGATAAAAAAACAACTAAAGGATTTCATTTAGATACGAGTTTGAGTAATATGTAACTTGTAGCTGAAATTGGGATCTGTAAAATGGTTCTGTGACCAAACAAACCTGGTGGTTTGAGCGATAAATGAAATCAGAAAATCCGTGACTTTATAATGTTGTGAAACCATGAAAATTGATTAATAAGGTACCTTAATCAGTGTTGGATCAGGTGGCATTTCGTCTGTAAAATGACCTTGGACACCTATACCATAGATACCTGTATTACTGGCTTTAAAATGATCGGCTTGATTTTTATATGCCTACAATCAAATACTGTCAGTATAAGGATGCTTTGAAGATGTGGTAGAAGAATGATGGACATGTTCGAAAAATTAGTTTTTGCAGTGTGAGCTCTAGCGCTGTGTTACCTGTGGGTGACCTTTTTGACCTTTTTGATCGACGTGTCACTCCAACGCTGACAAAGGGAATCTGTGTGCTATGGGGACTGCCGAAAGCCGGATCGGGATACCATGCTACACGGAGAACGGGCATAGTGGGTTTCAATGCAACATTGAGACACAATAAACACATATATAAAATGCAATGCTCAATAGCCTATACGCTTTAGACATTCAGTCATCTGAAGGATACATAAGAAAGGTACAGTTAAGTTTATGTTTACCTGAGTATAAGCTCCTCTAGCTACTACATCATATTCATTCAAAAACAGATGAACTTTTGGATCAGTTTGATGAGCGAGTCTAAAAACTTCCAGATTATACTGACCATCGTGTAGGCGGTCTTGAAACCATTGGGCATGTAGATTTTCATTGTTAACATCCCAATGTTCTACTCTGAAAATCAACCATGACTATTCGTGGTTATCCATAGATCACTAGTATAATCTTCAGTTTCACATCAAAAGAACACTTCTCAATCTTTGCTCTCACATTTGATTAAAATCTTTCCTGTGGCAGCCTTAAATGTTCGACTTTTACCAACTGCGTACAATACCTTTACTGCAATTGCAACTTTTCTTGCTGTGCCCTTTGCCCCTCCTGCTTGAGCAACTGGCAACTGGCTACAAGATCAGCCTAATTTCACACTTCGATGTACTAAACTTGTCGATTGATCCGATTCCCACAGATACAGTCGTTGAAAAATATAATTGTTCGCATAATTGTACGTAGCCGGATTTCGAATTTTGAATTGGATGGGGTTTTTTTTCCAATTTGCGGAACCATGCCTATGAAAATCATCTTAAATTGAGTGGAATAAGTACAACTTTCAATTGTATGCAATCTTGAGTCCAATATACATTTGCCTGTACCCCGAAAGACTTCTGTCTTTCTGTGAATACTTACAATCCTTTGACTTCATTCATCACACTATGTATTCTATTAGAAACAGCTTGACGTAAAGCAGAACCAGACAATGCTTTTACCCAATTCTGGATAAAGGTAGGAACTGACCAAATGATATTGTGAGCTCGGACTTTGATTCTACAAAACAGTGAAAAAGGTGCTTAGGGTTAACTTTACTTTTCGCTTTCTAAATCCAAAACTACCATTCCATAACCGTTCTGTTAATAAACCTTTCCCCTTCCATCGGTTAATGTCCTCGCCCAAAGTGGATGTGACTAGCAGTAGAATATTGAAATAGGCTAAATCAACACAAAATTTGTGGACATTGGCAATCCAAATTTCAACTGTCTACGTATCTTTGACTTTGACGTGCACCATCCTGTAGCAGACGGAGTTCAGGTTTACTGCACCGGGTTGAATCATCCACATATATCTTGACTTATGCGGGATTGTATCTTTGTCACCTTCGAACACTGATGTAATAAAAAATACGAACCCATGTTTTCTTAATTCAGCTATAGTTTTCATAGGTAGATCATAGGTCAGATGGCCCTGAATAAAGCATGAGTGATATCGATTATCGATTGTTATTATTCCCATTGGTCTTATAAATTGTGGAAATTTGTACCCATCAAGAGATCTAGCAAGAGGCCAATAACTCTGATATCACCGATGTTTGTTTGGATGAAAATTATTTTCCAATCCATTTCAGAAAGTTAAAAGCTAAAAAAGAGAAGTTACTTCTCGTGATATTTTGTAGTAACAAATTTAACATACCCGGACGTTTTCGTTAGCTGGCCATTTCAATGCGCCTTCCAATGTTCCCCAATTAAAGTGTTTATTTAGGAAATCTCGATACTGTTGATGTCCATAAAGATATTCATCACTTGCTACTGCAGTACCAAAGGGGAAACTTTTCTTAGTTTGGGTTATCTGAAATATTATGCATCGTTTATTGAGCGCAATCAGTCTGTAATACACAGATCAGGGCCTAGGTCTATTGTCGCACTAGACAAATGGTTCCAAACTTTCGGACTCCTCGACGATAGCGCTGAAAGAGGTTAGTAAAGATTATATCGTTGTTGGAACATCGACGTAAAAAGTTTAGATTACCCATTGCGTACTTCTAAAGAGTACTAGTACACTGTGTAACTGTGTTTACACGATCTGGGGGAATTCATGGTTAAGGAATGAAAAAAGTATATTTAATATATATAATCTAATTGACCTGAATCTGTACTTGATGAGGATCAATACCACCATCGACCTTCACACTGAAACAGAAAATGTCCTTCATTCTACAGGTGATTTGTCCCAAATGTTCCCGACTAAAATACATTGATTGCTAGTAGACCTACCCTTAGTAAAGAATCGGGTCAATTCGATATAAAAATAGATCAAAAGATTTCGATCTTTAAAGAGCGGACTTACTGAAAGTTGATATTTGATTTTCGTTTACTGTTAATAGTTGCGTCTGATTTGGCTCTCCATGTTGGGTCTGATGGTAATAAATTAACTGCTGTAGCATCCACAATAAAATCAATACCTGGTACAGGTCCATTGTAGTAGATACGTGTTGTTTTTAAGGCTGAAATAACGAATAAAACTTAAAACTTAGTGTCATAATTCGATCGAGCTAAGTATTAACAAATGGCTTTTGTGTGGCGAGATAAATTTACTTTGGACATTACTTTTACATATTACATGTTGTCGTTTTCTTTCAGGTTTACCTGTAGGTGGGGTGGAAAAATCGCCACTAAGATGAATAAAGCCATTCTTTGATGTCATCATAGGCATTGAAGCAGCTCCGAGATATTCTTTATGATTATCTGAAATATGCAATATGTTAGTATAGTTATCAACAGACAAAAACTTCTGTTCTGGAGGCGAATATTTTATAGCTAAATTTCATTGGATCAAGTTGTCGACCAATTAGATGCAAGGGGGTACTTTGGTTCATTAGCCAAATTGAAGCAAGTAATTAGTTTAAGATTACATGGCTCTGACCTTGATATGTAAACTCCACGCCAATTCCAATCATCTGTCCTACATGCTGTGGATTGTCGTTGAGTAACTTAACAAACCCGCTCACTGTATAGTGGCTATTGGGTCGAACTGCTATATACTGAGATGGACCTTCGTATTCAAATTTTCTACAAGAAACGATAGGATAACGAGTAATGAGAGAACGAACAGGCGATTATTGAGATAAATAAATGGATTTCTGCTGTCGTGTCTCGTTTTTATGTCGAAAAATTCCGGTGGGTTACTATAATTAGGATTCTAGTTATATTTTCCCTAAGCACTGGCATATTTGAAAGAAACATAGTAAAGGACTAACCTTCCAGTGACCTTGACCGCATGTTGTCCTGAATAATGGTCGTTTGTTACTTCACATTTAATACCCCAACAATCCCAGTTACCAGTGGACTCAAAGTCGCCATTTTTCAACAGGTTTTGAGAATTTATACCAAGTACAAGTCCCAATACAAGAATTGAGACAGTACCTAACATTTTGCCTGAAGTAAACATATTATTTCTGCTCAGCTTTAATTCTCTAAAATTCAGTTTTTTGTTTTCTTAATATATACTACTATTATGCATTTTGATAGTGGTCTCTTCTGAGAAAAGAACGTTAATCGTCTTTTCATTTCATATGAACCTCGCATCGTTAGCAAAGGTGCTCCGCGATACCTATTGGTAGGGCTAAGCAATCAACGTAAGTCTTACTCACCAAATCTGACCATGCTGACTAATGTACATCAAACACAAATAGTTTACAATAGAATACACTACTTATAGAGACGAGTACAGAAAGAGTCAATGGTTTTATTCTAGATCGCTATATTGATAAGCAACTGATAAGAAATTTTTCATAAAACCTATCTGTGGTGCCAGTGGATGGAAGATTTCGGTCATCATGTTATGGAAATTTCTAGATTTTATTCAAACGAAAAGTGAAGATCACTCTACAAATTAAAATCACAACTAGATGTTTCCTGTGATGTTTTTTCATTGTGGTTTATTCTATAATTGTCTTTTCTATATATCACAGAATATCTTAAATTGACGAGTCGTCATCGATTTGAAGGCTCAAACACTATTACTGATTGGCAAAGCTAATCTGAGACGTCTGGGTTTCTGAGACTAAAGTATTATTGGTCCAAATGAAAATGGCGCACCTGTCCTTGTCTTTAGTGTAATTATGTAGGCTAAATAATCTTCAGAAGTACTAGAAATATCAAAAAATCGCATAATTGCCAAAATATCTCAAACTATGCATTCCTTTTCTTTACTCTTCAGATGTAGATCATTTCGGTCTTGGAGTCAGCTAGTGGTCTAATCGCTGTAAAGAACAAATTTTTTCAAAGAGTAAGCCCCCCTCGTAGACAACATCTCGATTCCCAACTATCGACTTCATATCTCATAATATTCAATGCATGGCAAGTATCGTTATTTATTCTCGTAATTAGGGTTAAATGATAGTTATGACGTAAAATGGTGTCCAAATTTTGCGAAACCATGCGAATGAAATATGTTCAGAAAGTATGAACAAAATGAAAAACAAACTTTCATTCAATTTATCAATTTATCAAAATATCACATTTCGGTATCATTTTCTTAATGAAGAATGTTAGCAGCAGTCGCATGTTTTTGTGACGTCATCAACGCCGGAAGCACAGTCTCCTTGACATGATTTAGCCGCTTGTTCTGATGATTTACTTTCACCAATCATTTCAATACTACTGGGATGGGATAAAGCAGCATCTGATTCATTACTGCCTAAGGAACTGGATGAAGGGTTTCGTAAGGTCTCTACTTCTGTATCTGATGAATTTGTAGAGAGGCAGCTCGCACTAGTCTGAGTATTCGAGTGGACTTTTTCTGGCCGTGTTTTAACAGTTTCCTTTGATTTGATAAACTCTGTTAGATTCTTGACCCTATCTTGTCTGATGCGTCTATATCTGTTAAAGGACATCATGAATGGTGCTGAATATACCACGATGGTTGCAACAGCGCATCCTAAAAGCGAGGACAAAACAGCAGACTGAAAAGAAAAAGCACGATCAATTATTGTTCGAATTTAAATTTGTGACTTCGCAATGCAGCTTACTCGTACAAAGTTATGTTGTACTATCCAGAAGAATTCTGCTTGGTATATTCGAAGCCTCCTATAGTTGGAATCTTTGTTAGTTCATCTGGCGGAGATGCTATTGACCATAAGTACATCATATTATCTACTGCGTCCGATTATCCCCTATTTTTAGAAACACACTAGCTTTTTAGAAGAGTCTTGTCTTGCAAGGAGAAGACACTCTACATTTCTTTAGACAAATAAACTTACAAGGCTCTCAAATAAGGCTTTGCTTTAGAACTGAAAGTGTGAGATGTTTCTATTGAGTCACTCTACCTGGAATTTCTTGGCAACAACAAATCTTGTAAGCAGAAGAGATACCAGACATATTAAAGTTGGACAGGCCAGTCTCATAAAGTCTTTCAGTAATCTCCATAAACTATCTAATTCACTACATAACATTATCGTCTGAAAAAAAAATCACCGTTAGCAGTGGTAGCGTTTTGGGTATTAATTCTGCTAGTCTACTGCTGTTTGGAATAATCAATGCTGTATCATGTATGCGAGTGGAACAATAGGTCTACCAGGCCAATAGGCTCGTCACTTAATTTGATAGGTCGTGTTTTTATTATCGATAAATTAAATTCACGAAATTCGTGAAAACAAATACTCAGACTTTATAGTCTTTGTTGGTAGGTCCGAAAGCAGGGTCAAATAGAAAAATCTGGACAAAAATATATAACCTTAAATGATTAAGGCGAATGTTCACTTGGATGTAACATGGAGTGACAAACCCGTCCAAGCACTATCTCTTGATAATTCCGTCTAGGATATCTGTGTCAGATTAATTATCATTATCAGACGATATATGGCTTAGCTTACCTGATCTCGGAATTCTGACTTGACTTTTTCGATTTCATTTCTCACCGCATCTCCATTTTCAATAAACATAAAATCTGAAAAAATAAGTTAAGAAGTAGTTACGAGTAGCAAAGGCAATAAATCTAGATCCAGATATTATACTTGTTCAATTTCTGACAACAGAAGCTCTGTGCCTCAACAATATAAAACTCAACATGTAATTTTGATCTGGAGCCTAATTCAGGCGTGGGCCTACAGGCCTCCGGATATCATTTAGTCCGTCAATTCCATAACTTTTGATTAATGTCGAGGACTAAGGCCGAGTGTGATTCTGTTGAGGTACCAAAATTAATCGGTCTACTAATGCCTAGCCTCTTGTCAACCTACCCAGGAAACCAAAGGGGTCAAAGCCGGACACGCCAACTGCTTATCTTACCTCCAGCATCTTTATTTGCTATATCATCACCTCCGGCTGACTGAACAGCGTCTAGAACTTCTTCCACGCGTCTTTCTTCTAACGACATGTTAATGTATCTAAGTTAAAGACTTCTTGGTCTTGTCATCATGTTAACATACAATTTTTAAATTGCTTTCTCCGATGATCGTCTCAAGTTAGGATTAAACTTTGACGTCATTTCCTTCAGAAATGTTGGTAAACAGCTCAAAATACCCTTGGTGATAACGTCAGAAGCTGTCTTACTGTGGGTGACGTTACTTTTTTTTCATTACAAAAATTTGGATATATAAAGGATAGTTGAGTAGGCTCCATAGAATTATGTGGTTCTATTTAGAAGTCTATGGTAGGCTCATACTTCAGGATATCTTCAATTCAAATACCCCTGTCCTCGCTCCTGTATTATGTGAATTTTAGTCATTTTGGGGGGTTGGATTATAACATAAGCCAACTGATTTAGATAGGAATAATAGACATTCCTAAAACAAAGTAACATAATTATTATGTTACTTTGTTTTAGGAATGTCTATGAACTCTTAGGTTTGTTTCCATAGGCGTCAAGGGGCTGGTTAGTTGTCCCAGGCATATTTACCTCTTGGTAAAACTGCTAACTAATATTTAGATGACTTGGATAACGTTTGTAGGCAATATATTATCTCTGGGCTGTCAGATGAATTCAATGCAGATTATTCTGAGTTATTGCCCTTGATAGAAACATGTCCAAAAATCGGCCATCGTGATATTTACATCTACAAATGCAATGAAAATACAGTGTTAAACTTAAAGACTTTGCGATGCGATGTAAATCTGATGGTAAGATTTTTCCGAGCAAAAAGAAGAACATAATATGATTAAGCTTAGTTTTATGCATGAACATATGATTACATTATAAAAAGTTCATTTGGTAATACATTGGTATGAAAAATTGCTGATCCTACGGGAATTTCTTGGACAGCTCCGTCTTGATCCATCATCCATGCCTTGAGATCATAGATTTCATTAGCTTTCTTTTCAGCATATATCGAATATATCTCCAATGAATTCATAATGGTTGTAAGACGCTGTTTGAGAATATACTCGTGTTGTTTCAAACCATGTTTTCTCACTCTTTTAAATCTGGTTTCAGTTTCTACAAGTTTGCGGTTTAAGATGGCAATCTCTTCTGATGATCTTCTGAATGCAAACTCAGCAGCTTCAAGTTTTTCAGCAAGAATCTCGGAAGACATGCTGCTTTCACCTCCGCACTGTATAGCCTATTAATCTGTCCGCGGGTACGTAGATGAAAAGTTAATGATCGCTTCCAGCGGATGCTGATATCGCAAACTAGGTAGTTGTTGGTAGTCGTAGTAATTGGTAGTTACGTCACACCTTTAAGAGATTTTCAGATTATGTACCATTTACTGTTGCGTGATTGTTGATTCTTTGTAATTTTTGGTTAGACTACAGATAAATAAGGGTTCCTCAAACCATGCTTTCCATGCAAATTGTGTTCTTTGTGAAGCTATGAGTTGCTGTATTCTCTTCGGCAATGGTTTGGTTTGGATGAGGATGATGATGGTAATAATCTGAATCAATGATGCTGATAATTGTGATCAAACTGGTTCGGATAATGCTGATAATAATGATCTATCCGGTTGCTGCCATTAATGATCTATATGGTTAAGATGATGAGGAGGATTCTGTTTTGGAAACTTCTGCTGATGATGATTAATCTCGTAACAGATGCTTCTTATGCACAATGTTTATCTTAGGTGACTAGTCCCAATGTTCTGACTTATGAGGTAGCCCGAACTCACTATTACCGTTGTCCAACGCTGTTTTCTCTTCTTATCATGTACAGATTATAACTTAGTAGCTTGAAATTCCACATAAATCTTTATGATAGGGTGTTGTCTCTTCAAAAGTTAATGAAAACTAATGATGATGTATTGCCGTTTGAGATTATTTATAATAAATATCAAAATTGTGTTCCTTTGATTTGATTTAATTTAATTAATATTTATATCGTAGGTAATCCAGTTGTTTCATTTTCACTTAATTAATCAAAGGTTTGTTTAATAAACTTGATTAAATAAGAAAGTCTATAATAATTAGATGAATTTTTTTAAAGACAAAGGGCTCACACTTTGCTCTTGTATATAATATACGTTTAACATCAAACTAACAGTATATTATGATAGTACAAAAAGAAAGCGAAGTCAATGTTTATCTATATAACCCATTTATCTTTAACACTTGCCCTAGTTAATTGATAATTAAAACAATAATTATCAATATCATTAATTAAATTGTTGCAAAAACAACTGAATCGTCCACCTGCTATCCATTTCAATTACTTGAATTTTTGTTTAATGTTCGTTTTGAGGTCGCAAAATTGTCATTACGAGGTAAACAAAGATATGTTCAAAATGCACAAATAGATTGTCAGGGGCGTAAGATGGAGTTGCAAGACTATCTATTCATATTCGTAATCGAGACAACGAGAAGTTTTCGTTTCACGGGTAACTACGTTCCTATGGCTATATATCTATACATAAATGTGTGTAGTACCATGCAGAAATTAAACACATACAGACAACACATATAGGTTGACTATCACGGTAGCCAGATGATATTTTCTTTCAGGAACAAGGACAATAACTTGATAAATATTACATTGTGTCGACCTGGCTGCAAATGAAAATTATTGATATAGAGCAACTCAAACGATGTGAGCTTATAGTTGCACTTTTACATATTGAAGTGTTGCTCAATAATTGATATAATCTGTTTCATCAACTGTATTTATTAGTCATAGCTAATAGAACTAACAAAAAATTCTTTCTTTTAAGGAAAAAAATTTTCAGTATCATAAAGTGCCAGTGATCTTTAGGCTAAATTGTCTGGTCTTGGTATAAATAATATTATGGGAAGTTTAATATATTCAACTCCAAAATACCTGAATATATTTAATTTGCTTTGTACGATTGTGCCCTGAATCCCTGATACTAAACATTTCAAAACAACCACCCCTCCTCCCAAAAAGGACAAAGCACACTTGGATTGTTTTATTTTTTTTAATTGATTTACTTTTTTATATGATACAGAATTTTGCACTGCAATAGAGGTACCGTTTATAAATTTAATATAATAATGGCTTTACAGTTCCTAATTATCACCTCTTGTACCAAGAGAACAATTTAACTATCAGTAAATTTTGGTGGGCGTTTCTCTGTAAATGCTGTCATTCCCTCTTTGCGATCATTCTGAAAATAAAGACATTGTGCTTTTTTCCAAGTACTAAAATGATAAAAATGCAAATCTGGCCATTTCAACTCATCTTTATTCCACCAGACTCCACTTGCCATCCATGATCTGACAAAACTGTTATGCAACTTAAGTTCTAGTTAATATCACCAAATCAAACAGACTGTTCAATAAAAGATCTATTGATGCCTTTTGAACTATTCTGAGAGATTCATTGTCACGTTATTGTATTGTCAGCCCGCTATGAAAAGTGTTTTGGATTGGTTGGTATAAAATATGATAACTTTTGATACTATTTATTGCATTGATGAATCTTTGCTACACAGTCCCAGTCTGTGTAAAAAATTAAGACAATTTAGATTGAGAAACATTATCTCTTAATAAAAATATTACTTACAGTAGCAAATGTAGAGTGAAATAATCTTTTTTCTAAATGAAGACCTTCCTGTAATGTCAGTTCATTTGCTGGAATAAAGAAGAGAAAATTGTGCAGTTGTAAAGAATAAAAATGATAAGTGTCTGGTCGTAGCAAATAGAGTAACAAAATAACCCAGAGTAATAGGACTTGGCAATGCCTTGATTTTATTTTTTCAAAAACTTCGTTTTCTTTAACCTATTGTAGGGCATGGCTTGTACACCAGAATGTAACCCTAGTAACTGAAAATAGGGTGGCTGTTGTTTTTAAACTAAAAGCTGAAAGCTTACCGGAGTTGACAGCTTCTTTACACATGGCTACCATTAATTTAGAATACTGGGCTATTTTTTCAGCTTGTTTGATGGATTCTGGTATTAATTGATCAACTGGGAATACTTTACTAACTAAACCTAAAAAATGTCAAATAAATTTCATAATTTTATTCACTCCAACAAATTACAGTTGTTTTTAAAACTAGTTTTTCTGTAATAATATGAACCATAGATGTAAGATTGGATATCAGAATGATGCTAATAAAAACTTTTAAGTATCCACAATACATTTACAGGTAAACAAGGGCACAACAATTTTGAATGGAAAGCTGAAAATAATCCAAATGACCATTATACTTTATCATGTACTTAGAAAGTCCATTAATGGTCGAGAAGTGTCAACCAACCTGCAGCTAAAGCATCTTGTGCATTCATTCTATCTGCTGTTAAAATCATCTCCATAGCTTTTGATTTTCCCACTGCTCTTATTAATCTTTGTGTTCCACCAGCACCTTAATATATATAATAGATGGTTATACTACATCTTACATTACAATAAACTTACCTTCAATGTTTCACCTAATCAGTCAAATATAAGTCTCATAACTGACTGTATAGCAATATCTCGATATATATGCAAGCCAATAATAAACAGATTTCTGAAAAAAATACATTCCTAAACATCTTGTTTTAACTTACCAGGTATTGTACCCAATGTTATTTCTGGCTGACCAAACTGAGCTTTTTCACCAGCATAAATTATATCACACATCATAGCCAACTCACAGCCACCACCCAACTATAATATAGACAGATTGATATAACCTATTTCAATAATGGAGCAGGACAGGGCTAAGCGATATTGTTAAAGTGGATATCATGATATTAAACATTAATATATACCCATATCGTGATATTTCTTAAGTAGGGTTTTTTTCTGGTTTTTGAAATTCGTATCTTTCAATGAATTCAAATACTTCGCTGATGTGCCTTATTTATGTGTCAAAAGTTTAGACTCCAAACCAACATTTTCAAATATCATATTCTCTCTAATGTCTGTCTAATTTGCAATCAAAGATTTGTTCAAATTTCAAAACACAAAGATGAAACATACAGCATGTCCATTTACTGCCCCAATGAGTGGTTTTCTACACTGAGATATTCTGTCTAAGACTTCTGGAAAATTCGTTTTGAAAACTTTATCAAAAGTCTTTTGAGACATTTCAGCTATATCTGCACCAACTGGAAAATAAGGATAGAGCTTGTACAATACATACAGCAAAACCATTGACAGCAGCAATAACAGGCTTCCTGCTAGTGGCAACATGGTTCCAATGACTGAGAAAGTTCCCAGAGAACACTTCAGAAAACTGTCGATGCTGCATTTCTTTGATATCGGCACCAGCTTAAATACAAAAAAATAGGATTTATTATGGTAAAATTATCTGGGTCTACTTCATGGTGCAAATTTAATACCTTACTTAACTGATATCCATCCAAACTGCAATTCATTAGTCAATGAAAAATAAGGGTTATAAGTATATAATAAGGGGTTGAGCTACTAAGCAACAAAATCAACCCAAACACTAGTCAAAATTTTATTAAATTCAGCAATGCTAATATCATGGTAAATGTATATACAATGGACTGGAACTTTCAATAACGATCAGTGACCTCAACATTATGGAATCAGAGATTTGCAGAATAATTTTTTACGGAATTTACTTACTTGGCCAAATTTCAACATGAGTAAACTTACCTGCAAATGCTCTTTCACTGCCTGTTAATACTATACAACCAATAGTTTTATCTTTCTCAAATTCTCCTAAAACTTGACCAATTTCTTTCATTAAACCATCACACAGAGCATTTAAAGCCTTTGGTCTGTTGAGTTGAATAAAACCTACATTTTGATCATTTCCTTTTTTCTCTGCCTTTATAAATTCATATTCTCCTGAAATACACGCAACAAATAATAGTGATTAAAAACTTGTTGTTAAAAACAAAATGAAATGAATGGAGTTTTACGTTCTACTTTTCTGCATCTGATTTGGATAATAAAGACGGACAACACTATGCAGTGTGCAATGAGGGAAATCCAACTATCAAGGTATCAAGGAACTTGTAATGGCACAGCCTGTAGCACACCACAGGACCTAGTGTCTTGATGACTAAACTCTTTATCCATGTCAGCCTCCCCTGCTGTTAAGAAAGAGGCTTAAAATCCAGAATCTTTTGTCCTTGTATAAACAGAATTAAAAAGGTACAAACTTGGACAAAAAATTCTCTTTGGTAAACATGGTACTAAAATACTGCACAGAGATAAGTTGTTGTGATCTGTGTTGGAATGTCAGGAAAGATTGATTTACCTCCCTTGAATGAAATAAAGGCAATTTTTTTGCAAATAACTTGTAAACTTTGGTGTTTAGTGAATTCTTTTCATCGATATTTTACTGCCAACTAAATCTACTTACCTGTTGCCAAACTTCTAATGAATGTACAATTTGTGCCAAGGTTTGAAGAGTTTACAGAGAGCAATTTAGATATTTTGCTCAGTGTATTTCTTGTCAGCGCAGCCATCTTTATTTTATAATCCGAAAAGTTCGCTCGTCGTATATTTGTTAGTCCATCGTCAATGTACACCATGAAAAATCTGAAAGGGAGTTAGCGGTATTACTAAAAAGTGGAAACTGAAGTAAAAATTCCATGTCAGCTTAGTATGATCATGGCCTCGGCCCTACATTTGTCTCGAGGACATCCATCTCACCTCCTTCGAAATCGGACTACGGGTGCTTAGACTGGACTTTGGATCTTTTATGATCGAATGTAGTTATCGCATTTTTTGTTGAAATATTTCAGTGTCTAAAGAGTTCAGCTAAGGCACGTCGAACTCAAAAGATAGTCGTCTAAATATTCTCTTTCTTAGCCGATAAAACATATTTTTAGGCCTAGGCCTACTGTTCATTTGACTATTCAGAAAAAAAAAGTTTAATTTGCTTCTATAATGCAGATATTACAGATATCACTTCACGTTGTCATTTAGCAGTTATATTGACAATTATTTTTAAATTTATAAGGGTTTAATTTTTTTGACAGTTTAAAACGGCAGTGTTGGGTGAATTTATGTTAAGCAATCACATATTTGAATCTGCTTACTCGAAGACCTCCTTTACTCTGCAATATTACATTCTGTATATTTATTATAAGTGAATGATAAATCATAATAATATTAAGTAGGCCCTACGTGCACAATCGGCCTTGTATATCCGAAGCTGCCCTTTGCACCTTCATTATGAATAAGAGTCCAAAGTGCACACTACATTCGTAAAGTAGACCTACTATATCCTAAATTTACGTACTATAAATGTAGAATAAGACTTAAATGTCCTTAAAATGACAAGAGATTGTTGGGTTGGATACAGAATGCACGGCTGTGGATATTTCAATCGCTTATCTCCCTTAAACACAAGCGCGAGAGCCTTAGAAATAATTTCAATGTAGGCCTATTTGCTATATAGCTTTTAGGATGATGGGTCTATATTTCAATATATTTTATACCTCGATGCACTGCATCATCAGGAAATAATTGGGCAATTATATTTATATAGGAAAATTCTAATGAAATCAGTGAAATGTTTCAATATAAATGCAACTATTCTATCGCTCACCCTAAAAGCATGCTTTTATGTTTCGCCTTGAACCTATAATCGATAACCTTCCCCGACATTTCATGAATCTATTTTAATTTGATATATCACTGCAGTAGGTTATAAAAGAATATTTGATAATTTAATGCACTCTTGTCATTTTTGGCTAGCAGCAACAGGACATTATACGGATTTTTAACATAACAAAAATATGGACCACAGGAGTAAGTACTATACTTTTGATCCTGGTTCCCAAACTTTTGAAATCCTCGCACACTATATAGGCCTACGCTATTTCTGAAACGCTCGTCCACCAAAAACAAAACAAGAGGCATATTTTCATTTAACTCTTTTGAATGGGATATAGGCAGCTTAGGTTTAATGGTATAGTTTACATTGAGTTCATTTATTTTCTTCACAATTAGACGTTTATTTTGCTTAAATCCGTAGCCTATGCATAGTTTTTTTTTAACTCCTTTCAAAGAGCTTATCGGATTAAAAAGTTTACGTAAACTCCTTTTGAATAGTTTTGACGGTTGGATTTTTTTTACAACATCCATATAAGCCTTGGCCTACGTTTAGGGACACATTTCTCTAGATTTTGATGTAGCCTATAGTTTTCTTAAATGTGAACCAAAAAAAAAGAAATTTTCGACTTAGAAAAATATCATAAAATGAAAATCGTAAAGATTTTATCACTTTCATTCCGATATAGGCCTAAACTTTGAAAAAAGGGTGGTCTTTTTCGATTCTCATTTCCCGCCAATATCTGCTTCAAGGTCAAGGATAACGCCCTTGGGGTTAAAAAGGCCGGTACAAATGCTCGATCTTTGCAATAAGCAATATTATCCCTCGAAAGCGTCTGACCTAAAGTTAATTATTTTGTAAAGATTTAAACCTCGATTAAGATTCGCCAAAGAGTGGGATATAAAGTCGAATGTAAGTAACAAAATAAATTCCGAGAATCCAAGACATTTTTTTACTGAAATTTAGGAGGTTTGGTGGGGTGGTTGTAGTCGAGTCAAGTATCACTTGAAACTATTAAAATTACCTCCAAAACTGATAATTTATTTTATCATTTTGAGTACGAAAGTGGCATGTTTTATATGAATGTGGTTAACCCTACATAGATTAACCTATACCTTATAATAAAGAAAGTAGTTTTGACAATATAAACACTCCCCTTCGAGCCTCCACGTGTACTGAGTGAGTATCAGGCGATCACGCCATATCATCCTGTCAGCTGTCTGAAATCAACCAACGTTAACCTATCTATGGAGGACTCAAATTATCTTATTTAATACTGGTTAACACGTAGGCCCTAATACAACAACTAGTTTTAATAAACTACAGCGGAAACAGTGAGTGTATTTAGTTTTTATATTATATTATTGTTTATTTACATGTAAAACCGATAATTTCCGAAAGCCTGAGCGGAAAAAATTCTAAATTATTTACAAAGGAAGCATCTCATACGAGCCAGCTAACGTTACCAAACGATTTCAATAATTGGTACCAGAGCACCAAGACTATACATAAGAGTTGGTTTGATGGTAGCCTAAATAATTAGGTCATACTTTAAACTTGTTGTAGGTTAGACTAATTTACTGCTTGTCTTAATTGACATATCGGTAGTAGGCCAAGGCTTGACGAATTTTGAAGGTTGATATAATCAATAGATCTAGATCTCTTTTGAAAAAGAGGACCAGTTTCATGTTTAAAGGACAGGGTCCTCACATTACAGGACATTGAATGATATGTACTAGCATATGGCCATGGATTTTGGTCCATAAAGTAGAGCTCTGTAAAAATTTAACATTAAATAGGGCCTGCTCTTATAGTCAAAAGAACTGAAATATATCAAGCTTCTTTGGGAAGGACAAAGAAATTTTATTGCAGTGAACCTATTTTAATGATTAACAATTACCTTGAGAGGCTTAAAGGATATAAATATGAACAATTTCGAGGCTATGTTCTTATCACATGATTAGGGTAAGCAGAGCACCAATCTTTAGTAAGATGAAAAGGCGGTGGCTATGGCTATGGCAAGGGTTTTGTTTTTGGTACATGGTTAAAAATAAAGGAAAGGTAGTGGTTATACTAACCACTCACTTTGTTGCTAGTTTGTTATGTGGGTTGGTCATGTTTGATTAATTTTATTTGATGACATTTTGTCAAAATGTTCATGTGAAATTTAATTGAGCCAAAACAATTTAAAAAATATACTGGTATCATTTTTATTAAGTTTCAGTAGAAACAAACTCAAGTAACAAGTACAAGATATTCAATAAAAAAAATACCAGAAAAACTTTAGATTAGTTAAGAAATTAGGAGAGTGTTCCTGATCCAGGGCATTGTAAAGCCAGATTGTTTTTCGTAGTGCTGGATATGGCCACGATACTATACTCTATAATGATACAAGGGTCACAAATCACAATATGATACACATAGCGATATCGAGTAAGGGGATAAAAATTTACAGTTCGTCTTCAAAGGTTCAATATTTATTAATTTACAGAGCTACATAAAGTGATATGCTATTTGGTAATGTAGTTGATAGAAGTGCTTAATGTCCACCATTTAAATATAAATAGTTTCCAACAATTTCAGTCAAGTCAGTGATTCCATCCCCACCTTTTATGGAATGAGAGGTATTATCAAGTATTGTAACACAACCTGGCAGTATGATATGTGTATTGTGGCATGTCACATTGCAATACGTCGGTTTACCTATTTATCATGCCAGTAGACCTACTAGTTTTTTGTTCTCATTCTGCAAATATCAACTGTTAATTATTAAAGTTAGCAAAGCAGTAAATTTACAGATGCCAAACAAAACTCTTGTCAGAATTTCAACTCTTGGCGTAATGGAAATTAGCGATTGGAAATTATAACCAATATTTATCTTAAATCATTTAATTGGAAGGTTCCTTGAAGCAATGGACCCATTAGTTGATTAATGATTTATTTCACACAGTTTACTCGTATATCAGTAGGCCTATTGTTCATAAAAAAATTGAAATTTCTGGGAGGATGGACCCCACAACATTCCTAGACAAATGGATTGCTATAATAAATTTTGTGTGAAATAAAATTAAAACGAGACAATAACTTCCAATTCTCAGTGTTCAATGCAGTGAAAGAATAAGTTTATTCTGAAACATTCAGGTTTTAATTGATAATTAGATGACCATATTTCTATTTACATCTTTAAATAGATGACCATATTTATAGACTGGTATATCTTAAATTAGATGACTATATATATATATATATATATATAATGTTACATAAACTTCTATGTCAACATGTCTACTAATAAACAATAGTGTTAACATGTGATAATGATTAAAATTGGACTTTGGAATGGTTTGAATCATCAGGGAATACTGTATGGTGCTAAAATTAATACATCCTTTTAAACTTGTAGTCCCATTTTAAAGGGTTAAACACAGAGTAATTTTCATAATAGAAATTATTAGACCTCTCATTATAATTATATTCTTTTAAGATATATTATTTTGATTTCTTTATTTAGCTGTGACTCTTTAAATGTTTGGATTTCTACTTTCAGCCTCCAAAATGCCACCAAGGAATGTTGTATCTGACTTGGCAAATCAAGACGATGATGTTTTGACTGGTGAGTCAGTCATTGAACCAGTTATAACAGAAGCAACACATAGTGCTAAACGTCCTCCAATGAAAGTTGTATGGAAAAATGTTGTGATATTTTCTTACCTTCACCTAGCCACTTTCTATTCCCTTTTTCTTATTCCAAGGGCACATTACTTGACTCTCATATGGGGTAAGTATATTTTGTTCACATTTAGAACCTAATGAGCAATGTGCTGAAAGATTTGAAAAACTGTGCATGCATACTGGTATCCATACATTAAAATTGAATTTTACAAAATTAAAGCCATATATTTCTAAAAGATTATAGAGATCTAGTAGATGAGGGGAGATCTGAGGGAGTCTGCAATGGATAACAAGGTGCTTCAACAACGAATTATCACATCACAAAATTTGAAGTTGCACCAGAAAATGATAATGTCTTGATATTATTTGTATAATGTATGAATTATAATTATAGCCTTTGCATTATACTTAATGGGAGGATTAGGCATCACAGCTGGAGCACATAGATTATGGTCCCATAGATCGTATAAAGCCAAACTACCTCTTAGGATAATACTTGGTATATTTCAAACTATTGCTGCTCAGGTAAATAGTCTTCCTTCTTTTATGGTTAAGAGAATTACCTGGAATCTAACTGCATGAAAAATTTGGCTCATAACTGAAGTGTATATGTAAATGCTATGTGACAGAACTTGTAACGGCCGCTTGTGAATGTATTGTCATTTTGTTTCCAAAAGATTGGTTACTTGTCATGCTTTACATCCAACTCATAGGCTCTACACGATCTACATGATGAACATTTTGGATTCAGACCACTAACAATTACAAATGCAGTGAAACACGAAGAGGTCTCATAAAATAGAACATAAAATATTTAGTGTTAGTTGAAATGTAAAAGTTTTGATTCTTTTTCTTTGTTATAGAATGACATTATAGAATGGGCAAGAGACCATAGATTACACCATAAAACATCAGAAACCGATGCAGACCCTCATAATGCCAAAAGAGGTTTTTTCTTTGCCCATATTGGCTGGTTACTAGTCCGTAAACATCCTGATGTAAAACTGAAAGGCAAATCAGTAGATTTATCAGATTTGTTTAATGATCCTGTTTGTACTATACAAAGAAAGTAAGTAACTATTTTTGTTGCTAAATGAATTTTACAGATGATTGCAGAGTATATCTTGAATGCTTTATCTTTTCTTAGTATACTTATACTGAAATTTTGAGAATCAAGCCTACCTTTGACCATGTGTGATTCATGGTACTTTTATGAAATAATGATAGCTGTATCTCTAATTATTTATCATATTGACCAAATACTTATTGTATCAAAGCTTGATACGTGAGAGATAAATAGTTTTTATCAGAACAGTAAATTAGAAGTAAATAATCAGTTCTCTTATCTGATAAATTAACAGGAGTAAACCAATCTGATTTAAATACCCTACTTTCATGAAATTTTGATGACCTACTTTCACCTTGTTAAAGATATCTGAACCCCTTTTCTCAAAATATCGTAGATTAATGTATGAATGTAAACTTAAATTATTTGATAACGTCAAAAATAAAGTTTTTCTTCACTAAACGTGCAAGTTTAATGGTACGAAGTTAGTATTTTATTATCTCTCTATTTGAATATTAAAAAAATTTTCTGATTGCTGTTGTCTTTTTTAATTTCAGGTACTATAAACTTGGTGTTATTTTGTTTGCATTCACCCTACCAGCAGTCATTCCTTATTATTTCTGGGGCGAGAGTCTGTGGAATGCATTTTTCATATGTGGTCTTTTCCGTTTATGTGTTTTGTTGAATGTTACATGGCTTGTAAATAGTGCAGCGCATATCTGGGGAAATCGACCCTACGACCGCCGAATTAACCCAGCACAAAATGTTGGTGTCACACTGGGAGCCATTGGCGAGGGGTTCCACAATTATCATCATGTCTTCCCCTATGACTACTCTACTAGTGAATACGGAAAGTATTTTAATGTTACCACCTGTTTTATTGATTTCTGGGCTTACATGGGCCAAGTGATGGAAAGACGTAAGATACCTAAAGAGGTTATTGAGAGACGACGAATGAGAACAGGAGATGGAACAGATGGTTTCAATTTTTGAATGTAAATATAAAAACTGTAGTGAGTGAGTGAGAGGGGTGATAAAAGTCTTCAGAATAATTAAGAAAAAGACTCGCTGCCAAAAAAAATGTTTAATGACAAAAATTTTGACCAGTTTTCCGATTTTTTCCTTATAATTTCACTTGGAAATTTTTGATAGTGGACAGCACATCGAAATTGGCTTTTGAACAAAGGTGGAAAGCATTTTGGCCGTTTTTCTACTTTTTATTTTTTTCTCAGAGATTGGAATCAGTGCACTGTCATCATGACATATACTGATAACAAGTATTGAGGTATATCAAGTTGGCAGAGCTCTGAATCCAGTTTTAAATATTTGCACTTGTTTAGACATTTCTTCTAGATCACAAGCTAAAGTTTTGTCATAAAAAACAAAGATGTATGAATTTGATTCATGTTTAGTTAGAACAAAATGATTTTGTGTGTGTGTAGACGATGACTGAAATTTTGACAAATATTTGTATATTTATACTATTGTGCCATGAAACAAGATTACTTAAGAGAAAAGGGTTATGGGGATGGGGGATGTTGTTGTTATTTGTTAGTTTATTGTTTAGAAATCAAACTGTAGAAAGAGAGGCATTTTCTGCTATGAATATGCAATAGTTGTTATAAGGTGCTATAAAGTAGATATATTATTACTGATTTTCAGAAGTGTAATCGTCAGGGTATTTGGCTGATGGCTGAACCTCCCAACATATAACATTTTAGCAATTCTTTTTTGTGGCATCTCCAAATGTTTGACACTCTCTTGATTTTGAAAAAATATAAGCCACCCATTGAAGTTACCTTCTTCACTCAATAAAGAGTGAGCATTTTGAAAATCTTTCTTGGCAATGGTTACACAAATTTTGAGGACATTCGTATTCTCTATCACGCATCTAAGAGCCTATCTTTGGTTTGATTATTTTGTTATTTTTGATATTTTCTATCACATTTCTATATATAAAGTTGTTCATTATTGTATCCACCTATTGTAGAGCTGCTACTATGATGTTTAAATAGAGTTATGTCCCTTTAGGTATTTGACTTGAACAAGTATTTGCAGTACGAAACAAACACAAAACATTATAGCATATTTAATTAAGCAATTACAAATAATCAGTTAATTATTGTCAATATAAGCATTTATCAATCAAAAATGATTATTTCCAGATTCGTTATAATGTTACTGTAACTATGTATATATAACTATAATCTTCGAGTCAGAAATGGATGGATAATTTCTAACCATTTCCCTTTACTGCCTATATTATTTTGAAAATTTAACCTGCCACCTTATCAAAAATCAAAATAACTTTACTTGCAATCTGATTGAGCATAGAACTGGATGTTGTGTTTTGTGATTACGGATGGTGAGTGCTGTAACAAGCAGACAAACTCTCATGTTATATTTTATGTAAATTGGAACTGCTTCAAAAATATATTGACTAAGACATAGTACTACTCATAGTCTTGTTTCAACTAGTAAGATTTTGAATCACTTTGCATTGATAAACACAGATGTGTTATCACTTTTAATTACATCATATGAATCCAATAATATGTTGTAAAATGTAAGGTACAAAATGACAATATCAAACTAAAACTAATTTACTGTTTACAATTCACATGAAAATAATAAATACATTTTGAGCTCCCAACTAAATTAAAAAAATAACTAAACAGTAGTTCTGTAGTCTAGTCAGATTGTTACAGTATTAATATGTCTTTCTGTTTTGTATGGATTGTTTCTCATTGTATTTATGAAATTTGTGACTTAAAATATTTAATGATTGATGTCAGAACTGGTGATAATATATCTGGTCAAAATGTCTCTATTTTTTTGCCTTTTTTGTGCTTAATTTTTGAAAATCAAATTTATGCTACAGGGATATAGTCAACTGAATAATTGCTGATTCAATGCTGAAAGAATTTTTTAAATAGTCGAAATTGAGTCTATCAACTGAAAAGGCAAATATTTAGACAGCTATATCTTTTATTTTTCCAAATATATCCCAGTGCTATTGTTATTTATATTTATTTCAATCCGGTTTATGTATTAATAATGTGATTTATATACAAAATATTTTTCTGTGAATATTTTGTTGAATTTGATTAAAAGATGTTTAAGCTTTGAAATGACAAAATAAATACAGTAGCAGTTTACTACCACATTTCTGTGTTTGTTTGTGTCTTTGTGTACAGAGGGGACGTTTTGGCATTGAGGGGCTGTACAATGACAAATCATGTCATTTATCACTGGGGGAGATTATTCACCCATGTTTTTGTGGATATTTATCTGAGTATGTTAGGGAATTGTCCATCAAGACATGTTGTTACAACATTAAGATTATGTTCATTTCGTGCCGAGTAAATTTTGGACTAAATTTTGGACGCATTCAGTATTTATGATGACTGAAGTCGGGCTTATTATGAGTGTAGCTTTTAATCTGGTTCGATTGAGGCAGGAATTGATAAGGAGCTCTAATGATTCAGTACATCTGTGTGCAGTTTAGTATTGAAACAAATAGAAAGTCTCGCTCACAGGTCGCCAACTGATTTGGCCAATTTTGCAGGCACGAGTTGCACCCCTTAAACGATAAACGCTTCTTCTGTAGAATATTATGATCATAATATAACCGAGAGAACGTTGGCTCGTGCAAGATGAAATGGAGGCGTTTTAATCCGACGTATTGCATATGAATATTGGGAGTTTTCAATAATTGTATTAGGTTTTATTTAATATGTTTAAAAAATTATACCTCCCCACGAATATCTCCCGTTCTTTGCGAAATATTCAATTCGGATTACGGAAGAACCCCGAGATTACAACAGAGAGGCTTTAATTTCACCAAATTCAGAGTCTATGTCTTTAGTCTAAGTTGGCTGACCTTTTTTTTCATTATTTAATTGAACAAAAAAACAAATGTTTGTACCGTGATGTACAATTTTGGATATAAGTGTAATTAAACTAATCAAATTATTATTCTAATAGCTAATTTTACTTGAACGGGTGGAGTAGCATATATTACTACTATAGTAGCCTACATATTACGTGTCCTGTACACTATATACTCGTTTTAATTTAAACCTATTATGAACATGCATTCATTTGCCTTTTCCAGCTAGGGTAACCGAAAATATGCAAGGTGACGCAACTAAACAAACATAGAATTCGTACGAGATATTTTGAACGTGTGACTGTCAAATGTGTCTGCTTTTTCTCAGGTCATTTTGTTCGTTAAAGGGTCCCTAAGTCCAGTTTGTCTTCTATTTGGAAATGAAAACTAAGCTCAGTTACTGGTTCAAACACCGAAGAAGATCGATGGCTGTTCGAGGCACAAGTAAGTAGTTTTTAGAATAATAATTTATTTTAATAAATAAGCACAGTAAATAAATCATGTTAGTCTAAGAAAACTGGTAGTAACTTTTTAATTTCTAACTTTTTGCACCTACTTATTGCTGTGTGTTGGTTCGAATATCTAAATGCGGGCATTTTTATATTTTTATGAAAACTAATGATTGACTTGCTTATCTTCTTGTCTTGAATGATAATACATCTACAAAGTCAAAAGATGTGATTTTCCTATCTGAAAAGGGATCTCACAGGCCGATATTTTTTTGCATTCGTCGAGGATATAGTTATCGACCAATCAGATAGATCGAATCGAATTATAACGCAAATGTGATTCTTTACTAAATCAAAATGCAAGGAAACAAAATCTACGTTATTTGTTAAGACTTAAAATCTAACTAGTAAAAGTTTCTCATTATGTCACTTTAACCAGTAGTCACGCCTTATGTTTTCACTCGAGTTTAACTACTACTAATTGATATTTGGCTATTGCCAGCAATGGATTGACTAAATTGTTTTCGTTGAGTTAGCTAAAATTCTGACACCAGAAAATTGTCATTGGGTCAAGATTGATACCAAACGGTCATTGTAACCAGATATTTTTGTATGTTTGTGCTTAAATCATATTCCAATCAGTCAAGTACATGAATACGAAATCAGTGTCAGGAAGTATCTACTGATCCGACGAGATTTGGGTTTGAGAGCCACTCACGGCACGGCGACTGACTCATTTGGAAGTACAAATGAGATTAAATTGGTAATAATTCTATTAACCTCAATAACATCGATCAATTTTATTCCCATTGTATAAAAAATCGGTTATTTGTTACAACAAAAATGTCTGAGCATCTGCCCTACCAACAGATATTTTGACGCCAACTATAAATATATACTTAATGTTATATTTTCAGTGATTGTTGGATTGATAACCATCTGTATATATGGTTACATTACTACAGCTCTAGACCAAACTAGTGTATTGAATGGATTGGACAGATTCCATCAATTTTATTTGAAAGGACAATTTGTATATATTCCTGAAGATGATACTAAAGATTCCTTTCCACATAGCAGCTTAAAGCCAGAATCGGAGTCAAAAGACAAACGATCTCTGTGTCATACATTTATTGGAAGAATGGGTAACAAAATGTTTCAGTATGCTGTTCTTTATTCTATAGCAACAGCTAATGGTCTTAAAATGGTTTCTTCTTATAACTTGAAACTATCTGATACCTTCGCAAATCTTCAAAATATATCCACTGACTTCAAACCATGTTTACAATATACCAAATTATTTGAAAGGGATGTGTATCGGTTTGAAATAGCAATAACGAAACTACGCAGTGACACAAACTATCTCTTGGAAGGATTTTTACAATCTTGGAAATATTTCAAACCATTCGAAAGTAATCTTCGTTTCCAATTCACATTCCGGGATCATATCAAAAAGCAGGCGGAATACTCGTTGAGATCCATTCTGGAAAGTTATCGTCATTACAAAAAACTTGAAAATCCATTCAAAACATTTATAGGCATTCACGTGAGAAGAGGAGATTATGCCAAATATTTTCCGCCAAATAAAACATCAGTGATCAATCTACCTACGTCATCATATTTTGAAAGAGCAAAAGATTATTTCCGAACTCGACATTCGTCTCCCGTATTTGTGGTGTGTAGCGATGATATTGATTGGTGTGAGAACAATATTAGTCCAGAAGAAACGGTGTTCATCCAGGGTAACACGCCGGAAGTAGATTTAGCTATATTGGGCAGCTTAAACCACACCATAACATCATTTGGAACTTTTACGTTTTGGGCAGCTTGGTTGGCTAATGGTACCACATTATATCCTAAAAACATTGTTGATGACCGTTTTGGCAAGCGGAAAGATATTTTCCTACACGACCATGTGTATCATACGTGGATACCAATTTAAGAATAAATGATATGTTCTTTGTATCTTGAATAAATCATATCTAACCCTAAAAATATAGTTTCTTTTGTGATAAAATTTTGTCGTAAGCTGATTAAAAGGAAGATTGAGATGTTTGTTGTATATTTTACTGTGGGTGACTCCACTTGCCATTCATGGTATGACGATCTGCTACGCATGTTTTGTTTAGATATTAAATCAATCAAATGTTCTATTCAATAAAATATCTATATCAACGTACAGGATGTGATCCAAACATATAATTAAGGAAAGTTTTCAATGAGATTGCTAGAAAACTTAGAGAATAATGAATACAGAAAGAGATGCTAATTGGATTTATTGACTTGAATCCAGTTGGCCCGCCATACTTCACTCTAAATATATCACGTGATACATGTCACATGACTATCCAAAATGGAGTCGAAATATTTTTTAAACAGGCATTCGCTTAGTAAACATAGTTTTTAAAGCACATGATAACGCATCGGTTGCCTCGTTAGGGGTTAAAGACTATATTTTTTTAAAACTCTCTCGCTTGCACACTTGCACACTTGCACAACATATGTAAGTCAACCGCTGGTGTTTTGTCAAAAAATTATTTGGATCGTCTTTGAGAATATTATGGAAGGGGATTTTTGGCAAATTCCTGCTACCCATTTCAAAGTTCATGATTGAGCATTACCTTGAACCAAATTTCAGCAAGATCTGCTTTAAATAATTAATGATAAAATCTACATTAACAAACATTTTCACTTCCCTGGATTGAATTGCATATCTGGAGGCCATCAAATTGTCAATAATAAGTATCTGGAGAAAGGGAATATACCCTCTTGAATTTGGCACTTTTTTAGTAACCAATCTTCATAAAAATGTCTCCTTAAGCACACAAATGCATGAAACTAATGGTCACTAAAGTATAGTCATGTTTGAATTTGCTCAGCAATGATTGTGACTACCGGTATGTTAACTTAATTAAACTAGTTTCGAAGCATTATTCGTTGAGTTGAACAATAATGTTGATAAGTGAAAGTTCCATTTTGTTAGACATGGAAGATGGATACTGTAATGTCATTTCAGAAAGAAGAGCAAATGAATGATGGATGCTTACGAACAAGCTGTTCCTGAATACACTTGGACAAATCTTATACTGCTTGGAGTCTTTATTTCCATAGCTGTAGTATATACCAGAAAATTGATAAAAAACCAAGCAACTGGTTTAAAATATCCACCTGTTTATGAAGGCTGGTTGCCATGGATTGGATGTGCTATGGAGTTTGGTAAACAACCACTAGAATTTATCCATAAAAAGCAACAAGATGTAAGTATTGGTATTAAGAAAATAACAGAAGAAATAGTATTGATTTACTTGAGAATTGACAATATGATGAAATAACTCATGTTACTGTGACAAGATTGAGAGGCAACAAGATCTTTTTCTAAAAAAGGTTTGCAAGGAAACTTTTTTGATTTAAAAGGATCCTACTCCTAGCAATGGCCCTGATTGTATTGCACCTACTGTGTCAGTTTTTTCCCCCCGATAATTGATGACTGAATAGCACATGTCCTATCTAGATAGATAGCAGCTAAACTTTCACTTATCAGTTGCTTACTAACTCAAAGCACAGGGATTCCAGTAAGTGATCTAAGGTCAACTTCCATGTCCATACATGCTCAATATTTAAGGATTTTTATATTTTGTTTCTTTAGCTTGGCCCTGTATTTACATGTAAAATAGCTGGTGAAAATATGACATTTTTGACTGATCCTCAAGACTTACATGCATTTTTCCAGTCACCCTGTCTGGATTTTCAAAAAGCAGTTCAAACTTCAGTGCAGAATGTAGGTAAGCAGATTTCTTAGATGTAGTAAGCCAGGACAAATATATTAAACACCTTGCCAAGTAATCATATCACTGTACCAGCAGTGGGGCCGTTATTCAAATATATGCATGCTTGCCTCTGCAACACAGATGGCAATTTTCTAAATAACTTTCTCATGAATATGAATAAATTCTAGTTTCGATGTGTTCAATTACAATGCTAGTAAAAGTGCATGTTCCTGTAGCAATGGTGTATGATAATGTGATATTCTTGTATCTATATACTTATATTTATGGTTTCAGCCTCAATATCTAAGGAATCATTTTTCAAGTACCACAGTAATATACATGATTTAGTTAAAGGCAAATTAGCCTCATCACAACTAGCTGCTATGTCTGATAAATTATATACTGAATTTAAAGAACAACTAGACACTTTACCTTCACAAGGTACAGTATGTGCATTTGATTTTTAGTGAGATGATGAGCAGGAAAGAATCTGAACATAATATAGTTCTAAGTTCTGGGGACTTCTAATGGCATGCTGTATTTCTCAGATGTTTTAAAATGGTAAGCATCTTCTACCTGGCTAGCAACAGCTACTAAAGTTATAAAGGGTACTCAAATGATAAAGATAATAAGTTGAAAGTAAAATATAAAAATGAAATGGAGTTTTGAATCATAGTTTCCAGATTGGGTTTATAAAGACAGTCATCATTGCTGTGGGCAATGATGGAAATTATGCCTGACAGCAGCATAAGACAACTCTATTTTTATCTTACCATAATATTATACCAGTTTTTATTTCCAGGAAAGGAAGATTTAAATAAGTTAGTAAGGTATTTGATGTATAAACCTACATTAAATTGTTTGTTTGGTAGAAATTCTCTTCCTGTTAACAACGAGGTAAACAAAAATTGTTTTGGTTATAAAAAGACATTTAGCATATGAAAGTCCATCCAAGAATGCATACCCAACTTAAGTAAAACCTAAATAGCAAGAAGATTGTGATCTGATTTAAATTTAGTAATATTCCACCGCCATTTTATATACTTTCAAGGACATCTGTCAGCTGGACTAGGATAGATTTAGAGTTTGGATAGTTGGGTTTATATGACACTTAAGCAATCTGTATTGTACAACTCCAGTTGAATTTACATGTTTCAGAAAGATTACCAACTGATTCAAGAACATTTTGTAAAATTTGATGATCAGTTTGAATATGGTGCTAAATTACCAGCCTTTTTATTAAAGTATGTTATTATTGTTCTATATATATCTATTAGTGAGCAGAATCTGGTTTTTCTTTAACTTTATTGGTCAATAAAGTTGAAAATTACCACTGTTCGATATGTGGCATGATGAAAATTATGATGATAATAGTGACAATTCATGAAAATGTATGATTTTTGAAGCAGTCCAATTTCTTTCAGAGCTTGGTCAAGTTCAAGAGAATATCTACTTAAAATATTCTGCAGTTTAGTTAATGATAAAAAAGAAAGTTCACATCAGACTAACAATGATAAGGTAAGTAAGGCCTTAGTGTGTATTTTAAAGTATTTGTATTAAATTTGCTTAAATGTAATAGATTGAAGAATTCTAACAGTCTTTTCTACTCCTATGTTAGTCCTATCAGTAATTGTGCAACCAAACATTTGGTGATAGTATGATTTGAGCCCATCTGTTGGGTATAAATTGAAAAAACTTATAGGTTCTGTATACACTATGGTGTATTTTCAAGTATGAAATGATCAAATAGAACAAAAGTGGCCCACTTTTGCATGAACTGTTTCTATTATGTTGTAGACATTATTTGAGAGTCTTCTAGATACCATAGATGATCAAAGTTCACCTAATTTTTGTCTATTATTGATGTGGGCATCATTAGCCAATGCTATTCCAGTAAGTATGATGTTTAAGTCATGAATGGGACTTGGCTTGTAAGCAGCTTGCTTATGAACCTAGGATAGCACAGGTTTAGATAGTGTCTTCAGAGTTTTTCAACCCAGTTTTTTGGGTGATGGTGACAAGAAAAAAAGACTCATGTCTTTTTGGATTCTGCACATGTTATTTTGATAATGAAAAATAGTTGAATACAAAACAAGGGCAATCTGATTGTGATCCATTTAAAATCTATGCTTGTTGTTTAATGTTGTCATTAACCAAATTAGGTATAGAAATATATTCATTTAAAATTTTGTCAATTGTTAGCTAAATAACTGGATTTTCTTCATCAACATGATCATATTAAAACCTTCAACTATTCTAGCACAACTATCCTAGCACAAGTAAGAATTACTTTATTTTTCTCAATTTTGCTACTTTGTATAATATATATATTTGTAGATGACTTTTTGGACGCTGGCATATATTCTAACACATGAAGATGTATATAAGAAAGTATGTGATGAGATAAATAATACAATACCAGAGTTTGAAAATAGTAAGTAAGTTTTACATAATAGATAGGACCTTAATTAGCAAATATTTAGATGACTGCTTTCCTCTAAGGTCATTTATATTTATATGTTGATGTCTTATGTCTTATGTATCCTCATAGAAAAACATGTTAATCTAAAATACTAGCAGGACAGGACATACTCATTTTACAGAAACACCTGATGCCACTGTGTTTTTCAATTCTGCATTCCTTTTTAGAGACTCCAGAAAGCTAATATTGATTTTGGTATATTTATGTATAGTAATATTTTGTATATTTTGATAGTATTTAATATAGATATAAATAAAATGGTGTATATAAAAAGTTGTATATTAGAAACTATAAGATTAAGATCACCTGGTGTCATACCTAGATATGTTGTACAACCATTTCAAATTGGGGTAGGTTCCGAACTCTGTGCTATTTTTGTCTGCCTTTTGATATCACTCTTGAATCCATCACTACAGATGTTATTGAATAATAGATTCACTAAAAAAAGAACTGTTCAAGTGTCACAGAAAATGCCCACAAATGCAGTGCAGAGCAATACAAATAGTTTTGTTTTCTTGTGTCCCTTTTTTTGAAAGTTATAACTGATTCACATGGAAAAAACCTGGAATGAGGGCAAATTGAATACTACAATTTGAATAATCAATGATGTTAATTGTTATACAGAAATATACAGTGCCTGTTGGACATAGGATATTTGCTTCAGTGTTTTGGGCTCATAGAAATCCAGATTGTTTCCAAGATCCTAACAGATTTAACCCAGTAAGTTTGAGTCTATTTTATTCTTTATCTCTATCAATCATAGCTTGAACATCAGTGATAAATCCAGTGCTCAAAATGTTACTGTTTTATACAATCTGTTTGATAAAATTTCTATTAGATGACCCAGCTATGTACCCAGAATGTGAACATTGTTTTAAATTTTCTTAAAAAGTACTGTTCACAAATCTGTAATTAGTCATTAAATCATAATAATGTAAGAACATGTAACATGTTTGCCGTTTGTCGTCTGTATTTACCATTTCTTTTACAGGAAAGATGGGATACGAAAGATATAGAAAGAAATGTATTCCCAAAATATTTTTTTCCTTTTGGTGGTGGAAGATATCAGTGCCCTGGCAGGTAATGTCAACTTCTAGAACTTTTATTATAGAGGTTTGCTTGTATATTCAAATAATAAGCCATTATTTTTCTCAAGGTTTGGAAGAACTTGAATCATATTGTTACTTAGACATGAAATTATCTAGTTATTTTGATATATTAGTATTTATTTTAGGTGGTTTGGTTTAATGGAAATTCAGATATTTTTGGTCATGTTTTTAAAAAAATTCAAATTTGAGGTTTTTGATTCATTACCTAAACCAGTAAGTATTGAAAAAGTAGCTATATTGAACTTTTGTTTTTAAGTGGAATTCTGAAAAAAATGAAAAGAAATAAAGTGATCTAAAAAGTCATTGTTTTCTGGGATTCAGAATGTCTTGCTTAGCTCAATACAACGATTCTTTCTTTTAAGCTAAGATAATTCCAGATTTATTTTTCCATAGAGCTTTAAGCAGATGAGTCAAATTTCAAACATGTTTGACCTATGCCATGACTATTTTATTGTGAATGTTGTACTTCTTAGATTCAGAGAACTTCTCTGTGACCATGACATCCCAATCTAAGAGACCACAAAACGCCTTATTTTTTTTAGGAATATTGAAATACTAATTTTATTAAATATTTCAGAGTTATCTTCACATAGTAGGTACACAACAACCAGCCACCAGTTTCAGTGTTCAATACCAACATGTTAGTTAGTAAATGACTTAATGCTTTTATTTTCTGTGATACATAGTCTTGGTAGTGTTAAAGAGATTAATATGACAGTGATCAGCAATATATTGACCATTAGGAGACAGGACCTAGTTTATGAAAATGGTTCACTTTGAAACCCATGTATTATTGAACACTGTTCCTGTTTTTATGAAGCTGTTACATACACTCCCTTTGAAATTTATTATAGGTGTATTCATATATGGGTGTATTTGGACTGAAATAGCTAAAATGTGTATACTCAATACTATTATGTGGCAGGACAAAATGAATCTGGGACATTGTACTATTATTTTGTGTTTGATGGTGGTAACATATTCTCATAAAAGCATTAAACTAAAGAAAACAAGTGAAATTGAACATTGAAATGAAAAGAGATATTGATTATTTTCTTTTTGGTTGTCGACTGTGTGTAGCTTGAGCATATTTTTACATCTGTATTCATTATAAAAAATCCCTTTATTGTTGTTATTTGATATTGTTGTTTGTTTATTTTCTACAATTAAATACAATATATACCAACTACACGTGTTTTAACTGTGTCTTTGGAAAAAACAGGGTGTTTAATCTAAGCGAATCACTAAATTATAGGACCTAGGGCCCTACTGCTGTTTTTTTCATGTACATGTATAACAAAAAAAGAAACTTGAAGCAGACCTTTTGTTAAAGAAATTTATGTAAACGAAAATGCTAATACTTATATGAATAGAAAGTAGAGATGTTTTAATGACTTGGAAAAATACCAGTTTGTCTCACACGTCCATAATTAATTCATAATTAGCTAAATAAGAAGAGAATTCCTAACAGAATTCCAAAGATCGACCGATCTAAAAACCTGTCAAAAAGTCTTTTTGTTTATCCAGACTGTACATACATGGACATTTATGATTGGTTAAAACTCTTAATTATATGATTAAGAATACATGATAATTCATTAGAAACAGTTTTTCACTCTTCAGAGCTCAGACAGAAAAAGTTGCTTTAATGGTGACAATGAAAAATATTTTGAAATGAATTTTTGGTTAAAGGGAGATAATTTCATACAATTGTAGTTTGTAGCTTGTCCAGCGAATTATAGAAGTCTGAATTGATCCGTAAGTCGTACTTGCTTGAATTAGTAGTGTACTCTGATTTCATTTTCTAAACGATGAGTGAAAGAAAAATGTTGAATAACAAAGAATAATCATTTTGTAAGAAAAATTCTAGACATTGATGTTACTATGAAATTGTCATCTTTAAAGACTGCACTGCGATAAAACTAACTCTTTAATTTATCAAATGCGAACTTAAAAAACAAGTCCACCTGAGAGAAAAAAAAGTAAACAATCATGTCGGACAGCGAGTCTAAGATAGTTAGTAGAAATTATTGGCATTTTTAGAAATGCCTGTTACTTTAAAATGGTCAGATAAATTAAAGCAAATCTGCTGAAGAAGGGTGAGTGTTTTTTATTGTGATTATGGCATTTATTGGTCAAGAATCTGGGTGCATTTTCACGTTGGTATTGTAATAAAAATAATTGTAAATGTTACGGATTGAATAGTGGACTATCCATATTTGTATCAAACTATTGGAAACCTATCGATAGTCTTTATAAGTGGTTAACAGATCATTTCTCAGTTGAAATAGTCTTAGATTTTTTTTTTATGGTAGACAACTATAGTCTATTGTGGGTATCTCTTTACTTAGATTTATGGTCTAATTGTGAACTTACGGTGCATTGAATCAATCAAATTTGCATTTCACACATATAACAACAACACCTATTAATGTTACATACACCTAAATAATGTTAAATATTTATCACATGCTTTATATTAAGTAGTGAAAATTATAATATTTCCACTGAACATTTGCCTGAAGGCCAACAGTGATTTGATTGTCCATCTCAGGCCATCAGCGGCCATCAGCTAGTTGATTATCTGTCATGAACTGTCACACTGATGAACTATGGAAACGAACTAATGCTGGACTGTGTGTTGGTATATGTGGTAAAAAAAACTATGGATGGACTAAATTCTCACCTACATTTTTATTTGTTGTAGGATTGATAATGAATACCTCTGTAGATACAGGAAAACAAGCTGATGTAGGAAATGGAACAACTGAAAAAAAGATTGTGAAAATAGTTCGTGAGGATCATGAAACACCTGAAAACAGTTCATTACATAAAAATGAAAATGAAATCAATATATCTGTGCCATCCAAAAAAATTGTTGATGAATTATTCAAGGATTTCATCTCACAGAATAAGACAAACATCCCAAATAAACAGATCCCTTCAGCCTCTTCAAAATCACTGGACGAAATGAATGCTATTTTAGACAGAGAGTTAAGCCTTATTAGTATTCAAAAATCTGAGTCTCCTAAAGCAGAAGATGCTGATGATGAAGAAGGAGAACTGAAAGAGGACAATTCTTCAAACCAGATTATGGATAAAGTTCATTTTGAAGAAAATCCACCTGAAGAACCATCTGGTGAAAGGAACGAAAAGGAAAGGTCGTCTAAAAAGAAGCATAAAAAAGAAAAGCATAAAACAAAAAGGCATAAAGATGATGATTCTCCAAGACGTAGTTCAAAGACCAAACATAAAAAGAAACATAAATCTGATGATGTCTCACCAAGGAGAAGTTCTTCCAAAAAGAAACAAAAAATGGATAGATCCAGATCACCAGAAGACAAATCTCCCAAAAGGAGACACAAAAGCAGCAGCAAAGCATCTTCTAAAACTGAAGATAATGTGTATGAGGGTCTTGATAGTTCCAAAAGACCTGATAATAGGTTCAACAGCAAATATAGTGAAAAAAGGTCAAGTAGAAGTGAACATTCTAGTTCGAAAAATACTGAACCAAATAAAAAAGATCATGGTATAGAAGGGGATTTCAAGATAAGAATAGGTAGCACTGATGAGAACAGGGAAGTTCTTCCTGAAACTGGAAATGATTCAAAGAATGCCACAGAAAGTTTAAGTCCAGAAAAGAGAAGAAAGTCACCAGTGCCAGAGACTACTAAGCTGGAGAAAGATGTCTCTGAAGAGACCATGGACAATAAGAAGCATATTGACAATACTGAAAGATTATCAGTAGAAAATAGTACTAGCGCAACCAAAGAGAAGTCTTTCCACAAGAAACATAAGATGGATAGAGATGGAACTCCTGAGAGTACATCCTCCAGAAAGAAGCATAAAAAGAAACATAGACACGAATCATCTGAGGAGCGAAGATTAAGAAAGGAAGGGAAAAAAGTAAAACATGGTCATGAAAGAGATCATCCCACTTTTGAGGATATTCATGATCATCTTGATAGACTTGAAGAGTCGATGGAAATTGATAACAGCATTTCAATCCGTGATATTGACAGACATTCTAGTAGGAGTGAAAAACATTCATCATTCAGTGAGAAAAAGAGTGACTCAAAGGACAAACTGGATGCATTTGATAAAATGAAACAAATTTTTGAAAAAGTCAAAAGAGAAAAGGGTCATCTAAAAGACAGTGATCTTAGAGACAGGGGTGGGAAGAATGTGGAAAAAGTAAGAGTGACAAATAAAGAACTTAAGGTTGTTGTGGACAGAAATAAGAGATCCTCAAATTTCTCGAAATTTGATGATGATGATGATGATGATGTGATATTTGTGGACAAAGTGGATAAACCTGTTAATCCAATAGTTATTGATGATGATTCATCAGTCACAGAAACTTCTGATATTTGTCTACCTGTCCCAGCTCCTGATACCATCCCTATGCCTGATACAGCACCTGCCCCTGCACCTATTCCATCTCCAGACGAAATTCCCTTACCTTCTACTACTCTTAATCAAACTGTCCCTCCTCCAGAACAAATTCCACTACCAGATCAAAATTTACATTCATCCAGCTCAATCCCTGCAATGGTTCTACCAGCAGGAGAACCATTAATAGTTCCATCCTCAGGAGCATTGATCCAATCTGTTCCTCTTCCACAAACTATTCCACTACCAGTTGCTCCATCATTGTCTGAAAGTTTTGAATTGTCAGCTATTCCTTTACCATTGGCCAAACCTAAACCAGAACCTGTTAAACTTGGTTTGAGTTTGAAAATCAGTAATGACTTGGCTGAGTTTATTGCCTCTGGTGAAAAAATCGATAAAAAGGGCAAGAGGAGAGAAGAAGGTAAGTCTGAAATATAGCTTTCATAATAATCATTTTGATGTTACATGTTGTTTTTGTCATACAGTAGCGCCAAAAAGGATAACAGTGGGCTATGACAGCAGGATATATCAGAACTTGATTGGAAACTACAACTGCATTTGCTTTAGAATTAGAGAATTAATGTTTTCTGGTATTTTTCTTCTTTATTAGGTAAATAGTTAATATTTTGCTTTCTGTGGAAGTAAATATTTGGCTATTTTATAAGATGAAGGTGTAGTTGTCTAAATATTTTCTTTTTCCCCTGAAAGTGCTCAATTTCAACTACCATCACACATTTGTTTTCTCTAGGGGAAGTAACATCAGATTCTGGTGAAGATACCAGCAATGATGAAACTTCTAGTTCTGACAATGGAGAGATTGATGGTAATATATCTGGAACTGGCTCACTACCAGATAGTGATGATGAGAAAAGCTCTAAAAAGAAGAAAAAGAAGCACAAGAAGAAGAAAAAGAAAAATAAGAAGAAAGAGTCTGATAAAGAGAAATCAAAGAAAAAGAAAGAGTCCAAATCAAGAGATTCAAGAGAAAAATCAAAAGAAAGAGATAAAAGAAAAAGTAGAAGAGACAGATCCCGGTAATGAGATTTTGCATCCATTTTTTAGTTCAATTCAAAGCAATTTTAGATTATTTTAGGTCACAGAGATTTAAAAGAGTTATTTAGAATTTGTATTTCAAGGACTTTTACCATTCTGACTCCTGTTTGACGTCTTTGTTTCCTGTAATTTAGGAGAAATGACCAAACCAAATTATTGCGTCACTGTTGCAAAGCCAAAAGTTATGTGGTCAAGATTTCCTGGAATTACTGTAAACACAGATATCTGACTGAACATTGGAAGGCTACAAATGTCACAGATTGGTGTCTGTCTATTTTTGATTGAGAATGAGTTGTTTTGCATGCACAGTTTTCAGGTGTTGATTTCTATTCTTTATACAGGTCAAAAAGTAGATCATCAGAGCGAACTAGAAGAGAAAGTAACGATTTTCTTGATAGGTAAGTTTTATATTTTGTAGAAACTGTAAGATAAATATAATTAAACTGTTAGGGCTAGGTTAAGAATGAGTAATGATTAGTAATTAATTGAAATTCATTTAGAAATCGCTATCAGTGCAATTGTGCAAATACTTTATAGGAAGCATACACTTAGTCCTAATACACCCCATGGGTAGGACAAATGGTAGGATGATCCCCTATTTCAATATCACATTTTCTTACTCATTAAAATCGTAAATTGAATTTGTATTTTGACTGAAGGTGATCTTTAATATTGCATAATGAATGTTTTATGTTACAGAGGCTGGGATGCTTATTCTTATTCTGATAATTTTTCTGGACTTGGTTTTCATGGAAACGATTCTAGATACAGACGTTCGAGATCTAGGTCCAGATCAAGAAGATCAACATCCAGATCCCATAGCCGACGAGATAGATCCCGATCAAGATCCAAGCATACTAAATCTAGAAGGTCAAGGTCCAGGTCAAGGTCACGAAGGTCATCATCCAGGTCAAAATCTAAAAAGAAGAAAGATACAACTGAAGATCTGCGGCTTCAAATTGATAAGAAGAAGCTACGCAAAATTGCTATGTAAGTGAAACTTGATGTTTTTAAAATACAAATTTCGTAAAGAAAGTAGGATCAAATTTCAGCCCTATCAGTTTTTCTAAGGAAATGCCAGTCCATGCTCTAGGGAATATGATTGGCTAAATCTTTAAATTTGCAATCACTCCATGTTGTTGCTTTGGGCCTTTTTAGACCTGCTATCTTATTGCCTGTAGTTAACAAATGTAGTACATAATATATTATTGTTCATATTTGTTGTTTCATATATAAGAACATCAACCAGAATTCCAAAGATTATGAAAATGTTTCTGTATGTATTTTTCAGTGCTAATGCTTTAGCTAATCTCAAGAGTGGAAACATGAGTTCTGCTGATTTAGCTAGTTTTAAAGCTGGTGGAAAATCTGTGGAAGAATTAACAGGTTTGTACTATTACTCATCATTAGAATACTCAATGATACCTGTCTTTTACTACCTTCAGACCATTTGTTACCATCTATAAACTAATTTGAGCATCAATTTTGACTGTTGATTTTCAGATTTCTGTAAGGGTTTGGCTGGTAGAGAGAGAGGAAAGTATAGCTCTAGTGAGAGTGATTCTCCATTAAACTCTGATGAAGAACACGATGCACCATTTATCAATCATCCATTTGTAGTTCGAGAAGCTGCTCCAATTATTATGAACATAAGGGTAGGTTCATGGGTTCATGAAGATCTTGTTTATCAGCTTGTCCTTGGTTGGATTATCCATGCTGATTTACAGCTTGGTCTGATGGAATAAGGAGGAAAGATGACTTATTCAAGATCTCTGAGATGATGTCAAGATACTAACACTCATGTATAGATGACTTTATCCTTCATGCCTTCAAAACTTGATTTTAACTTTATTCTTACTTAGTGAACTTGATCCTTCATTATAACAAAATTTCAAATTTTTCATCTGATAGAATTCCAAACAGTTACCAGTGATGACAGCTACAGATAAGAATGTTGGAATATTACGTTCACAGTTCCCTGTTTCTAGTGGCAATCAACATAGATTAAAAGAATTAGAATGGATACCAGTAGAAAAAACAACAGCTCCACCGACTGCTACAACAACAACTACAACTATCAAACCAGCAGCACCAAGTCCGGTAACAGCAACAGAAACAACACCATCAACATCTAGTGCTGCACCTGCTGTAGCTAGTCTTATAGTAGATCCTGTCTTTCCTAAACCTGTTTCTTTGGTAAGTTATGGATTTAGAAAAAAGAATTTATTAGATTATTTATCTAAAAAAGAATTCATAAATTATTAAGATATTATAAGCAGTGTACTCCATTTTCATACCCCAACACTATTAATTATTAGAATATTAAGTAAATTTAAAGAAACATTTAAAGTGCATCTCTAGAAGCAGAGCTATAACTAGGAATTCATGTCCCTAAATCTACTTCTGAGGACAATACATGAAATTGGTATTCAAAAGAAAAAAAGTGAATCACAAAATATGTTAAAAATTTCATTGTAGGCAATTGATATTGGTGCCATTGTGTCAGAAAGATTACAGGCTGTACGTAAATTACAAGAAAATCCTTATGATGTTCAGGCCTTAACAAAGATGCACAAATCACAAGAAAGGGTAAGACTGATTCTTATAGAGTTGTCTTACTATTTTATTAAGCAGTAGACAATAATTTTATCATCATCGCAGTTCTCAGAATTAAAATCTGAAGTCCAGTTCTCTTAAAATTCAGCGTCTCATCAGACTCAACCCATTGTACCTCCCCTTCTCCAAAAGTATGATTATATTGTTGTTATTGAAGTGTCATATTTAGTATTTGTCATATTGTGTTCATTGATGCCAGCGATGGTTTAATATATCGCATTATCATTTAAACCACACCCCCTTATAAATAAACATATTGGACCTTGGTTCCAAAAACCTTCGTATGACACAGTGAATGAACATTTTGCATAATAAATCGATTGCCTGTATTTATATTTTATTAACAAGTTACATGTGCATGTACATATTTTCAAACAATCTGTGAAAATGTTTATATAGATGCATGGTGATTGGACGGTTTGAAAATCACTTGAGATCAAGGGATAATAATTATCTTGGTTCATTATAAGAGGTAACCTGCTAAAGTGAAACACAGTAGAAATATGTAATAGTGTTGAATAAACAATTGACATACAGAACAATAACAAGCACCATTGTTATTATGGTATATTTCAGGCAAGTCAATGGGCAACATCTCAGTATCAACCTGGTACCTTTACAGGTAGTACTGGTGTACAGATATTGAGTAAACAGGAATTAGAAGGCACCAATAAATATAATAAAGCTTGGCTGAAAAAAGTACGTCACATTCATGTCACTTTCATTATTATTATTATTATTTTTTATGTTACTTTTGCTTCAAATTTCCATTTAGAAAACTTTTGATTTTTGATATTTATAATTTGTCCAGGCCAAAATGTTATTATTGTTTATATATATAATTGTATTATAATTTAGAATTTGGAAATCTGAAGCAAGAGTCATTTTGAGAAAGTTAATCTTTACTATAACAAATAATAATGAAAAAGAATATTTCTCAAATTTTTCTTTAAATTTTTTTTCAATTTTTTAAAAGCCAAAGTTTGAGAAGTATTTTTATAATATTATTAGTAATAGTAAAGCTTGCCTATCTCTCGACTAAATATTTCAGGTTTTTGAGGAGATATATGTACAAGATATGTTATATTTTGGTGTAGCGGTTGTATAAAGAAATAAAGTGGCCTATATCTTGTTTCTGTCAGAATACAAGAGTGTTAGGGTTCACACTTTTTTATCAAATCTTCCGAATAAGATATTCTTTCTTTAGCAAAATTTATTTTTTTGTTATAGACTTCAGAAACAATTTATGGGCCCTTTGCTGTAAATTAATGATTCATGCTCTATGGAAACCTGTCTATTTGAAGATAAATTGCGGATGATTTCATATTAAACATTACATTTTCTGACTAAAGAGTATTTTCTGCGCTTAATAAAAATGTTTTCTAGAAAGAATTATTCTGGTAAGCAATTCCATAAATTTTATTAAATGGAATGGACAGTTTTCCATAGTGCATGAATGTTATACTTTTAGCCACAACAAGTTTTCATGTTTGCAAAAATAGATTGGAGCATTTGCACTGTTTTCCAAGTTTGCAAATCAAATTTGAGTTTGCTATGACTGGTAATATGTGACTATTGTTTACAGCTAAACAATCTAGTCTATTACCAGTTATAGTATGAAAGCTTGTTGTAGGTTTCAATGAATTGGTATCGAGACGATTGAGATTAGAAGAGGAATATCAATTTCCTCAGCCAGTGATGACGGTACTGATTGGTAAGTAATGGAGCCTAAGAAGAGATGCGCTGCAACTGGATGTAGTTTCTGAAATTTATTTAAATGGTTTTCATAATTTTTTCTATCTAAATTTTCAATGTATATATGTGTAAGTCTCAGTGGATGATGATGTATTAACCCGCTGAACGTCGAAATTATATAACATTAGGTTTCATTGTAACTTAAGTATATATTACTGTTATTTTGTAGAGGTTTAGAGGGTTATTATTATTACCCTATAAGCCGATTATTTTGCTTTAAATGGCTTGCATGGTTTTTTTAACAGCAGCATTATTCATGTGGATCTATCATAACTATCCTATGATTTATTACCTTTGACAGTGACCCCAAGGCAATAAACTAAATTGCAGGGTGGTATCAGCATTCACATGGTTTACTGGTGTGATCAAACAGAAAACTTCAAACATATGTGAATGTATTGCTTCAACTTTGAAAGACATATATTTTACTCTTTGAAATTTTTTCAAATCTGGCTGGTCATTGAAACAATTTGCTTACTGAATTTCATTTTTCAAACTTTAAATAAAGAAATATCTGTCCCAAGTAAAATATTATCCAAGCCTACCTGAATTCCATCGTTTTTGGCAATCCAATTGGCTGTATGTACAATCAATATCTCCCTTGAGTAAATTGAATATCTTGGTACAATTGCTCTATGTATGGATGCTAACAATTATCTGCCGACTAACAATTTTACGCTTACTATAACTTAATAATTTCATTATGTTTCCATGCTTTACTACTGTAAATTCAGTTGAAAATGGTAATTTCAAATGAGTGGTTCTATTTTACAGGATCAGTTTAAGAAAGCGGAACCAGTGAAAAGTGGAATTGGTATGTTCCTTCTACAGAAAATGGGATGGAAAGCAGGAGAAGGGCTGGGTAAAAATAATGAAGGTTCCTTAGAACCTCTCTTACTTGATCTTAAAGTTGATCGAAAAGGTTAGAATCTTGTTTATTTAATAATTGGTGTTTTGATATTTATTTCCATTTTCTAAAGCTTTTATTCTGACATAATTTCATTTGTAGCATTTTTAACTTTCATTTCAAAATCCAGTACTTGGACAGAATTTCAATAAAATTTTGTGCAACTTCCATTACTTTTAGAGAATTACATTTGTTGATTTTACAAAACACATTACTATTATAGAGTTATATTTGTATTAAATCCATTGTTATGACAGAATTACATTTCCTTGATGTATTAAGTATCTTTTAAGTGAAATGAAACTTTATTGTCAATATTTGATTAGGTTTACAGACACATAGTGAAGTTCGAGGAAATCAGAGAGGTAATATGAAGGGTGGTGTTAAAAGAGGAGGCGGTCCAGGTTTAGGGGGTGGTGGTGGAATTGCTCACCCTAAAGATCTCTCAGGTTAGATGTTCCTTGAATTATTACATTTTTAAACCCAATGTCATTTTACTTGTGTTGATCAGTCTGCAGGATAATTTGTATGAATAAAGCGACTTCCTTAGCCATGGATAAATAAAAAGAATACAATTAAAAGCTGAAAGCTTTGTTTAGAATATTCATGTAAAGAGTTTATACTGGCTACTTTAAGTTTAAAAAAGTATGGCTTCTATAGTCACCAGAAAATATTCTGTAACACTCTTTAAATAATAGAATATAAAGTGTATATTTTTGAAATTTCAGGAAAACATCCTGTATCAGCTTTACTAGAAATCTGCAACAAGAGAAAATTTGGTGCTCCATATTTTGAATTAGTCCATGAAAGTGGTCCAGATCATAAAAAACATTTCTTATTTAAGGTGAGTAGATATTTTCGAAGGTGATTTCCTCTTTCCTTCTACCAATAGTGAGATTCCTGTATTGCTTTTGGTCAATACCAATCAACTAACTATCTTGTTGGTATGTGCACCTGAAAGTTACCTCAGTTCTCCTTAGTTGAATAGCAGGACAACAAGACATCTCAGTTTAATTCTTAAAAGTGCAATAGGTAGCTGAAATTGAGTTCTGTCAAAGACCTTTTAATAGAACATTTTCCAGTTACAATTTGTCAAATATACTATATTATATATGTATCCTTGGATGTTTCAGGTGCTAGTAAATGGTGTAGAATATCAACCATCTATAGCCAGTAATAACAAGAAAACAGCCAAATCACAAGCAGCTACTGTTTGTTTACAAGAATTGGGCATGTTACCTAGAACTGGTCCTATATGAAATATTGTGATGGTATATATGTATACATTATCTCTCCCAAACTATTACATATTGCTAATGTGTTTTAGTATTGGAGGTAAACCTCATATTATTAGGGACAGAGGTAATAAATATTCATGATGTTATATGGTTTTCAAACTGAGAAATAAACATGCATCTACATTATAAGGTATAAATTCAACGCCTGACACAAAGATATCTGGATAAAGTGAACTATTGTCAAATCTATTTATAAGGAGTTGTTGTTTAAACAAAGACAATGATATGTATAGGGTGTGGACGTGATCATTTTTGCAGCAAAAGAATCAAGTGACAAGAATCATAATGTGGATTTGTGAATTTCAGTGACTGATATATAATAGCTCCAAGGGAGAGCCTTTGAAATTAACTTCAGTAGCATTCAGTTCCAGCAGAATATAATCTAGAGCTGATCCTGATTAACAACAGATTAACGGATAAAATATGTCAAATAATACAACTTAAGGCAAAATGTTTTAATAAAAGTGTAAGTGTACTTTTTTTTTAAAATTCGATGGTCCCACTGATCACAGAAAGCTGCCATTGTACCAAACATTGCATGAGACATAGCTTCGACGAGTTGACAAGGACCACACTTTCATCTTGGCAAATAAAAACTACATAATTAACAATATATATGTATATATTCACATAATTGTAACATATTGCACAGTAAGATATTTATAACATAATAACATACATCATTAACAGTTTGAACCTTCTACACCAGAGAGTTTTACCAAGCTTTTCTAGATCAAGTAATCATTGTTTCTGAACAACACTGTTTACATTAAGCAGAAGCATCAAAAAATTTCTCAATCAGACCACAAACATCATTAACAGTATATTTAATATATTTTTCTGGATTCTTGGTGAAGTTTATTTTTGTATATTTATCTAAGAACATGGTATAACGGGGTGATATAAACTGTTTGTTTTCTTCTTTTAACGATTGGCGTAATTCAGAGTTTGGTATGGCATAACCTTTCTGTATTTTATAAATTTCATCTAGTTCTTTATTGAAACCCTGTAAATAAACAAAAATCTTCTGTCTATTCTTCAAAAGCACATCTAAAACTGTATATAATATCCTTATCAGGACTGCTAGAGTTATAAGTTACCAATTTTTCTCAAACCAGACATGATAAGAATAAATATTTTGTTTAGAAATGTGCAATAGTACTTCAGTTTAGCAACTGAAAAGAATGAATTTAAGTAATACTAACCGTAAACTTATCTTTGATGTTTTGTCTATCTTTGTCTTTTAACTGAAATGAAATAAAGTTTGTTTTATTTAAATTTGAAAGAAAGGCAATATTACTGGTAAGTGGTATGTTTTAGGGGAAATAAGGGAACTGCTTAAGAATACTTTTGACTAAGAATGTTTAACATGCACAACTTGAATGCTCTTAGAAACCTTCTCCATGTCAGTATATGATGATTGGCATTCTTAAACAAATTTTGAATACCTACTTTAGCATTGGGATCTTGTGCTCTCTGTATAGACATTGGTTTGTCTACTTCTAATAAATAATGTAACACTTTACTCCAACTGAAAAAAGATACTTTATTATCTATGTGAACTCTCTGAAATGGATGCCAAACCCAGTAGCATAAATCAGACAATGTGTATCAGGGAAACTTAATCTTTTATTCTAAACATTTGACTTCAATGGTGTGTTTGTGATAATAAATAAATATTTTCTTGAATTATAGGAACCTCTGAGGAAGGGGTGATATCTATGCAAATAGCAGCTCTTGGCTTGATAACCTCAAGAGCCTTCCCTTAAATACTATTATTAAAGAAAAATAATAGCAGAACATACCTTTGTGAATAGACTCTCTTTTGTTTTGTTATTTCATCTAAATAAAAATTCTCTACATCTTTATTCCACATTAATAACAACTTTAACAAATCAGTTCTGTAAGAATAATATCAGTTTATAAATTATATCTAGACAAACATTGAATAGAACTAATACCTAATGATAAATAAATAAATATTCCTGAAGAATATTTTCAGCAACCTGCATTACCACATTTTCTAGGTTTCTACTGAGGCAAGTCACATATATCAGACATTAGTCAAAATCAAAGGTCTTGAGGCATAACTTGTAACGTCTGTTAAATATCAAGAAAAAGAATGGATACTTGGTGGTTTTTTACCCTACAGTAGATAATCAGATGGTTATTCTACTCACTATCCTAGGACAAATAAATGGATCTTTTTAAAACACAGAATGATCATCTTACCTTCTTATAGCATTTACAATATAATTTAAATTATTTAACATAAATATTGGTCTAAGAGCAGGATCACTGTATGTTTCTGATTTATTAGCTAAATTTAAACCTAATGCTGACAGAACACGAGCTGGAAACAAAATAACTTGGTTTAAAGTCTTAGTTTACACCTTTTTGAACTCTACTTGGCAAACATCGATTTAAAAAATATCCAAAAGGTGAAATTAATGGCAATAAATGTGTATTCAACAATGAATAACAGACCTGTCAGGGATATGCAGCAAAATCTATAGTGTATCTAAATGATACCTAAAATGGGAACAAGCTATAGCATTCATATTTAAATTAGAAACTTACTCATATAATCAGCTACTTTCATTTTACATGTATCTGGAGTTATATTGGCTGACGGTGAGGCTTGTTCACCTGAAATTAGATAATATTCAATACATCTACTTTATTTAGAGATTCAGTTGATATACATCAGGCAACACAAAAAAAATGTAGATCTATTGCATATACATATTTATTAGTATTTCAATTTATGGGTATAATGTCATAAACAGGTCACATTTGTTTTATACTTACCATGCATTAATAACATAGCTCCTGCTGTTTCAGCATAGTCTTTTAATTGTTCTAAAAATATTATAGTCTGAAAACATACAATATTAAATTGTCAGGTAATCCAGTAAAAAAAATATTTTGATTACTTAGATAACATTCCTTGCTTCTTGCTAATAGTGGCAATTTCTTGATGGAAATATCTTTTCTAATCTACTTTAATCCTGCTAAAACCTGAATACCTACATGATTAGCTAATTCATGAACTGTACCATCTTTAGGCATATTACTGGCTTTATCTGGATCAATCTGTAAACAAATACAAATATTAATTTTTATAAATATATATCTCTTTACATTTCACACTGACTACAAATTAATATATAACTAGTTGTGTCAAATAGGCAAGGAATGTCAATGACAACCTGCAAGCACATAATGTTACAATACAACCATTTCATTCTGACACAAAATATATATTCAAATATTTAAACTTACTCTAATACTATCTGTAAATTCTTCTAATGCCTTGGCACCCTGTCAAATATATCAGAATATTTGATAGAAAGAAACAACCATAATTTTTACAAGGAAAACAACTTAAGGTTCACATATGAAACTAACACTCTTACCAACTGTGTTACAGCCTCCATTGAGGCATGTATATATAACCCCAGAAACCAAAACTTAAAATATGAAACACCTCATTGCTGATAATAAGTATATTGATGGTATACTAATGGTATTCAGAAATGTTAATAAACTGAATTAACCTACTGTATTATCTAGTGTTGATAATAAAGATGCTAGTTTAGCTCTGGTTGGTGCTTGACATCCCTGAAACAAACAAATCATACTTTTACATTTGACTGTTGTCACTCAGTCAGCTTGAGCCAATTATATACAGTACAAGAATTTCTTGCTGAGCCATGTACATTATGTTCAGCATTTGTTAGATTATATTTATTCAAATTAAATTTTGAATCTGAGAAGTAGGAAGGGAATAAACAAGTATGACTGACCTCTAGTATTAAATCAAATTCTGGTTTAATAGTACGTAGATGTTTAACTATAGGAAATATAGATAACACTGTAGTAAACTCATGACGACCTATATTTCTTCTAGCACTGTTAGCTAATAACTACAAATATAATCATACAATAATATTAATTAAGAAACAAAGCTTACAAAACAAAATATTGTGGATTACAAGATGAATTGGCGTACATGGCGTTTTTGTCAGTCTCTCTTCTTACCTACCTCACTGACAAGAAAAATCTTGTGATTAAATCAGAAATATCAGATAAATATGCTATAACTATTTCACCCCCTGACAAAGTGGTTTTTATGGAAAGATTTTAATCACTGGTGAGATAAATTTTGTGAAGTAATTCCATTAAGCATGCATTTTCAATATTACACAGGTTCAAGTGGCAAGAAATACTACTGTTACTTACCTCTCCTTCATTCACCACTGTTTCTAAACTAGATTGTACAATATTATCAAATACCATTCTACGATTCTTCTCTGGTATAATACCATCCATTAACTGGGCTTCACTCTGTCATTTTATAAAAAAAAATTGATTGAATAATGCCTGTTTACATACTTGTTTCTAGGAATGAAAGGGTAAGGGAAGTGGTTTTAAGTATATGTAATTGATGACACTTGTAGCTTTTAATTTCAACATTCTGACTTCACAAGTATTGCCTGATGTTCCAAAAAAAACACTTGATTTGAAGATTATGTTACCATCACACAAATCAGTCATGTCAAAAGGGTTTACAAATAGTGACATCATATTCTGGCCACCCATGACACACAATCTAAAATTGACTACATGATCTTGTACAGTGGAGGTGTAATCTACCCAGTCTAATCCATACCTGCATTAGACGTAATAAAGCACTAAGTTCTGTAATATATAACTCTGTCTCTATATCACTGGATTCTTCTTTTATACTCTCAGTAAATGAACCTTGTCTTTTATGACCTGGTTCAAATGGTGACATTAATGCTGTAGTGGCCTTTTTTGATAAAAATCTGAAAACATAAAAGTTTGAAATGAAATGAGTTTTTCCTCTAGCACTTTTAGGCTTGTGATGACAGACAATCCCATGCATGTGCAATGAGAGAAACTTTGCCATGCCATAATTCTTTTTATTTTTCTACCAGATTTGATTTAAATTGGAGTAACCAACTTACGAGAGCTTCTTTCTACTCTTTCTAATAGGAGTGTTGGATTTGACAGATACTTTACCAGGCTGAAAGACAAAAATTAAATTATTATTTTGACTCTTAACTGCCCATAAAGAAACTTCTAACTTTTAGGTCAGTTGAAACCTAAATAACATTTAATATAAAATTATGTTATTAGATACTACTTTTAGTCAGAAGCTAAAGTAAAATGTAACCAGATTATGGATTAGAAATACTTACAGTGATCGGTGAACTTTGAACCCCAAAGTTTATAGTATTACTACTTCCACTACCAGATCTTAAATGTTCTTTTAATCTAAAAATAGCAGGATAGTAGGATTGATACTTTCAGTTTCCCTTATAAGCAATAATAAAGCTCAATTCAACATTTTTAGCCTAGTACACAAGCTAAACACAGCTCTCTTTAGCTAGAATATTAGATTATTTCAAATAGGACTAGTATCCTTATAAAGACAAAGTTTGGTTGAGAGAAAAAATTGGACAGCTAAATGATACTGGTAATGATAATAAGATGGAGTGTCCTCGCATATCATACGTATTCAATGAACAGTTATGACTTACTTACCCTTGAATAGATTTATTCAATATTAAAGATCTAGAATTAACATAAGATTTAGTGAAGTCTGTGTTATTACCATTAACTACCAACCATCTTGATATTTCACGTAATTCATTAATAGTTTTCTCTGGTAAATGTTCAATCGCTAGATCTGTATCAGTTCCTACTGGAGGCAGTTCTACAATAAATAGCATCAATTGTAAATAACAAAAATAATATTTCTGTTAAAATAGTGCTCAATTGGATGTGAGATCTTCAGGCAAATCGACTACTACAGCTCTAGTCGCTACTGAATTTTGCACTTAGTACTTACTTGCAGCCCAATATATGAGTAGGGACACTTACTAACAACTACTTCTAATGGGACATAGGTTCACAGGTATTGAAAACAATCAAGTGTTATTTCAATTAGAGTCAATTCAGACTGTTGTCATCTACTTATGTTTTTCTTATACTCATAGACCAAAAGATGTTAAATTTTCATTTTGAAAAGGGATAGAGACAGTTGAAATAGAATTATATCTGTTGGGAAAGCTAATAGGTCTATGATCTTTCAAAGCACATACCATCATCTGTTCCTAATAAATCCATGATGACAACAGGTGGTACTGGACGACCATGTCTAGTTAGTAATGAACGGAATTCATGTTGTAAAGCATCATTACCATCTTCAAATAGACGGGACTAGAAAAACAAGATGAATTTATTCATATAAATAAATAATCCAGGATAAGCCACCAATCATTTAATTTGTCTGCTACAACTAATAGATTTATCTATGAAGCATAAATATAAGGTGATTAAAACCTACTGATAGAAGCATATTCATTATACCTTTAGTGACAATTTCACAATAACACCTGTACTTACTATTTCATCCATTTCCTTCCCTTTTGGATCATTAGTTTCAAAATATTTTATAGCTTTCAACAATTTATCCATGTAGTTTAAGTAGGCTCCTAGACCAGAGGCATTGGGTCTGAAAATAAAATATTTGAAGAAAAGCACATATTATAAAATACAATTTTACTCAAATTCAACTGAATGAAGCCATCTGATTATCAAAAAATCCAAAGAAATCAATTAATTTCTAGTTCTAGCATTAATTATAAATTGCAACAAGTTACTTTTTTGACAAAAAATCCAAAAAACACTAGTTTGCATAATCCTACTTACCCTTCTTTGATATAGGCCTCTACATCTCTGGCAACATGGTAGAAGCCAAGAACATTATCCACTGTATGCAAGGTTTTCTCAATATCTTAACAAGCATTAAAGAAACCTTTAATATACCAAAATTATAATCATGGGCCACTTTTAATGTTATCGTATTCACCCAGAAGAGAAAAAAAATAAGACCAATTGATAAAATTAATGGTTTTGATTTTAAAGGATACTTTCTTGTCTTCTTCGTAGATTTTCAGTTTCATTATAAACAGGTACTATGGTACTTTCAAGATGTTTCAATCTATTCTCAAAACTGGTTAATATTGATAGCATATTATTGGTATTTGTACTACTTTTATTTAGACACTCTCGCAACTTTGACATATTGTGCATCTCCTGAAAAATAAATTAGTAGGCCCTATATTATGCAATCCAATAATTGATAATACTTTATATGCAGTTAAGTAGTCCAATGGACATTATTGATAAAAGATTGCATTATCAACTGTGGAAATAAGCTGTAAAACTAGCCAAGACTATATACAGAAGGTTGGCAATGTTGAATTTCTACGCTATTTATTGCTTGGTAGCTTGCTAAGCCTTTGCTTCTATCTTTGCATTGCAATAAGGCTGAACAATGAAAATTATCATGTTAATATTTGAATTTAATAGAAAAGTCTAATCGTGATAGTGATGTACAGTGACTAGCATGATTATGCATTAAAATTTATCCCTTTAAGGACAAACTACACCTTAGGCTTAGGCTAATGAAGCATGGGTGTTCTTATGCCAAGTTATGGAAAGAAGGCCTAGCCTAGACCGTCTTGTAGAACTACCTCAGCCTAGACACCCCCATCATTTAGTCATTTACATACCTTTTCTAGCTTTTTGTCAATGTCCTTGCGAAAGGATGTAATATCCTCCATCCTGCTGCTATTCAATGTAGCGTGAGTTGTGATTTTTCAAATCTTAGATACAGCCTAGAATGATCTAGCCTAGGCAGACTACCCAGATTAGTATTTTTTTGCTTTTTAGGGTTTGTCTGCTAGGCCATATTACCATTGAAAAGTATTTATATCATTTTGCGACATTTCGTTTGTGAAAAATGCTTTTACAAAATATGAGTATATTATGTTTTATTTGTCAAAAAAGATTTAATAGTAGACAATGCCTGATAATGTTTGTATCAAATCAATAAAACCACTTTTTTTTAAGTTTGGAGCAATGTCGTAATTGTGACTAGTCACGTGACAAATATGGCCGTGTTTGGAAATATTATTTTTAAGTTGAATTGATTTTTCTGTTTTGCACACATAGTTTATAGGATTGACAGTTTCTGAATAATAGAAATGGGTAGACGTTCAATAAACACCACGAAAAGTGGTAAATTTATGAACCCTACAGACCAGTTTCGTAAGTATAACTTAATTTCTTTTGTAAGCGTTGCATGTTATTGCCATTATTGGTGTCTGTGATTTCCCAACTCCTATTTTTTGAAAGGCCAAGGGGTTTGTTTATTCACACCATATCATTAATCATTTATTATCATTCATCTGATCAAGATATGTTTATGAAGTTTAAGTTTGATTTCTCCTTGTTTCTTTTATAGGTAAAGAAGCAAGAAAGAGGGAATTGAAAAAGGTATGACAATGTTTATGTTATACAAAGTTAACTTTTTACAGTTGATTTTTTGTCAGCTTCAACAAATTATGTGTATACTTCCGGTCACTTGTTTCTTAAAGATCTTTTATATAACTTTAAACAAGAAATGGGGGGGATTGAAGTAAAAATGCTCCTATCAGACTTGAAAAGAACAATGCATGCTACACTTAGATTACCACAGCTCTTGATGGGTGTTGAAATTTTTGGTTTCAAAACAAACAATACCTTTTTTTGTAACCATTTCAGAACAAAAAACAAAGATTTTTAGTTCGACATGCTGTGTTGAAAGGAAAAGATCCAATGAAATTATTACAAGAAATGGAAGTTATTGATAAAATGGGTAAGACTTTTCAAAACAAATTCAGAACATTACGTATGATGTATCACAAATGAAATTTGCTTTTTGGCAATATGTATTTAAAGATATGAATATAGTTTATAAATTTTGGTCCAATGTGCTTAATTTATTTCTTTTTCTTTGCAGAATACAATCCACTTGAAGCCCCTTCATTAAATGAAAAGGTGTTACGAGATAAAAGAAAAAAGTTATTAGAAACATTTGTCAGGGTTTTACGACTTTATGTAAGTATCTATAGTTAGGAAAATTTCAAAAAGGTGTGAATCATTAATCTCAATATGATTATTTTGTATAATGTGTTATAGATAGAATGAAGTAACCCACAATAATGAAAAACAAAGTATCTTGAACTCTATGTTAATTTTCCATGTAGGACAAAGAAAATCCAGAATATGGTATAGAGCTGAAGAAAGCTCAAGCTGAATATGAAAAGAAGAGAACACAAATGCACATTTATTATGGTAAGTGCAGACTTTTATATAGGGTATTCATAGATATTCTGTGAAATAGCAAAATACTTAAGAAATAAAAATGGCAAATGTTTACGATTTTGCATACTGCTTGGGTTTGTGGCATGATTGCTTCTGCCTATAGATTGCAGTTAGGATACTACATGCATAGTTGTATTACCAAGATCACAAATGATTGTTTGTGGTAACTTCTACTTTTAGAACAAGTCAAAACTGCTGAAAGAGTACAGCTAAATGAAATTCCATTACCAGATGCTCCTGATGAACCTGGTGAAGGTAAGATTTAGTCATATTATGCTGTGGACAGTTGTTTAAATGGAGGTTGAATTTTTTTCCAAAATTTGGTTTTAGACATTGGTGTGAATACAGAAAAGATATAATATATGCCAAGAATATAAGTCTTTTTCCTAAAATAATTTCAAATGTGTCTTGAAATGCCTCATGGTCTTCAAACTATGTGTTTTATACTCTCACAATTTTATTGTTGTGTTCTTTTCAGCACCATTTGCTATACCACTACCAACTGATATCCCATTACCAGGAATGCCTGGTTTTGGTTCTAAACCCTTAGCAGGAATCTTAAAGAAAACATCTGCATATGGGTAAGTAAGGTGCTTCTTTTCCATACCAAAAAATGAACTTCACTTCAGATCATATCAGATTTGGAATTTAGAAATTAGGAGCACTAAGCCCTCTAGAACTCTACCTTAATAGCTCAAGAGTGCTTGATTTGTTTAAAGGATTAGATGCATGTATATTTCAGTCCTGCAGGTTTATACAACACTTCCTTCATGGATAATTTAAAGTTAAAAAGAAAACAGAAACCTCCAGGTGCACCTCCTGGTCCCCCTCCTGAACTCAGTGACAGTGAAGATGAAGATTATGATCCTGAAAAAGGTAGGTCTATGGAAGACTAATAAAGATTGACCAAACATCAAGATAGCTGTGTTGTTTTGTGGTACTGCTTTTCTTAACATCTCGTTTTTCTCTATTTCTCCTTCTTTAATGCAAATATTTGTCACAAGATTGTCTAATGACAGTATTTGCTGTGCAATTCTTATGGAATAAAACAGTTCAGTATATATTTATAAATTTCAGCCATTGAAGCAGCAGTAGAAGCCCCTGTTACTACTAGTAGTACTGTACTTATACCAGGACTTGATCTTCTGTCTGATTCGGGTAAGATTATGAATAATATTATCATATTTTCAGGCATATTAAATCTGCAGAAACTGCATTGATCTCAGCACTGTATTAGCAGGATTTGCTGAAATATATGAAACCACAGGGAGGACATTTTTAAGTGAAAATGATACAAAACTGACTTTTCTCCAACAGATAATGCAATTTCAACTTTTCATGCCATGAAAATTTCAGTCGGTCATGAAAACAACATGTAACAAATGGCAATCTAAAAGTCCATAAATCATCAGAATCAAGAGGTAGACTCGAACTAAATACAGAAGGCCCAAATCTTTTTGTCACAGATAATATCTATTATGCAATAGCATCAACAAAATTTTTCTTTAGGTAAATCAAGAAAAATCAGGTTTGCAGACGGTAGAGAAGAAGATGAAAGTGAAAAAGATACCAGATTAAGCTTTAAGAAGAAGAAAGAAGGTGGTGTCTCAGCATTACAAGCTAAAATGTTACAATTAGCTGGTCAAGATCCTAAAGATTATGCCAACGCTGGCAAGAAGAGACGACATGTAAGTTTTGACTCTATTTTTAGACACTGATTAAACTTGACAGATTGGCTGAATATAGAAAGATTAAGATTCCCATTTTATCCCTGTATACTCAAGCAAGTTTTTAACAAGAAGAAGAAATGGTTCATCAACACCTGTACAAATAATTGTCAGGTTGTTTCCTGTTGTAGTTGACAGGTTTGCTTAGAACTAATTGGATTAATTGTCATGGAAGATTTACTCATGTTGACACGCAAATATTTTCAATATAGCTTTATGAATTAAGATAAACATTTTTAACACATTGCCTTGATCAATATTGTCACATTCAATTTCAATAGTTTTCTAACAGTGTTTGTTGATTTGCTATATTGTAGTCATCATCAGATGAAGAAGAAGATGTTAGTAATAAAATCAATAAAGAGGAAGTGATATCATCCCATAGTGATACAAGTGATAAACAGGAGAGCGATGATAATGATGATAAGGATGATGATGTACGACCTCCAGGTGTAGACATTGAGAGCGATAAAGAAAAGAGTAAATCAAAACCACCTGGTCCTCCTCCTGGCGCACCTCCAGGTGCTCCTCCGGGTTTACCTCCAGGTATTCCTCATATTAGCTTCTTAAAATTCCTTGTCTGACTCTTGTTTGAGTGCACTGATGACTGAAATGGCTGGAACAAATTTGCAATTAGTTGCCTATGTTCTACTTTTGATTTTTATCAGCAAAAATCGAATGACGGTCACCTGAGCTGTCGGAATCAATGCCCATCAAGTTTGTCAAAGTTGTTTGTATTGAGCAATTTTTAGATATTAAAATTTTATTTATCATGAGATTCTTTGAATTGTGAGGTAGCCCCCTTAATAATTCTCAACTTTAATTTTTAAATATTTCATTTCTTTTCAGGTCCCCCTCCTGGAGCACCACCAATGTTCATGCGTCCACCACCATTACGAGGTGGTCCTGGTGCACCACCCAGACTATTACCACCTGGTCCACCACCCGGCAGACCACAAGGTTTACCTCCAGGTCCTCCACCCGGTTTACCACCTAATTTACGCGGCATGCCTCCCAGATTACCCCCCGCACCTCCAGGTTAGATCATTCTGTACCATTATTTACTCAATTTAAAAGAGATTTAGGATAATTTCAAGTTTAGTCATATACTGGATCACTTTGCACATTTCAGACATCGTAATTCTTGTTAAGCATTGTGTAAGAATTGTCAAATTACTAGATCTTATTAAGAATTGTCAAATTACTAGATCTTATTAAGAATTGTCAAATTACTAGATCTTATTAAGAATTGTCAAATAACTAGATCTTATCAATAATTGTTAAAATACTGAATCTTGTCCTGCATCATCAGTTATCTTACTAAATATTGTTATTGTGTAACACTATCAGATTACTTGATAATGTCAAACATTGTCAAATTACCTAATCTTGTCTAGCTTTCAGTAATTCCCAGTTTTCACATTTTAAATTGAACTTATTTTTAGGAATCCCTCCTCCAAGAATGATGAGACCTGGTGGACCTCTCAGTATCCCCTTACCAGGTGGACCACCTCCACCTCATATGATGATGAACCCTAATGTACTCAGTGCTCCCCCAAGTATCATGAAATTACCACAGAAACTAAGTGATAAAAAGAATATGGCTACTATCAGTGCTAAACCTCAAATTAAAAATGTTATGGGTGATGTAACCAGATTTACTCCAACAGCTTTGAAAATTAAACGTACAGTTAAAGACCAGAAGGGCAGGTCTAAGACAACAGGTAATATTTCTTCCATTTTGAATGGAATTTTATCCTGCTGTTAAATTTTTGTCAAACATGGCAAAAAAAAAAAGATCAGCAATTTCATAAAAACTTCTATCAAATTCTATCTAATTCTATCTAAAACACACAATGAATCTGTGATCAAAGAAAATAGCAATGAAAAATGGAAAGGAACAAAAAAGATTGAAATTTGATGTATTTTAACCATATTCTTTTGCAACTTATCTGCCTCAGCTACTACGTCTTTATTGTCAAAAGCACTATATTAAAATGTTTTTATTTATTATCATGTTTAATGTATAGGTCAAGAAGAAGACAAGAGAAATACAGTGAGTGGAAGTCAATCTATACCAACACCAATTATTACTACAAAAACTAAAACTAAAGATGATGCTTATGATCAGTTTATGAAAGAAATGCAGGGGTTATTATGAGGTGAGTGAATGAAGATGGCTATTTTTTTTCATTATCTGCATTATTTAGTCAGTCCAAGAGATAAATTTTTTATGATTATGAATTCCATAAGAAAGTGTTTATATTTAAAGAATAACTGAATGAAAATGAAAGACGCCGTTTATTCTGATTTCTGTTTTCCCTTGTGGAATATTTAAGTGTATTGGTATTAAAGCTAAACTATTTTAAAGAGTATTAATGTCCTTCATTATCTCCCTTTTCAGGTACAACTTGTCTACTGCAAAATGTAAACATCTTATTTTGTGATTTAAATGTTCTTATTGAAATTGTGAATTGACAGTATGAAACAGATTAATCTTAAATTCCTTAATTATTACATCTTCTAACAGACTTTATGCAGGTGCCGGAAATTGCTGGAAAGTAATTTAACTATTATATTGTCTCTACAACCAACCTGCTATTTTTGCTTGGAGGTTTTGCTGTGGATGTGAATGGGGATTTTCAGCCTTTCTTTGTTCAATTGAAGTATGAGAGGAATTCAATAACTAAAATGTGGAAATAACCAAATATTTTGATGACTATATATTCGCAATTGGTCATTCTGTACATTTTAGCCTGTACTGAATTTAACCCATTTGGTCATGAAAAAGGTATATCTTCATTTTTTTTGTAGATAAATGAAAGAATGAATAGTTTATGCAATGTCCTTGTTATGTAAATAGCGAAATAAAAGATAAAAGTTTTAAATTTATCCTGATATGACATTTATAGGGGGATAATCTTCTGGTGCTTATTTACTAGAGCCAGTTCGCTTTGAGGAAAATAACCATCGAGCTATCATAAGCATAACGTCAATGAATCAAACGGAGATTTGCATTATACTTTTCTGCCTAAGATAACTAATAACTTTTGTGAAGACAGGCAACGCAAAAGAGTGCTCCATGAGGCAAACGGTCCTCGAATGTAAACCCCATTATTTCATTTTGTCATATGACCAATCCGAACTTTAAGGGACTGCCAGATTTTCTAACATGCATTATTGAAAGAAGGCAACTTGATTGTTGAATCGAATGGTAGCGAGCAAGCAGCTTCATGAATTCAAATATCGCAATTCCAGTTAGTACTTATATAATTTTGATATAAAATGCACCATTGTATGAGAGATTCATTCAAGTGCATTCTATAAAGAAAAATACATTTTAATTGTTTACTCAAACAATGTACATGTTTCATAACATAAAATCAATAACATACTTTAAATCTGACCATCAATAATTTAACACTCAAATACCTTAAAGCAGCACTGTTTCATTTTTGATATATATATACGATATTCACCAGTGCGATGCTGGAACGTCATGTATTTGAAGGTGCATCTTGACGGTGATTATTTTGTAGCATAAACTAACTACTATGCATTATTAATATTGATTTCAGAAACATCAATGATTTTTTTGTCGAATTTGTTTTGTGCAAAAGATTTGAATATACTCATACAGGCTACAGCAATCCCACCTTTTATTAAGCAAGAGTTACATCTGTCCATAACCACTTCAGCATTTCCAGTCTATATACCTTCGAGGGTCAGTCAAAACGTTTTATAGACGACAATCTCAGCTAATTACCTTTGGATGTCTGATTGATTGTAATATTTGAGAAATAGAGACACTTTATTTACGTCACCAAACTTTCCACATAGAGAAAGGGTAAGAACCATGGATAACTATTAAATGTAATGCATTTAAGAAATAAAATTGTATGTCTTGAGGGGAGGAGGTATAACATTCTGCTGATATTTCATGCCGTCGTATCAATATACATTTCGAATATAAAGAATACATTTTCTAGATTCCAACTAATATTTTATTCACCCTGGAAATAAACTCAGAAGAATCTCAACAAACCAAGACACAAGTAGAAAAATACAAACATATTCTGCTTTCTTATAAATAACAAATCTCTTATATACAATATGTCTATATACAATATGTCATTTCAAATATACATGATTTGAGAAGGAGGAATTTCTGATAAATTATGAGGTGCAATGTTTTTGAACATGATTTGGATGGATAGTGCAGTATGGATCACCAAAATTTATGTTTGTTTCATACAAAAGAACACCGAAATTTTGTCTAACTCTTATCCTTCTTCGAGAACAAACCTCCGAGGCAACATAAGTTTCATATACCATGTAATTTTTCAGAAATTCCCTATTGAACATGCACCATCTCTAACAATATGATACATAATTTTTAATGAGCACTAATTAATGATCTACAAAAATATAATTTTCTAGAAAAAAATACTGTTAAGGAATGCTTGTTACCGTAATACTATTAAATTTAGTTCATAACATGTTAAAGTGCATTAACGAAGGAGTTTTAACAACTTCTGTAGGAAAGAAGTCTTTGAATGACATTTAACCAGTGATTGTTGTTCCATAAAGATGTGTCTATATAACTTCTGTAGGAATTTGAGAAAAAAAATTAGAAAACACTCCAGCTTAAAAATCATGCACAGTTGATGCGAAAAAGACGTAAATATAACTATAACTTCTCAATGAATTTGAGCTTCAATGATATACAATGTTATAAGACTTAACTACGACAGTGTAATTTAAAATCACAATAACAAGGTTATAAGATTCAATGGTATTTTAACATATAATTACAATTACATAAGATGCCTTTACTTTAGTCTATTTAAATATATTTGAATGGAATAGTGTGTCATTAATAACACCGACAAGACGGAATGAGTTGAAATAACATTATGTTTTGTGTTAACGAAACGAAAATGCACTTAAAACTGTATGAAAATCGAATTAGTAAGTTCACCCAAGGTTGAAGTGAATATGAACCTAACAACATAATATTAAGTAAAGGTAGGCGTACGTATGAATATTGGCCAACATTTATGGAGCTATGCCTAATGGGTAACAGTTTTCGGACGTAGCTTGTCAATAATGGGCAATAATTATAGGTGTAATCATATGTAATGGGTAATATTTTTTTACGATGTTCCTGTAATAGTGTAAATCATGTGTACCCGGTAATGGGTGACATACTCTTAGATGGGTAACATTTTAGGACGATGGTATAGTTTTCAATAAAGGGTAACACAGCTATATGTAATTGGTAACAAAGTTTGCGGAGCTATAGTAATGGGTAAGAAAAAATGGACGGAGCTATAGGTAACGGGTAACAGTAAAGGTAAGGAATAACAAATTTTGGACAGATATACGAGTAATGATTAACAATTTTTGGACGGAACTATCAATAATGGGTAACAGTAATGGTAAGGAATAAAATAATTTGGACGAAGCTCTGAGTAATGGTTAACAATTTTTGGACGGAACAACAAATACTTACAAAATATGAACAAATAAATAATAAATAAAACAATTTAACAAACAAATGGATGGATTTCAAATAACCATCACATATTTTGCTTTGAGACAATCAACAAATGGACGGAATGTCTGAAGAGCTCAATGAACTAGATAATACTTGAATAAAACAAATGGACGGAATGTCTGAAGGGCTCTATGAACTAGATAATACTTGAATTAAACAAATGGACGGAATGTCTGAAGAGCTCTATGAACTAGATAATACTTGAATTAAACAAATGGACGGAATGTCTGAAGGGCTCTATGAACTAGATAATACTTGAATTAAACAAATGGACGGAATGTCTGAAGGGCTCTATGAACTAGATAATACTTGAATAAATGAGCATAAATGTAACACATATGAGCACATAAAACACATATCAGCATAAATAACACACTAATACTGTATTTGTTCGATTGTTTTCATGACGTTCACACCACACATAAAGTGATGCTTACACGATGTCGGGACTGATGTGACTATGTCATCATATTGGTGCTGTCAAGAACTGATTATTCGAGATTCAAACCACACGGTGGAATTTAACCCAAATCAACTCTTCACACGACGGGACAAACCACTAGCCCATAAAAAATTAGGCCATCAATGGTGACATGATACGAAGAAGCGTCTTTCCGCAATCTCATATCAAACACTCATCTGGATGAAGGATGAATTGACCCTATTTGATAAGGAATAGCATAGTTTTTATCAGCATACAGGATGTTGAAGTCAACCAGCGTACGGGCTTGGTATGTTATCTAGGTCAAACAAATTGTCCACGTCAAAAGCACTAGCAACGTCATCCATAGGAGGGATCCATATTTGTTCACTTTCATAAACCGGTGATGATGAGTATACAGGTGTATTGAGTCCATGATGATTTTGTTGTTGGGTAATGTCTGCTAATTTTCCCGCGTCGCCACTCATATTTAAGGCTTCTTCCCACCAATCGGGGCGTCGGATACTTTGTCCAGTCACAGTAAGATCTAATGGATCTAGTTGATGTTCAGATGGCACATGAAAATCGGCAGTTGCGAGAAGATCGTCAAGACCGAGATCGTCTGAGTTACTTTCGGAAGTAGGCGGGCTCATTGCTAAGATTTGACTAGCGGCCTCCTCTTCGTCAACGAGATTCTCAGTTTTAATTCGGACACCTCCAACTTCGATATCTTGTTGTAAGATCGAAGTCCAATTGAAATCAGATCTAAGATGATCTTGTTCCTCTTCTTGAACACCGAAATAAAGCACGTTACCGTTCACTAATACACGATTTTCTTCGTCATCATTACCGTTCAAGGCGGCAAACGTTTCCTCTTCGCGCTTTATTCTTTTGGCAGGTGGTGGCACTGGCATTACGTCTCTACTACCACGACGTTTCTTAAAAATGCCATTTTCAAGCATGTCACTGAATTCCGGGTTTATTCTCCAGAAACCACCTTTACCAGGTTCGTCTTTGCGTCTCGGAACTTTCTCGAAACACTTGTTAAGAGACAAATTATGGCGTATGGAGTTCTAAAATGAGAAAATGAAATTAAGTGAAAATGAGCGTGAAAATATCAATTATCAAGATGACTTGTGAAGGTTAAATAATCCAACTGTCACGTTTGCATTTCATGCTCTGTGGGGGTTCTATGGGTCCATGTGAACCGTACTTATATTCATGTATAGACAACAATGATTTCGAAATTTCAATTTGGGACTCTCGTTTTACATAATATCCTTGTGGAGGTAGCCTACTTCCTGTTTTGTATTTTACATAACGTGAAATGCTAAACTCAATGAACCTATCACCATAATTTTTCCCTGAATTCAGAATTTCATTGAACGTATTTAATATAATCAATTTTACATGATCCCGTCTGAATCAAGCTTAATTCATTTCAAAAGATATTCGAAACAATCGATAATCTTACACAATATATACGTGTTTATTTCATTGTTTATGTCTTGGTATTTATTGATTTGGCGGCCATGTCCTCTCGTTTGGTCGTTACTGTTGTCCATAATAATAGGGTAATTGTCAGGGAGAAGAAGGTATGCACGTATTAAAATAAATGATTAAAGGAGGGGTGTGAATTAAAGCTCCATTATGCCAGGATTATTTCAGAATGTGTGTATATCATGGATTGAATAATTTTGAGAATTATTTCAATGAAATGGATCTTTACGCCCTACTGTTTTTATTCCAGTTTAGATTAAGGAAAACCGAATAAAGGTACAATAAGGGAATTCGACTTAAACGTAGTAAATGGTCGACTTATTGTTTATACTATTGTACAAAATAATGTAGAAAACCATCTTAAATTTAGTTCGTGGAACTAACCTTGTCTAATTTGAAGGTTTTTTTTTAATAGGAGTCGCTATCTTTTACCTCTCCAAATAATATATAAAGGGGCTTTAAGGGTATGAAATTCAGTATTTGTACGGTAACTAGTGTAAATAACAACAATAATATTGATAGATTAGTCATTCAAAATATTGATTCATTCCGCGAAGTAATGAACTCTCCTATATTCATTGTTGCTTGTTGGCAGCTAATTTGACTTTATGATTACGTTTCATGGCACAGAAAACAAACCATTTTCATTCATTCAAGTAGATTTGAAAATATTATCATTTCTAAAGCAAAATGACTTTAGGGGGTAAGTTTGAATCTGGAACCTCAAGGGTTTGATTGATCCAGTTTTCGCGATAATTGAAGATTATAAAGTCAATGAACACAAATATCAACAATGGGTGATTAACTTCAATTGTCTTGAGTGAGATAGTTCGATATATAATTATGTGGGACATCGATTATTTCACATAAAGTAAATACCATTTTTAATTTAATGTTTTTGTAGCTGTCAAGCATGTTTTCAGCTGTCCGAAACGAAACAGTAGTTTTTCAAGATCACTACCTAGACTTCAAGATGGTCAACATGGCTAATTTTGTTTCTTCTGAATATCTATTGCACATAACGTATCGTAAGAACATTCATTTACGTCTGGCCATGTCGTCTGAAGTAGAAGTTAGTGGCGCGTAACTAAATGACCTTGACAAGCCAGCCTTTTTGACCTTGGGGCTTAAAATAAAGAACATAACGAACCTGCCAACTGGGATCAGCCATACGATAATACATGAAGTTATCCGTAATCCAGTTATAAATAGCTGACAGTGTGATTTTCTGTTTCTGTGTCTCTTTCATAGCCATACCAATCAGGGTGGCATACGAATAAGGCGGTTTCACGTATGGGTTATTCTTATAGTCTATGTTATCAGGCACAAAACTTGCACTAAAAGGCGAACCATCCACATAATTCAATCTGGAATCCAATTTGGGTGGTTGTATGGTGGCAAAATGCTGAACTAAGTTATTGTTGTTTTGGGCGTTAGCTGTGGTGATAATTTCTTGAGGCACGGGACTGGCAGGCGGTGTAGGTGCCCCACTGGTGCCGAGTTTCATGATATTAAGATTCTGTAACCAGCTGAGACTCGTAAGGCTATCATCTAAGTTGACACCACCATTACTGCACGAGTCTTGTGGGTTTTTAGCCAACCAATTCTGTCTGAGCCTGTTGGCTAGAACGTTCCTCGTCACCGGTGGAAGTTTGCTCTTGACTCGGCTTACGCTCTTGATATGAACGGGCAGATGCATGATGGCTGAAAAAATAAATCAGATTTCTGTCAGATACCACGAGTATAGATCATTCATTGAGACTAAAATAGCATTGCTGAATATCGTGAATGGCACCGAAGCAATTAGATCGCGATGTATTGACATGAATATAATGAATGAATGGATGAATGAAAGCAATGAAGAAATGAATGAATGGACTAAATAGAGATTATCCTAACACAATTATCAATATGGGGAAATACTTGTCATTAATAAATGATTTTGTTATGAACTAATTTGAAGCAAACTTATAAATATTACATGATTTACGCGACCAATTTTACCATCTGATCTCATAAATAATACAAATAAATACTGCTCATACCGTCAGACTTAATGTGGCTTAAAGGCAGTCGAGATGGCCGTTTGACTAAGCAATTGCTATTCTCACCTATAAACCCATCGTTACCAATGGTTTGTGGTATTACGTCGGTTTCAGATTGTTCGATTTCATTAAATGAACAATAGCCAATTATAAGGCAACATACCGACGGAAAAATTTGGGAAAATGTTCCAAATTACATCACAAGAGTTTTACAAAGTAAGATAAAAACAATGTGATAACCAATCATCATTAAATACATTATTAGGGTCATTTCGGGTACTAGGTGTGTGTGCACCATTTAATTATCGATCAATCGAACGTATGAATACGTGTTCGATTACATTATCACTGAATCAATTGCCTCATTAACAAACGGGGTATCGTTAATTATCTAGAAAAGGTCGTTTTTTGCAAAGTACATTCAAGAAATAGGTAAATCAGATCAAATGGCAGAAAAGCTAAAAAAAAAAAAAGAAGAGTAAATCTATTCTATGGAAAAATTTCCAAAAATCAATTTGCACATTAAACGTCAAAACGGCCTAACGTTATCTAAATTATTGAGGGTTTTATCAAATTGTTCACCTCATAATCTCTCAAATACCCCGGAGTACGATAAGAAAGATAAACCTTCCAAAACCACCTAGTCAATCATTAAATTGAACAGACCTCCACTCATGGTGTAACGTTTCATATAAGGATATCATATTCAAGTCAAGTCATGACATATACTAGCATAATACGTGGTTTGACATTCCTTACGTTGACCGTCTATAGGTATTGACTAAACCACAATGATCTTAGGGTATTCACTACACAACTGCACCGATAAGTTCAGACTTGTAGTAAAAACAACTGACAACTGTCAAAATTTAAATATCTTTTAAAATATTAAAACTGAAGAAATTTTCGATGGGTAAAAGTAAAATTGAGGCTTATTTATTGTCTTATCATTAATTAAAAAACATACACCTTATGTACATTTTACTGCATCTTTATCACCTTGTTTTGTCGTCCGCTATGAGATTCGAATCATGACAAGAACATCTTTTGGTTGCTTAACCATTGCTTTTGGGAATCAACCCAGTGAAGATCCTTATCATAATATGCACTGGTCAGATATGAGATGCCAAAGTTATGCTATAATGTACATGTTACAGATTGACCATTTCTCACACACACTAAAGGTAATGTATGGATACTTACATGCTGACATGAAGAAAAGCCAAAAAAATAAACTGAAAAAGTCTATGCTGCTATTGATTCCTGCATGTATATAGTCTTTTCTCTCTCAAGCCTGTACGTTCAGGTTTTCCGATAAAAATTCCAACGCTGATAAGGCTAATTAAGTGGAAGTCCTAATTACACACACGAACAGAGAAATCCTATAATAATTAATTATACACTTAATTTAATTTCCCTTTTTTCCTCGGATTGGTGATTTTTTTCCTCTGGAGAGATGATTATGGGTGAAATGATTATAGAGGAATGGTTCAATGTCAGAGCCGGCGAGGAAAATATAAATACCCTACGTCCCGCTGAATGAAAAAAGCGTGTAGCAACAAGATAAACCGGCATAAATAAGATACTTGTTTTTCATTGGTCACTGGTGTTATTGGCCGCCAATGGTAGCCGAGTAAACAGCAATCCTTTCAAAGCAATTTTCCCTTGGCCTTATTGTGATACTGTTATCGACAATAATCGGATTTATTCATTAAAACATTGTAATGTATTGAAAATGAATTAATATGAAGATTAATAGATAAAGTGTTTTAATATGTCACTCATTAATATATTTCATAGTTTCTGATTAGTTTTCGCGCCCTTTTTAAACATTTCTGATGACATTTTGATGAACATATTGATGAACTATTTAATGAATAGAACAATTTTTGATAATTTTTCGCACCCTCAAACGGACCATTATCATTAATGTTTGACATTTTAACGAACTTTTATATCATTGAATTCAACTTTTTTATTATTTTTTTTTTTTGAGGTCTTTTAATTTATTTGTTAAGTTGATTCAAATTTAGCCGAACTTACTAAACGGACATTCTGTTTTTTCTCAGGTCGAGATTTCATTTTGCTATCTAGATAAATTTTTAAAGGTTTACGTAAACTTCGTAGTGCATTTTTGGAGGTTTTAGAAAACTAATGAAGCAAATTAAATGACTGATAGTAGATAATTATGTCTTATACGTTTTCTAAAAAATTCAACTGGAAATATTGAGTCTTTATTAGGCTTAACACTAAAACTAGTTTAGGCAGTTTATAGACAATTAGTACACTCAGTTTTTAATTAACCCTTTTTAAAACTAATATAGTTTGATCAGATACATAGCTGCAAATAGCATGTTTCAAAATTATTTTCAGGTACTATGTACGACGTTTTTGATAATTAACATTTTGCATACTGCTCATCTCTCTTGCACCCGTTCCCCAATAATTGATATGAAGTACCAAATTGGCAGTGCGCGTCAATTTTCAGAATATTTATATCATAACTTGCCATAAATAGTTGGAAATGAAGCTACTTGTGAAAAAATTTAACAAGTAGGTTGTCTTTATGGTAATAATCTGTAACTTTTAATAACCTTTTAACTCTGATTATTTTCGGTGTTTTCTCTCAATGATAGTCAATAGGGGAGGGAGAGGGAGAGGGTTTCTATTGACCTTGGCCCAAATTCATACAAAATATTACGCGAAAGCTGAAAGAGAATTTTCATTCTGAAACCGTAGGTATGTATAATAGAGGTATAACATCATGTGAAACACATATTCTGATGACCATTATTTGTCAATCAAATGGATATAAATGACCTTGAAAAAACTGATATAACATGTCACTGAGATGACCAAACTAAATGAAACAAACAAACAACGTAACTGACTCAAACAAGCAGCACAATTCAATATTTTTTTCGAGAAATTAACTTTGATGGCATTAGTGAATACTTTTAAATTACTCTATTAAAAACTATATGTTTTGAAATGATTGAAATGAATAATGACATTGTCAAAACTGATATAACATGTCATTGAGATGGTCAAACACGATGAAACAAACAAACAAACAAACACAACATAATTCAAAATTCAACCTTATTGACATTGATCAAACTGAGATAATATTTCATTGAAGGAGTATATCTAATTGAAACAAACAGACAAACAAACAACGCTTCTGAATCAAACTAGCAATAATAACCATTTTAATTAACTAATAAGAAGATTATTTTTTTAATATACAAACAAATTATTACTTATTGTGATTTACTATGTTATACTTTAGTTTTATTCAAATTACAATAAGTTAAATAAATTTTATTCCCATAGATCATTTTCAAAATCCACCTGATTTCATTACAAGATTATCATAATTGCATTTATTAGTTATACAAATCTATTAATATGGTTAATTCAATTCGTATACAATCTTTAAAGATATCCTATCAGATTAAAGATAATCATTATAATTCTGCTAATGAAATTAAGTCATCAAACAATTGTCTAACTTTGATTTCTTGAAATCATTATAAATTATCAGAAAATTCATCTACGCCCACGTTTTAGGTTCTTTTTCTAGAATATAGCAATAGAAATATGCGTCATAACCGAACAGGGGCTGTTAAAACAAACAGTTTTTGGATCAGATCAAAATCAATATACCAGGTGTGTCATAAAATTGGTGTTACTACAGATTTATTTCAGATTCAAAATAAAAACTACGAGTTTCCTTTTCGAGGAAATCCCCCTGGATTCTAACTCACTTTCCCAACGTTTTAATCCACGCTTGCATGTACTCCTGGAATTCTCCAAACGAATGTCTATGAGCTAAAAATTCTAAGAGTGCATTCAAGCGTGGTAGAGAAGGATGGGGAAGTGAGTTAGACTCCGGGGGAATTTATTCGAAGGGGAAACTCTGGTTTAGATTAAGTCCTGAAACTGTTTCTGGTACACTGTATTAAACAAATCAGATCATGTTAATCAGGGTTCGACAGTGAATGTTACAGTTCATTGGATTTTTGTCAAATTATACGGGCACCAACAGGTTCCAAAAAGACAGACCAGCTGAACTAACTAATCTATTAATCTTAATTCCAGCTTGAGAAAATCCTATCATGGTAATCATAATAATCCAATCATCTTATTAAACAGTGATTTTTTGCTTTAAAGCTGGATATCTAAGGTATCAGGGGGCCAAAAAAAAGTGCATTTGATCTCGAATTGATGTATAGTTTGTACTTAGTCTAGCGTAGCTGGCATACAGGAGTGCATAGAACCTTTTCTTCACAGAATCCTTATTCACTGACATGCTTCCACAGACTGGAAATAGGATTCAGGAAATTTCCATTTTAGGGCATAAAGTATGACATCCGAACTGCATCACTGAAGTCGAAATCGGGTTGAAAATCTGAAGGTACTGTTTCAATCATGTTCGATCGAAAATCCAATAGACCAGTCAAATTTTCAATGTAAACACCCATACCCTCCCACCAACTTATACAGAAAGAATTTCAATGCTCTTTCAAATTCGCTCGCAGTTCATGTACACTTGTTAGTGCAGTAGGTTAGAATTACATAATAGAAAAGATTCAAAGGACCCTTATACTAAAGGACATGACATTCAATTGATTTGAATAATATCTTGTTGATAAAGCTGTTCATGGTATATTATCTGTCTTTAATTTGAACTCATAATAACTTACCACACCTATTGCACAAGTTAAATAGGGTTTAAATATCTGATAAGATATAGGTTAATTATGCATAAAATTAACAGAAAGAAACCTCGTACATTGACTTACAAAAGGGGCTTTCAACCTAGGGGTAATTTTTTAATTTTTAGGGGGTAATGAGACTATTGGTAGTCTTAGCATAGAATTTTTGGACAAATGAAATTTAAGTGTTTCTATTTCGTCAGGCTATATACTCCAACATAAAAATTGAGCGGTAGTCGTAGACAACATTGTACATTAGTTCATTGCTCGAAAAAAGGATTCGGACGCTTCGCGATGAATCGAAATAGGGTAAATAACCTAAACCAAAATGCAATCAGAAAAAGGAAAATAATTTCGAGAATCAGTCAAATTGGGGACCATTTGAAATGGCATTCAACATATTCATCATCTGAAGTGGGCAAATCACATTAGGGACACGGTGGTTCAACATGACTGACAATGCAACAGTTTCATCCACGGTTGTTGAACCATGTGCAACTTATAATGCCAAAAAAAAGGAACTGGCTGCAATATGAACCCAATTTTTGTATCCGTCATGTACAAGTGTTTTTAATTAACCCCCCCCCCCCCACCCCCCCACACACCTCCTTTAATATAAAATAAGATTTATTATCATGTACTATTGGCTTGGCTTGTATTCTATTGTTAATCAATACTGTTCTATTGTCTTCAAAATTTATTCTTTATGGCTGATTGACCCCAAGTACGTATATAACTTTAGATAGTGGGAGTACTTATATTTGTCCTGTCTTGTAATGATTTTTGCCGGCAAAAAGAACTACGACATGTTTTGTAAATTTTGTAAAAACTACTATCCTTAAGGGGAAATATCTGCTCAGAAATAAACCAAATAGTGAACTTTTGCGCCCTATTATGAACAGCCTTCTTTTCTGTCCACAACCTAGCTTATGCTGTTTGTGTTGCAGTTCCATCCAACGTGGAATCCTTACCCACACACTGACTATAACATAACATAACCGTTACAAAAATTTGGAAATCAATTTCACAAGCTTTTGATGTACTTTGTTCCAAACTCCCAATTCATATTGCAACGAATAATTATCAAATTAAACAAATTAGTTTATTAATGGATAACTTAATAAGCATACTTGTTAAACATTTACTAAATTTCAATGGCACAGAAATTCAACTCTAAAGATGGGTCAGTCGTCAGCAGTATTAATACTGTAAGTTGGTTGCCACTTGATTTTTCTAAATATAATAATCTGAGGACTATGTATATAGACAAGACATAATGTCAATATTATTATGTTTCATAGTAAACGGTACACATTCAAATCGTTAGTGAATAATATGAGATTGAATACATATTTATACTTTAATTGGGGTAAGACAGGGTTCACATTTAAGTCATGTTTGTTTTATTGTATGCATAAATGAATGTTCGAAAATTGACCTTGAAACAAGTTTCAAAGGTTCAATGAAGATAATGCAATTCTTTCATTTATTTTTTCGACCCCCACACCCTCACACACAAAAATTGTGCGACGTTAAGTAATTTTTTATTTAGATCTTTTAATTATGATATTTGGAGAAACGGACCAGAAACATTTTCTAAAACCATTAACAAAACATTAATGAGTTGAAGTTGAATGTTCAACAGAGATCAAACTCACTTTTATTGTAGTTTACGAATTTGAATAAAGTATATTTTGAGATACAGTAAAGAATACTGGCCTTTTATTTAAGCAAAGATGTTTCGGAACATAGCCTACTTCAAGAACGTGGACGGCATAACTTTTCATTCATAACCTTAGCATTAATTTGTACCCTTCCAATTTTCAATCAGACGTCAGTGGTTCCTACAATTCCACAAAAACTAAATGTTTGATGGCGTTACTAATCGTGATATAGGCCTTGTGTAATAAAGCATAATTTGTGATTGGTGACGTCATCAAAAACTTAGTCTTCTAAGTGGAATTGCAGGAACCACAGACGTCTGACTGAAAATTGGAATGGTGTAAATCAATGCTATCAGTATCCCCGATACGAATAATTATTTTAGAAAATCTTTTTAAAATCCCTTTAAATCAAGATAATAGGACTAAAACCCGGTGTTATTTTGGACTGGAGGGGACCTTTTGATTGGGGCAATTACTAAGATTTTTTAAATTCATGTGATCAACGTTACATTATATTAGCGTATGATAAAGTTCGTTAAAGGGATTGTAAAGAGGTTTTCTAGACTGTTTTATGTATAGGCCTATCGGGAACACCTTTGACTTTAATAAGGGACATTCCAATTCTTCTCCAATGTCTGTAGTCCCCCCTTACCCGTATACTACGGCTAGCTAGGAGGGAGCTTGCAAGACCAAGGCTACCAAAAGGTCTAGACCGGGAATTCTAACAATTACATGGCTATTATATTGTACCATATAACATAAAGGGTTAATATGTAAATAATCAAGATAGTAATAAAAGATATAATACTCTCCTTACATAGTGATAATATAAACACATATAAACACTGCAATATATTTTTGGGTAAACCCCTTTTCTTTTAAAGATATCTAACAACAATTTGTGGTTTTGAGCATAAGAGATACTTGGGGTACAACATATGTGCTGCTACCCAAGAATTATTGAACGAGATGAGATACGCTTCTCGTTCTCACTATATACAGTTTACACAACATATATAATGCATACAATATTTAAAGGTAACATACAGATATATTTGGTCAAATGTTCTAAACCCTTCTAAGCACTAAGTGATGAAATTAAATTAAACTTCTGTCAAACTCAAACATAACCATGGTGGTTAGTATCAGTCAGTATAACCTTGGTACGTACTTTTAGATTGCATTGAATATGTTCAAATTTCCTGACCGCAGTAATTCATGAATGTTTTCTTTAACATTGTTTGTTGTACACAACATTGTATGTTTATCAGACATTAACATAATTGACCTTTTTACTACTAACAAAATAATATAACTGTTTTACATGATTAAACACATTTTGTTAGTGGCGCAACTATTTGGGCGGGAAACATAATTATGTTATGTCAGTTACTAAGCCCTTGTCACAAACAAGCAATCTGACAAATAATATTTGCTGGTCAAAGATCATGTAAGATCAATGGCAATGCCAACTTGTTGAAGCAGTAGTTCAAGTAGATGAGTAGGGCCCCTGGAGGTATATGGGGTGGGGTCCATCCCCGAGATTTTTCTCGATATTTATGCTCTCCTGCATTCGAGACCACACTGAAAGTCAATTTAATGCTTGTTTATCGAAGATATACAGATTTTTAGTCTGCTATTTCACTCATTTGCATATTTTTGAAATTAAGTAGGCCCAATTTTTGCCTGGCGTGGGGCCCCATGGACATGGTTCAACCAGTCCCTACGCTAGCTGAGCCATTATGTTGAACCGAACAACTCTGTAGAAATCTAAAGCTTGCTTTATTATGGTTTTAGTGAAATAAGATGGCCTTTTCGTTCCAGATTTGAGAGTAAGTAATTGCATATATCCGTCCTATATGTCCATTCTATGACTAGGCTAAAAACGAGTCCAAAGTCAATGAGAAAATTTTGCCGAATGACAAGACGGTTTTTCTTTGTCAGTCACTCCGAACTGAAAATCACAAGGCATTATGTTGATGTTGGGATCGAAACCTCAGGGCGAGCAAAATTTTCACTGCAAATGTTGTTATGGCGAATATGCAGAACACTTCACTATAGTAGTTTGGGTGAGTGAATGAGAAGACACATAAATGTCTGAATTTTTGTAAGGGCAGGGGAAAGTCTGAAGTGTGAGTTAGCTCAATTAAAATAATATTACTTAACTAATTTCACATTTCAAGGGAAGTAACTGAGGCCCAATCGATAATATCAATTTCGAAAATAGGTCACTATCAAATCTATATCTATTCTAGTTTGACGAGAAAATACTTAGCAGTCCTGAAGAAAATATGTTAAGCAGTTATGATAAGGACATTTTAAGATGTCCGGATGAGGAAATGTTAAGCAGTCCTGGTGTGGACATGTATAGCAGTCCTGGTGAGAATATGTTTAGCAGTCCTGGTGTGGACATGTTTAGCAGTCCTGGTAAGAATATGTTTAGCAGTCCTGGTGTGGACATGTTTAGCAGTCCTGGTGAGAATATGTTTAGCAGTCCTGGTGTGGACATGTTTAGCAGTCCTGGTAAGAATATGTTTAGCAGTCCTGGTGTGGACATGTTTAGCAATCCTGGTGAGAATATGTTTAACAGTCATGGTGAGAATATGTTTAGCAGTCCTGGTGAGAATATGTTTAGCAGTCCTGATAAGGGTATTTAGCAGGATATGTTTACCATACCTCTACGTGTTGATTTGAGTTGAGATGATTGTTTGTGATGGCGTTGTTTCCATGTTCCATGAATTGTAATTGGTACCAGCAATTCTTTTTTTCATTTAAAAAGGTGTCACCATGTTCGTGAATCCCTTGGCATCCAACGATTCAACGATTAAAATAGAATATACATTGTTCAAAAATAGGTTATTATAATTATAATAAATTTATAAAATCCTTCATCTCGACACCAATGTTTCGTCAGTTGTCTCATTCTCTGGCTACTGGATAGCAGATATCGACGCGGAGAGGGAGAACATAGAGAATGTTTATATTTTTGGCTCGACTATATCAATGGATTTTGGACATGCAGACAGCCAAAACTGTGTGTAAAATTTTATGATCTGTCTCAAAATAAGAAAATAATAGACATAACACACTGGAAAATGATTGTGTATAATGTTTTCTTCAAGAAAAAAAAAACAAGCTTTACTTACCCAAAGGCCAATTTTGATGAAACTTTTGGCTGAAATTCGACTTCCCCACTTTTCGTCTGACATGACAGGAAAACATTTTTACCTTTACTAATTTAACTCTTCAATTTGCATTAGAAGGGACATAACTCTTCTCCATCCTAGATTTAGAGGGAAAAATCGATTTTTCAAATAAATTCTTTTGCATTTTGATTCAACCGAGGAAAACCAATGCAATGAATTCTTCAATTTCTAAATTCAAAGCAAATTACGCCAATAATTGCAAGGATATAATGGGTCCATTTTATTTTTTAGATTTATCGAACTTATGTCCGACGTATATTCCTGTACATGAAGTTATAGTGGAACTCTTTCTGTAATCCTTAGCCCAATCATTAGCCCATTTGTTTAAATTCTGGCCTCATTATAATACTGGCGATGGTCGGTTTTGTTTTGAATGTAGTAGTTTATTTGAATTTTGAAGATGCAATTTATGCAACAAATCATGTACTTAAATACAATTCTTAGCAAAGCGACAGGTTGAGGAATTTTAGTTCATCATATTCTTATCAAGCATGATAGTGGATTTTGCTGTCTTGATATTCGAGAGTTACAATTTGTCAATTTGTCTTGACGTTTCGCGACTGAAATACTTAATTGAAAATAAAAAAATGAAACGAAATCAATTGAGTTTTACGTTCTACTTTTCTGCACCAGGGAAATTTTGCGGCGGCATTAACTTGCTCGTTTTCGGTCAAATGCAAATCAGCAAAATATTAAAAAAAAAGCTAAATGCATTATTTCTTTGTAAAGTTTAATAAAATGAGCAAGCTCCGTTTATATCATCACTTGGTTGGTTGGTCTAAAACAAATTGTGTGATTGTGCTTAATATATATCACGAATAAGAATAAGTATTATTTAATGTGGTTCTGAATATCACAATCATAGTTTACGGTTGTCTACCCTTGAACCGAAGTCAAGAAACGTCTCGTGTTATTGAATTTGTATAAATTGTTCTAGTGTTGACTCCATGTTATTAATAAGAGCTTGAAACCGAAAGAGGGATCTTTAACGTACAGAGTCTTGATAGACATCGCTTCTCTTTCATGCCAGCCAGAAATGAACCATTTTGTCGTTTCATTTGTATTCTACGGTTCAATACCTTTAGGAAAGAATCAGTCAGTATGAACATGAATGTAGGCTTGTCGAACTCTGTACTCGTACCCCGGAAAGAACTGGATAAGCTAATATTGAGTTGTCAGCTTATAAAGAAATTAGACACATATATCTGCAAATACTTCTATTATTTTATAAAGAGATGTATAAAATCGGACTTTGATGGTACATGTATAACATGTGTAAGGAATTTAGATATCCAATTTAAATTGACCTTGGATATAAGTTTCGATATCAACACCTACTTTCATACATCGATCTTTCTGTTTTTTTCATTATAAATGACAAATGTCTTTTTTGTATTTACAAGCGCAATGAAGCCGGAGACTTTCTTCAAATGAGAAATCAATCCACGAATAAATTCATAAATCGTGCATGCTATCAAATCAGTTCAGTATATCCCAGATTGGCTATAACCGAGTTTCACTTTGGACACTTTAATACAATAAGGTGATATGGGATATCAATATTTTATAGAGCCATTTAATTACGATATACATTGCTACTGCCTTCATCATTAAATCGACACACCAAATCTGAATTAAACGTATTTATTGACAACAACCAAGTCAACTTGATAAGGAACAATTTCTAATCTTGGGCGTATTCGGCAACTTGCATGAGTTTCTATAATAAAGCCGAATCTACTTTCCAAAGCGCTAACAAAACTTACTAAAACTTAAGCATACCCTCATTGACTGGTGGCTCGTATAAAATCCTCGCAACCACACCAACGATCAACCGGAAGTTAAATATGGTGCTAAATTGGGCATTGCTGATGTGTTTGTGTTTTCAAAACCATTTATATGGTAGATTAAGGAGAGTCCAATCATCAATATATGTTTTAGAGAAAAATTCAAGGAGTGTTCTGATTTTAAATAACAGGAAATGTTTTATTTGTAAATCGACGTAATGGACGACATTGGGTCGTTTCCTGTAGAAGAATCAAGTAGTTATCCACAAGTTCTGATTGCCCTATGCAGCATATTATGAGTATTGAAAAGCAGCCATTTTCTGGGAGTTCAAACAACAGTGGCTGGTCGTTTGGAACTACAAGGCGTTGGTAAAGTCGTTGGTAAAAGGCTGTTAGTAAATAGGTTAGGAAAACTGCTGAGAATTACGAGATGGTTGTTGACTGGGATTATTCGTTTCTAAATTCTTCAAATGCCTTGCTTTACAGACATAACTGTTAAACCTAACATTTATTGTCCCTTCTACGGGGTTTCGCTTCATTTGCAACACCATAACGGTAAAATAATTATTTAATGCCTAAATTATGGAAATGAGATGGAAATGGAACAGGTTTTCTGTGCGATGTGTTCAATGCGAGACATATTCGTACCGTTGAAGCGATATACAGAATTTGTTGCACTAAAGATAATGTTTCTGGTGCGTTTGAATTGCAAAGTTGCCTTGGTTTATATATTTTAAATAAGATTTATTAGCGCTTTCAATTATACAAACATCAGACTAATGAAAGAAAATGAATAGTGAATTTGTAATTAGAACCTAAAAAGTTCATTCCCTGGACAGGGGTCACGACCAACAAGATGGTATTGTCTTTTGATAATGATTTACATGAATACGTAATGCGTGTCAGATATTTGTTAAAGCTGGTCCAGTAGTAAGCGATTTCCTGGTTTTTCTTGCTCGTTAAAATATTAATTAAAATCTTTACCTGTAACATATTTTATATAAGAACACATATCTTTTTATCGTTCATTGTCCTTCATAAATCAAATTTTTCGCAACATTTTTTCTTTTACATAAGTCGCTGTGGAACTTTATAATTTTATCCTTTAATGATATAGTGTTACATGATTACCTTGTAGGATTGGTTGAATCCGGACAGAGAATTTATTTCAGAAAAGTAATACATGTACTGACGTGTGCTATATTGACCGATTATATTGAGTTACCAGCTGAGAGAACTCAATTTACTCGAAAGAACAAAAATCCTGCGTTGTGTACAGCAATAGGACCTAATTCGAGATTTAGATACACAATGACAATCTTGTTCCCAACCTGGGTTACTATCCCCTACTCCCTCATGGGTACATCACCACAAGAGGAACCTGAGAGGACTACTACTACCACTACAATGAACCTGGGTGCATTGAAAGCAACAAAAGTGGAGTCGAGATCTCGGGCACCATTGGAACATGTATAGTCGACGTAAGAGTGGATGGAATTTGAAACCAATTTTAAGCGATTGTTCAATTTTCGAGAAGAGTGTTTCTTTCACGTCGTCTGTGAGATGTTTGAATTGTGATTTGTCAGTCAATCTGAACCCAGTGATACTTAGTTCTTTGCATCTTAAACCATCTGAAAAACGATAAATAATTGCGACGTAAAGCTGATTTTTCAAATATCGGATGACAGAAATGACCTAGTTTCCTTTGGTTTTGAACTATTACTTGTTAAATCCGTCACATGCCGTTCAGGTAGTCCTACCACATACTCTTAAATATTTACTAATGTCACAACGTATATCGCAGGGATTAATAACTACCACTCTTGGTGGTAATGACAATTTCAGAGAAAAGCTCCATCACTGCTAGTCTTGCTATCCAGTTGTTACTAGCAGATTGTATACCTATCATTTAGAATTTGATTGTTGTCGAGTCTCTTGGTATTAGTTTCTTGACATTATTATAATCTATCAAAGAATTCAACTGGAACAATTAGTATCCAGAATGAACTTGAAAAGCAATTAAATTAACCCAATTCCAGCCAAACAATATTTTGAAACTCTTTAACAGACTTCACGTGGAACAATTAGTGCTGGGAAATTCTGCTGTTACGTAGGCATATATAGTTTGAACTTCGGTGTTTCACTGTGATGATAAACTGTCCTAATTCTTTGCTTTTTCAGACTGCAGGACTTATCCAATATCACAAATTCTTAATAAATTGGAATAGGTTTCCGAGCCTAAATACATATCGGGAACACTGGTGGCTCAAAATTTCTTTTATGGTTTCATGCTCGCCGAAAGCCAAAAGATTCTTAAACCCATCTTCCCAATAGTCAAGGTATTACTTAGTTCGCCTTATACCTTGGGTACAATAGACACTTTTCTTGTTTTATTTCACAGGGGTTTGTAACTGCAGTAATTTAATTGAATTGTACGTTAGGTAATACAGCCAATCAGAGCCACCCACAGAACGTCTGTCAGTAATAAGCCATAATGTTTACAGTTTTTTTTTGGTATGTCCTGACCACTGCAGTATATTGCATTGCTGATACAAGAATAGTAGATAAGAAGACTGATGGATTTAAAGTAGCATAAACTTCAACTGGAATTGTTAACGAACGATACTGACCGATGTTGAAATGAATGGGAACGAT